ATTTTATATTTATTATTAATAAAGTATATAGCTATATAGAACTATTTTTAATAATAGATAAGAAATATATATAGGAGCTTATTATAAAGGTAATAAATTATTATAATTACTAAGAATATAATAGCTAAAAAATTATTATTATTACGGATTAGAATATAAGAAAAGTGAGATATCCTAATTAGGCTTAGTTTAGCCCTACCTAGCTTAGTATAAAGCTTTACTTCTATTATATTTCCTAGATAGCTTTATAATTAATCTATTATTAACTAACTATATTATATATATTGCTTATTAAAGTCTTTATATACTATATTTCTTTATAAATAATAGTAATATTAAAAGATTAGGTATTATTATACTTATTTAAACGCTAAAATCTAAAAACAGCCCTACACTTTAGTAGCTTTATTAATTATTAATATATTTTTAAAATACTATTATTATATTAAAATTTTTAATAATCTTTTAGCTAGATATTATTACGCTACTATATTTTCTTTTATTACTTATAAACTTATCTTATATTAAGCTTATTTTAAAATCTTTAAGCTTTAACCCTATTAAAATAGCCCTACAGTAGCTAATATAGTAAAAGCAAGCTTTATTTAAATATATATATACGCTAATAGAACTAATATTATATATAATAATAGTATTATCTATTTATTATATAATTTATATATATATAATTAGTTATAGGATATAGACTTAGCTATTTACTATAAAAAGATATACTTAAACTATTTATTTATTAAAGTTTATTTTATATTTCTAGCTATATTATTAAAACTAATATATATAGAAATAGCAGCTACTTTTATATTAATTAAATTAGCTTCTATTATGTTATTGCTTCTAGCTATACTTCCTTTAGCTTATTAAAATTAAAATTAAGCTTCTATATACTTAGCTTTTAAACCAACATTATACCTTATGATTTTTAACCTTTATATACACTATGCTCCTCTTAAAACGCTTAAAATAATTAAGCTTTTATAGCTAATTATTTTACTTACTCTTATATAAAATGACTTTAAAAAATAGTTTATAAATAAGCCTCCAACTCTTCTAATTATAGCTTAAAAAGATAAGCTAAAGAATTAACTAATTAAAAAGCTTAAATATAATGTAAAAAAAAGTAGAAATAGGCTTTTTATTTAAAAAAGGCTCCTAAGGCTAAAATTTATATAAAATGGCTTAAGAAATAGGCTATTTCTATTCCTATTCCTATTTACAGTTTATATGGCTTAGAGCTTATTAATAAGTTTTAAGCTATTTCTAGATAATTTAAGCTATAGTTTTTTAGCTATATAGTTATTTTATAATCTTATAACTTTTAAATTCCCTATTAAAACGACGATTTTATACCTATAATTTTTAATACTCCTTTTTAACTAATTAGCTTCTATTTGCTATTAGTTTTTCTATATATTTAAATGCCCCTTCAATATAATCTTTAGCCTAATTAGCTTAACTTTGCTATCGCTATAGCCTCTAAGAAAAAGTTCCTTAATATAATATAAGTAGTTTTTGCCTAAAATTCAACTAAATTAAATAGAGATAATTCCCTATAAGAGCTAAATATATATAGATAAAAATGAAGCTATACTAATAATAAGGATATTATTTTTTATTGTTTTTAGTAGCATATTGTTATGGATTAGAATATAAGAAAAATAAGATATCCTAATTAGGCTTAGCTTAGCCCTACCTAGCTTAGTATAAAGCTTTACTTCTATTATATTTCCTAGATAGCTTTATAATTAATCTATTATTAACTAACTATATTATATATATTACTTATTAAGGTCTCTATATACTGCGTTTCCTTATAATTATATAATTTATATATTTTAATAATATAAAAAAATTCCTTACTATTATTAGAAATCTTAAATAGTAAGATATATAAGTAAAATATATTATAAATTATATACTTAAATAAAATAATATTATTAAATAGTTTAATAAAATAATTATAATAATAGTAAAATATATAATATAATATATTAGCTTGCTAGATAGATTTTAGCTTTATATAGTAAAATATATAAACTATTTTAGAAATTATATTCTATTAATAGAAAGACTTTATCCTATATATAGCTAGATAAGTTAAAAACTATTAATTAAGTTTAAATATATATTTAGAATATTATATAAATATAATATATTAAAAAAGAAATAATTTAAGCTTAATAGCTTAGCTAAAGATAATATATATCTTAGAATAGTTTCTACTACTTAAGCTAAAGTTTATTTATTATATAAATAATAAATAATTATACTTATTAAAATAAAAGTTTTTAATATTAAGTTAGCAATATACTTGTTAGCAGAGATTAGTAAAGCACTAATAAGTATTATAGAACTATTAGTTTTTATTAATAATAAAAATTATTATTATATAAAAGAAAAAGTATTTATAATATATCTTTTAGCTTTTATTATATTATTTATTTTTTAATAAATAAGTAAAGTTAACTTAAATATTAAAAATAGTAATAATAATATTATTTTTATTATTATTATAGATAAATTAATAATATTAAAATATATATAAATTATTATTAATAATAATATTATATATAAATAGTTTCTTTTTTAGAAAAAGAATAAAAATAATCTTTTTACAATTTCTTTAATTTTTTTAAATTAGAGGATTATTAGAAAAAAAGCAACTTTATAAGTATATTTAAGTCTAATTTATATAAATATATAAAATAAAATTAAATTAACTTTCTATTATTAATATTTATTTTTATATTAAAAAATTAAACTAAAAATAATATTATTAAAAAAATAGATATTAATATTAATACTAATCTTAATATTAATAGTAATTATAATAAATAATAACTTTATTATTTTATATATAATAGGGGAACCTATAATTTTTATATTTTTAATAATATATTTAGAAAATAGTAATTTAGTATAGCGCTCTTAGTTTTTATAAAAAAAGACTTAATTATTTATAAATAAGCAATTAATTTTATAAACTTATTCTATTAGAATAAAGCTATTTAGAATAAGCTTAACTCTTTTATATTAAATAATACCTAGGAGATTATTAATAAACTAGCTAAATAAAAACTTATAAATTATAAATAAGTTTTTAAAAAAAAAATTTACTATTTAATATAATAAATAAATATAAAGCTAGACTAGTAGCTTATAAATTTACTTAAAAAGAAGGAATTAATTATAATAAAATATTTATACTAATATTTAAATTTAAATCTTTTTACCTACTTATTAGCTTAATAGTAAAATACAAGTTATAAATATTTTTTATTAATATTATAATAGTTTACTTAAATAATAACTTTAATACTAAGATCTCTATATTCTTACTAGAAAGTATACTAAATAGTAAGCAATTAAAAAAAAAAGTTTTAAAGCTTAAAAAAGGCTTATATAAATTAAAATAATTAGTTTAAATTTAGGTAATTAAATTTTATAAAGTTATAAGTAAATTTGAATTCCTCTTTATATTTATAGATAGCTATATTTTTAAAAAGACTATAGATAATAAATAAATATATTTAATTATATTTTATATTAATAATATTATTATTGCCTATAAATAGAAATTAACTTATATTAAAATTAAAAAGTTTTTAGAATATTATTTTAAAATTATAGATTCTAAACTATTAATAAGAATTTTAAAATTATAAATAATATATTATAATAATTATATTATAATAAATTAGACTTCTTATATTAAAAAACTAATTAAATAATATAGTTTTATTATTATTTAATTTATAAGTACTTCTATAAATAATTATAGTAGGATTATATAAGCTTAGCTAAATAAAAAGTAATATAATTAATATAAATATTAATATTTAATAAGAGAACTAATATATATTAGTAATATAATGCGTTTAAATATTATTCTAGCAATATTAAAGCTTAGTTAATTCTATTATAATCTTATAATATAATATATAAATTTATTAATAAAAGTCCTTAAGTATTTAAAAAAAGTTTTTAATTTAATAATTATATTTTTATTATAAAACTCTACTACTACTTATTATATAAATACTTTATATATAGATAATTATATAGATAAATAATTAATTTATAGCTATATAATAACTTATTATAGTATATTATATATATAATATACTTAGAAATAATATATAGTAGCTATATTAATAACTAAAGCTAAATATATAATACTTTATAAAAAAAGTAAATTTAGTATATAGGCTTTATAATAGCTTAATAAAACTAGTTTTAGTAAAGAATATTTTATTTTATTAAAAAATAATAATTCTAAAAATATTACTTTTATTAAGAACTTTAAATTCTATTAAAAAATAAAGTATATTGCTATCTAATATTATTATATCTATAAATATATATAGGAAAGTTTTTTAAAAGTAGAGTATATTAATATAAAGGACTAGCTTATAAATATATTTACTAAGCTATTAAATAAAGACTATTTTAAGTATTTATAATTAAAATTAAACCTTTTACCTATTATTTAAAAAGTAGTTTTAAAAAAAAATATTGTAATTATATAATCTAGGCCTTAGTAATAAATAGCTAGTATATTTTGTTACTAGTTTGCTACTAAAGCAAATCGCTATTATATAGATATAAAGCTTAGTAATAATTATTAAAGATTAATTAGCTATATATCTATAAAGCATATTAAGCTATATATATATAGACTAGTTGTTATTGGTTAATAGTCGTTCCTTTAATATATGAAGATTTATAAGTTGCCCCGGACAATGGTTATTCCGCTCCGTATCGCATAGTTGCAACATAGATGTGACTGTCTCTACGCATACGTGAAAAGAGCTGCCGGAAGCACCGCCGCATGGCCATCGATCCAGTATACATTTTCACCATTTGCACACATAGCCAGACGCAATCCAGTGAAGGTCATTTGGGACTTCGGCCTCGCATGGTACATGTAAACCAGTCTACTATCGATGTAGCCTCTCCAAAAACGCAGCTGTGTAAGCATCATGTCCGTTTGGAATCCAGAAAACATCAAAGATGTTGCAGAGTCAATCGGCATACCCACTCTCAGCGATGAAGCCTCTAGGGCGCTCACTTCAGATCTCGAGTACCGATTGTCTCAGGTCCTCGAAGAAGCCCTCAAGTTTATGCGCCATGGCAAACGTACGACGCTCACAACCCAAGACATTTCGCAAGCATTACGAGCTCTAGATGTAGAGCCGCTGTACGGATATGAGTCTACCAGACCGTTGAGATTTGGCGAGGCATCTATTGGTCCTGGGCAGCCGCTGTACTACGTCGAAGATGAAGAGATGGAATTCGAGAAGCTTATAAATGCGCCTCTACCCAAAGTGCCCAGAGAGATTACCTTCACAGCTCACTGGCTTGCCGTTGAGGGCGTACAGCCTTCTATACCTCAGAATCCCACCACTGCAGAGTCTCGGAATCAAGAGCTTGCACCGAAAGGCGCGAATGTCAACCCAAATCTTGCTGCGATGAGCGGCGGTGACAATGTGACAGTCAAACCTCTAGTCAAGCACGTGCTTTCTAAGGAGCTACAACAGTACTTTGAAAAGGTCTGTGGTGCACTTTTGGATGACGGAAATAATGACTATCGTGTCGCGGCGCTCGCAAGCGTCGGTAGCGACCCTGGTCTTCACCAGCTAGTCCCATATTTTGTGCAATTCATTGCGGAGAAAGTGACGCATAGTACCAGGGACATCTCAGTCCTGACTCAAATGATGGAGCTTACGCATTCCATGCTAAGCAACAAGAGCCTCTTTCTGGATCCATATGTATGATCTTCTTCCTCACGTTCGGATCTAACTGACTGACGGTTTGCAGATCGCATCCCTTGTCCCTCCCATCCTTACTTGCCTAGTGGGACGTAACTTAGGCACACCAAACGACCCTCTCTCCTCTTACTCTCTTCGGCAAACAGCGGCATCGCTCCTCAGACTTATCGCCAAACGCTACAGCAAAACATCGCACATGCTCAAGCCACGACTCGCACGCACATGTCTCAAATACTTCCTTGATCCCACCAAGCCGCTAGGCTCACAATACGGTGGTATGATTGGTCTACAAGCAGTGGGAGGCGTAGAGGTCACAAGAGCCCTGATCGTGCCAAATCTAAGAGAATACGAAGGGTTGCTAAGAGACGCGATAGAAGGCAATGACGACGGTAAGAGAAAAGAAGCCGAGATGATAGTCAGTGCTCTATTAGATACCTTGCTTTCTCTCGAGGGAGAGATCGTTGGCACAGCGAATGGCATGGCGAATGGCCATGCGATGGAGATGAAGGTTGGATTGGAAGATAAAATCGGGCCGCTCTTCGCAGAGAAGGTCATGACTTTGGGGCGGCCAAAGGTCGTCAAAGCGATCATGCAGTGCGAGTAAGGGCCTTTGACAGAATTTATCTATAGCGTGGAGTTTTGGTTTTAATGGGAGGCTATCGGGTGATGTAAGACCCGTCCATTGGGCAATCTATGGTGTTACCACTGATACAATTTTCAATATCAAGACACATTCTATCATTTGCTTGCTCATTTGTGGAGCGCTGAATTCCGCCAGGAATACGGAGCAGGCCATGAAAAGACAACTCCAAAAGATGGAAAGAATCACTCGCAGCAGCACGATCCGCCTGACCTGTCAGTATGAAGTTTGAGTAGAACTCTTTCTGCATCTTTCAAATTCACCAAAAGTCATCAAAGGTCGTTTCTGCTATTTTCTATTGAAAAGATCACCGCTGGCATTTCATTGTTCCGAGAGGAACAGCACCTCTAGCTGCTTTTCAAGATGGTAGAAACAGCACTTTGAGGGAGTCAAGTTCTGAAAAAGTCACTGGCATTGGACGCATTCCCTGACAAAGACTCTTACAAAGTTCACCATACTGCAAGATATAAACTTCACAATGCGGCATATAACTCCCAAGTTTTAAGAAAACACTTGTTCCTCTAAAACTACCCCTTGAACACTCTCAACTCCTTCAACAACTCGCAAAACCAAGGACAAAGATCTAGGAGACGCCTGCGCCCTGACATATCAGCTTCCCATAAACACGTAGAGCTTGCATTTACAGTCTACTTCTGCGTCGCTACTTCCACTTCACAGACGCACACTCCCTTTCTCATGACTTACTTCAGCGTTGCAATAGTCAGGAGTCTTTGTACTCACAATCGTTGCTACCTGTTCTGTTTTCACACTTCCAATGGACAGTCACAGTAGATTGATTGTCGTTGTCAACACATCCTTGGCCGAATCCGCTGTTACCGCTTCATCGGGTCTGCTCAAAATATCAAGTTGTAGATGCTGATGTAGGGATTGGCGAGAATGGTAGTGATAGGAGTGCAACAGTGAAATTAATGGGACAAAGACGCAGCACATCACAATTGATTAACAGTATGATGTACATTATAGTAGGATCTTGAAGTCAACATATTCATACATTGCAAACATCCGTATCAGAAACACCTCCTTACTTATTGGGGAGTTCACCGTGCTCAATTCTCTCGCTCATGAGACTTTTTGACGATAGTCTCGATAGTCTCGATCGCGGGATTTCTTTGAAAGGCGAGCTTTGGATGGACTGGGTCCAGCGAAATGCAAGTCGTCAGTCCAATCTAACTTGGTGAGCTCGATGCGATTTCGCCTAGGATATCTGTCAGAGCTTGCAACCTTTCGCTCTGATCCCGTGAGATGCTCACGATCGTCTTCGTCAGCTGGATCAGTGAGGTCTACGTAGCCACGGTCATCATGCGCATGATTATCGGTCGGATTCTCTGCCTTCAGCCTAGTGAGCGCTTCATTCGAAGCCCTTCGGTCAATTTTGGATCATCTAAGGGATATTGCGAAGCGTACCTTTGGCATTGTTATACTCGAGAATGTCATCAGGTAATCGGAATAGCGGCCCGATCGAGTTTGAAGAAACAGCAATTGGTTCCATGGTGAACCCCAAATCTTCACCAAGGAAGGCGTGGTATCCACGGCCCTTTGTTCCGTTGCCATCGGAAGGTATCACGTACATGCAGAGCCCATCTTCCTGCATCAACGCCCAGCCAGCATACTTTCCAAGGACCCTGAACCTGACGACTTCGAGCTGTTCTGTGGTGCTCACGAAATATGTTTGAGAGTCACTATAGGCGACGCGTTGGAACTTCCCTGAGCAAGAAAGACACCTCGTTCCAATGGGCTGATTTTTAGGATTATGCCAGTTCATTTGCCTCACATGTTGACTCATGTCGTCGACAGATTCAAAAATAAGAGGCAGATCTGGCCCGCAACCGGCAGTAACAAGGCATTCGATGATCGTAGGATGTCGCTTCTTGAGCCTTGAAGATACTTAGCAGTCAAGTATCTGATGCTTTTGAAAGCGTAATACCTTGTCAAGGGACCATCAGCGCTGGGTGACGAGGGCTGTGGGGTCGAGGTGTCTTCGATCGGTTGCTTGTTTACCGAGGTGTCAGTTATCTGTTCCTTGATTACTTCGGTGTAAGTGTCCTGTTGCTTCATTACCTCGGTCTCGGTCTGGGAACCCATCAAATGAGTCTTACGGATTTATCTTGAGCTCTCTCGTTGTATAGCCAGATATGGGCAACGAGCTTTTGCAACGACATGAATCTGAGAATTAGATGCGTTAGTCGTCTTGTTCCACCTGCAGAATATCTAAATAACCTATCTGATTTACCATCTTCCTTCTTGGATGCGGCATTATTTGGTGATGAGGTCTTTGAAGACAACATTTCCCGATGGTCAATAGCCAATTGCATGGGCGATGCAGCAGGTTGTGATCGGACTGCTGATAGTAGGCTTTTCAGGTCTCCGGTAGAAGCGGGGTCCGCCTGCTTTCCATAGGTCAACCCAAGCTCATCGCACAGCTGTACGACGAGGGGATCCATGGTTGATCAGCTATGGTATCAGTGTTGAAGGAGGTCGTAATCAAGAGATTTGTAGCTGGAGATTTCGCGCTAAATGTGGTGACTTGAGAAGATAATACAACATTGACATTGGTGAACCAAAGATGAAGTGTAGTACAGTGGCGTGGCATTGGAAAACATGTTGCGGGGCAATTGGACATGACACTTGCCAAAGATTATGACAATCACACAGCGTTTGATACCGCTCAATTCACGCATTTGTAGGGAGAAGGAATGATCCTACCCTATATAGCAACAATGCACTCTGAGCCATTGCTCCTCACATTTACCAATAAGACACCCATCGTACGCAATTTCGGATGAAAGCGCCTTTTCAACGGTGATTCTGCAAGCTTTATATGCCGTAAGTCATCCCAACCCGCGATGATCTATCAGATTCACATGTTCGAGTATGCCTCCACTTCCTACGTCGAGAAGACTGCACATATTCAAGATCTCGATCATACGCCTTGTGCGATGTAGTGGCGACGTAATTTTCATAAGGATTTGTACATTGCGAAAGAGCACAGTTTAAAGAGGTCCAAGACTGGATTACCCATGAGCGTCATCGTAGTAAATGCGCTTGACGTGGAACTGTGTTTGATATTCAAAGATGTTGCGATTGAAGGCACACTCCATGTCATGCCGTAATGTCCAATGTTACTTTCCGGCTTGACATTAGGGATAAATCCTACAAATGGATATTTTAGTGTGGAAAAGGCAGTATGTGAGACCAAAATACGAACTTTGGCTTGTAGGCCTAGCTTAATACCTAAAGCCATTAGGAACGACAACGACGATTCATGGTGAAGTGGCAAATTTGGAGCACAGCTGTAAACAGCACAGCGATTTCATGTAAGCTGACTCAAAGGGTACTTACGTCATCTCATACAAGCTTGGGCATGTTTCTTGGTATTTTGTGGTAAGGGCTCATATTCGTGCAGCCTGAAGATGTGGCTCTTTCCTGGGGTCTCATCCTGTGTAAAAGGCGTTGATCTGAGTCCATGGGCCTTACGTAAACACATTACAACTGTCGAAGGCTTCCCACTTAACCCGGATTTGAAATGTTCGTAGACTCCTTAGTGACAACGAGATAGCAAGCGATTTTCGTGCAGTCCAGCCCAAAGGCTCAGGGGGATTCTTTCTAGCCTCTTGTGGAATGGCGCAAAGTCTATCTGGAATCATCCTAAACGTCAACTCTTGTCTTCACTTTACGTCCCCCACGACAGTGATCGTGCACCACTGCGCTGGCATGAGCATCGTAGTCTCTGCTATCAGTGTATTCGCGTGATATGATTTTGAGGCCGATACTACCCGACTTCACCGCTCGCCTTCTAGAACCCACGCATTGTCCTCACCATCAGGAAGTCAAACGGGCAATCATCTGCAAGGTCCCGTACCGCAGTCCGCAACTGCCGCCATGGCTTTGGAACACTTGAGAAAGAACAAGGCGGGCGGCAAGCCGTGCCTGTTCTACCGCACCTCGATGCAGACCAGCCTTTGCCTCCCTTTCCCTGTTAGCCAAAAGTTCGGTGGTAAAAGCCCATGGTGATTGTGTGCTTTGACACACTTGGGCATCATCAACATATCTTTCCGTATCTACCTCAACACTTGCATACCCGGGAATCGCTGGCTGTTGACTTTTGACACTATCAAGCGTCCCCAACGAAGGTCGACTATAGTCCCTAGCGCCGCATATCAGACTTTTCTCGCTTCCACAGAGCTATCGACCACAATATACTAGCGATCTGCTTCTTCCCTAGCACTTCTATCGCCCGTGCCTGGATCCTACTGCCCTGCTATAGCTGCATGCTGACCTGCATAGATCGTGCCGCGTCCCGCCACATCGGGCACCAATATGCAAGCCAGGGATACGACCTCATTCGCACTATTCGGCAAAGCGTCCCAAGCAACCATAGTACCATACGTACATACATAAGCAAACCTGCAGCAAACCTGTGGCTCAGACGAGTGGCCTTGTCTACGACAGCCGCACTCCCCCTACGACCGGACAGCGGGTGCCTGTCGCTCCCGAGCCTTGCCATTGGCACTAGCATAAGCCATCTCGGGCACCGTTTAGAATCTCCTCTTTGAACGACATGCGTCTGAGCGCATCCTTACGTGGCAAGTCGGTATGAGGCTTCGAGGAGACGACGGGCAGACGCGCTAGTAAGACGCTGGGATTTAAGAACCCAGCAACCGTCATACATTTCCAGGCTGACGTTCTCGTCGCAATATCATTCATATTCATCTGGGACAGCTCTGGAAGCAATAACGATCATGTCTGAGCAATCAAAGGCCATAGCGCCGCTTCTCCTTGATCGTCCACCAAGCCCGTTAGCCGAGCCCCCAACCTCGGATGTGCAGCGTGACGGGTCGAATCACGGCAAACCGCAAGAGAAAGCAAGATCATCTCCGTCACTCCCGGTCAACCCACCTCCGACGCCACAGACGCCATCGATCATTGCAGCCACAATGCGACAAGATGCCTTGACAGCCAACAGCGTCGGACCTGAGCTTCCAATCTCCCCACCGCCAAGTCCTCCTCCTGATCAAGACCTGATGCGGCGGCGTGCATCATTCCAGTTTTCGGAATCATTAATGGTATCCAAGCGGCAGGCTGCCTCAGTCCACGGTGAGTGGAGCTCGAACTGTGCACGTGGGCTGCTGCTAAATTTGACACAGGAACATTAGTCAGACCTGTTATCTACGATTCTCCAGATGTTTTCTAAAACAGTGTTCAGCCTTAAGCTTCTGCCAATAGAAACAAATTAAAACCTGTGCTCTTCGCTCTTAACGTCAATCGGTTCTCGACCCGTTTCAAGGGCAACTTAATCATTGCGTGGAGGCTATGCATGTTCTTTATTCCCGGTTGCTAACAAAAGCTCCACGTTGCGGGTTCTCGATTTTCCAATATTTCCAGTATTTTCAGGCTCTCATGGCCTTTTCCCTCCTGCAGCTGTCAATCTCGCAGTGGATACGGCATTCGATCCCATTTGCTACGATTGAATGACGTTGTGATTGCAGCAGCAACCCGCTGGGCACTCACTTGGACAACATCGAATGGCTTCAAATGACAATGCTCAAATAATGGTGGTCTAAAAGATTCCATCTCATGATTATGCAGACATACCTCATTATTTGGATTTCACCAAGATATCGCATCCGACGAAGTGGTCTCTCATTTCAACAAGGTATATCAAGGGGCAATATTTCTGGCTGTCTAGGTTCTATTCATCATATCAAAGCCCTTCCAATTCCTCCATTATTCCCATCTACGTCTTGAAACGCCTGCGCCTTTTACACTCCAATCACGCTTACTACTTCAGCCGAACCCATCACAAGAAGATCAATGGCAGCGGGCGATCCACGACCACCAAAAGGCCCATGGCCAAAGCCACCTCCTGCCCCACCTCCAAGTCCTGAGCGATCTCGCTGTCGCCAATGCTTTTTGATCATTCCAAGACCTCCAACGACGCCTGGAAGCGAACATCTCTTGCCCACTGCCATATCCCCTACCAAGATACCGGCGGCCTCCCACTTCACTTTAGGACACCACTAACGCCATCTCGGGGTGTGCATCACCACAAGCGCATGTACTTCTGCCAAAATCGAGAACAGCACGGAAATAGAGAATGGCCTGATAATGTCGAATGTGGGGCGCAGTGTTCGCAGGATGACTGCTCGTGTTGAATCTTACCATTTATCATTTTTGTTCATGTACGCGACAGACTTCACTTCTATACCAGGCGGCGGTAGGGTATCTGAACAGAGGTATTAGACTTTGGGGTAGCACTGGAAGCTGTGACCAGTCAGCGGTGATTTAGAAAACAAAAAGGATTGTATGTAACCGCAATTGGATCGCGAAAGTCTCGCAAAAAGATCCCTGATTCCTCTCACTGAATTGTTCATTCATGCTTCATTGCAATATATACACTGAATCCCTGCAATAAAGCAGCCCAAGCACTCTTGTCTTGCAATCACTTTAATCAAATGTACGCCAAAATCCCACTTCCCAAGACAGTCAAACCAACGACTGCCCATCCTGTCCTCATTACCTGCACATTCCCAAATTCCCTCCCCGTGTCCCAAACCAGATGCCTAACCCCGTTCAGACTATGGAACACGAACGGCATCGCGACCGTAAATTTCACCGGGATTTTCACCCATTGGCTCCATCCTCCTACGATCTCAGCCAGATGCGCACTCTCGAGATGCCAGCCGAATAGTGGGGAGACGAGGTAGGAGAAGCCGAAGAGGTAGAAGGCACCTGATACAGTGCAGCCGGTCACGCGGTTCAAAGCTGAGAGATACCAAGTCACTTGCGGTCGGTAGATGGAGAGATGGGGGGATATGGGCCGGTTCAGGCGTTGTTTGGCGAGAATGTCGTAGGCGGTATTTGTGGAGGCAGGAGTGGTGGATTGGGATGGGGTCTTGGAGGGAGCAAAGGCTGCGTGACTATGCAACAAGAAATCAGTCAATTGATCGGAAAGGCAAATGAGACTTAGAATCAATGAGCATACCGCTTCTGTAGGCAGGCTGTTTGCGACAATATGGGCGGGAGGAGGGATTTCGATGAGAGTGGTGGAGCGGTAAAGACTGCACAATATTAGCACTGAATGTTTAAGCAAAGGGTATCGGAGAACATACGCCTCCGCGTAGGCTGCTGGGCCAATCTATGGATGAGCATTGTTGCTCCCTGGTCTCAATGCATCTGTTGCACGATAATGGTTGTTCGATGATGCTTTGCGGAGCGGAGGAGCGCGGCAACCTCGGCCTTCTGACCAATGAAAACTCGTTGATCCCAGCACAAATATATATGTTGCTTTTGCTTGTCTTCCTCCTTCGCTACATAGGAGCCTCAACATCACCATTCGCCTGGAGACTCTCATGATGGGTGATTGAATGCCTGGTCGTCTTCGGACGATCTGAGAAGGTATCCAAGAGAAACACCTGCAGTTAATCGCACATTTTGAGCATATGCAATGAACGGATGTGTTTCATACCAGGGTGACATACTGAAGTACAATAGACGAATCTGGATGGTCTGGATCATGCCTTATTCCAGAATCAACCTCCCCTGATTGTACTTAGAATGCAAGGGGGAGAGTTTGCAAGTCGGAAATTAAGGGCTATTTCTCAATAAATTTCACATGTTCTAATAGGTAAAACATAATTTGTAGACATTCGTGAAGCTCTATCCCAATTCATCATTCTGAAGTTTGAACAATCGCATGTCCATTTGTAACGTAATATTTAAGGTGTTATAAATGATCTTTTCCGGTCCTCCCATCCTCAACCTCTTACGCACTTCCATGCCTCCCCTCAATATACACTCAGGGACGATCAGGCGATCGAGCTCCTTTTTGCAAGCAGGCTTTGCAGCTCGGAAGCTGCCAGATCTCAGGCCGCCTATTACTTGGAGAAAGGTCAACGCGCCTCATCAACGGTTGCCATACTCGACCTCGCCACGCTTCAATAATTCGAGCCAGTCGCAGCCACCTCAAGAAAAGAAACCATCGCCATCTGAGGCGTTATCCTCAGCTCTACAAGATGCAGATCCCGCTAAAATCAATTTGCTATCTCCTGTACATGTACCAGAAGACCCAAATGGCGTCCTCAATGAAAAGCATCCCGCCTTTGGCATACTGGCGAACTCCTCCATAGTAGTAACACGACAGCTGGAGCTGATGGACATCATGATCGGCTTCGAACAAGCAAACAAATATGTGATTATGGATCCTCAAGGGCAGCATATTGGTTTCATGGCCGAGAAAGATCTAGGCATGGGCAACATGATGAAGAGACAATTTTTCAGCACACACAGGAGCTTTGAAACGCACGTATTCGACCGCCATGGGAAGGAAGTCTTGAGGGTGAGCCAAGGTGTATTTAATGGCAAAGGAGTCGTTGGCTGATGCTATTATGACAGTTCCATCGACCCTTCTCCTGGATCTCGAGTCGCATTGGCATATATGATCCAGTAAAGCCTGGCGACTACGCTCCGTCATCATCTACTGCAGTATCACCCATAACCCCAGGCGGCCTAAGTACGGACATCAATGCAGACGCTGCAAGGATCTCCCAACTTCCACTATCAGAAATGCAGATCATTGGCGAAGCCCAACAACAGTGGGCCCCGTTACGTCGAAAATACAATTTGTTCATCCATCGTAACTCTCCAGATCCGTCGACACAGCAGCTTACCTCTGGCACGCTACCGTTGTCCAACACAACGGCTCTGGAGCCATCTTCATCGGAAGCCCCAAACAGTGGGGGCGAGTATGGTCAATTTGCCTACGTGGATGAACGCTGGCTGTCCTGGGACTTCTCACTCATGTCATCCGACCAAAAGCTCTTGGGCAGCGTCAACAGAAACTTCAAAGGCTTTGGTCGTGAAATATTCACCGACACCGGCGTATACGCCTTGCGCATGGACGCCGCAGGCTTAGCTGAGGAACCAAACCATCTAATCTCGAAAACGGGTCAGATGCAGCCAGCTGAGACGCCGGGTATGACACTCGACCAGCGTGCTGTCATGCTTGCCACTGCTGTCAGTATCGATTTCGACTACTTCAGCAGAAAGGCCGGAGGCGGCGGATTGATGGGTGGTATGTGGCCGGTCTGGCTTCCTGGCGGGGGAGAAGCTGCCGGCGCTGGAGCTGCCGAAGCCGGCGCAGCAGAAGCTGGAGCCGAGGCAGGCGCTGTTGAAGGGACTGCAGATAAAGGCCTGACCGGATATGAGGTTGACGGTCTTCCGGGGAAGGAGGGCAGCGCAGCTGCTGGTGCAGGGAGTTTGGCGGGGTACGAAGCTATGCAGAGAGGCGCCTATGGAGAGCAGGAGCAGCAACCGCCACAGGAACAAGAGCAACCCTATCAAGGTGAAGATAGCCAAGATTCCCCAGACATGTGGGGTCGGGACAATAATCCTTGGAGTCAGGACTCAGGTGATGCTGGCGGAGCTGGGGGAGGAGACGGCGGAGGCAGCTGGTTTGATGATTTATTAAATTCTTGATTGAGGGTGGTGTTGCCAACCAAAGTTTGAGCGTCGGCGCTGGAAATTGGATGAAAGAGGGGCATGAACTAAAATGGCTGCATTGCCTCGTAAATGATAGACCAATATGGTCAATTTAATGAAAATCAATCATTGTTATAGAGATATTCCGCTTGGATCATCATGTATTAGCACTCATTGATATGGCTCACTGAAGAATGTTTCTGACTTTATTGACACGTATGGCCAACATCCGTAAACTTCTCTAGGCTACGTAGAAGTGGTCAATTATCATTACACCAATTTTGAGCCACCCGAGCGACTTTTCATCATTGAGAGACCTGCAGCATCCGTCCCCGCCCCGCCCCACTGCTGACACCAACCCCCGCCCACCCTCATCCTCATACATACTCCTCCCCCACCAGCCCTCCCCCATCAAGCCACAATGGCCTCCGCTCTCGCCTCCAAGCGCCTCTTCCACGAATACCGCACTCTATCCCAAGGCAGCGTGGAGGGTATCACCGCCGGGCCCGTCTCAGAAGAAAACCTTTTCCTCTGGGAAGCGCTCATACAAGGCCCCGAGGGAACACCGTATGAGGGCGGCATATTCCCCGCCGAGCTCAAGTTTCCGAAAGACTACCCGCTCAGTCCACCAAAGATGACGTTCGTGGGGAAGTTGTGGCATCCGAATGGTACATCTGTCCCATCCCCTCCGCTCCCCGCCCCTTCCCCTTCCCCGCATCTTTGCTCTTATATACTCTCCTTCTAGCAGTGGTTAAGGGGGCTGGGGGGAAAGGGGTAAGAGAAACTTGCTGATCATTTTGTCGGTGAAACAGTCTACCCCAACGGCGAAGTCTGCATCTCGATCCTCCACGCGCCCGGCGACGATCCTATGCACTATGAGAAGGCGTCGGAGCGGTGGTCACCGATACAGAGCGTGGAGAAGATACTTATTAGTGTGATGAGCATGCTGGCAGAACCGAATGATGAGAGTCCGGCGAATGTGGAGGCGGCCAAGATGTGGAGGGAGCGAAGACCGGAGTTTGATCGGAGGGTTAGGGAGAGTGTGAGGGCTAGTTTGGGATTGTAAGGGAGGGGGAAAAGAGGTGTGGGATTGTTGGGGGTGGAAGTGGGAGTGGGTTTGGATAGACAATGGGCGTGATTTGCTGCTCGGCATGATGGAGAGGGGCACAGAGGGTTGTGGGTCAAGAGAGCATAATATTGGTATGGGAGGTCCTTTTAGCAAGGCGCTTGGTGGGCCGGTCACCTTTTCCCTGGATGCATAAGCTGGATGTGGGCTCTTGTGTTGATGTACGGGCAAATCGCTACCGTGCTTGCTTTTCCAATTCATTGAAAAGAATTTCTTTTGGTCTCAAGACTGGCTATCTTCATGTCTGTTGCTATGTTGATGCCGTCGCTGGCATATGAGCATTCATCCTGACGACGAGACATGTCGGTATTAACAGGCTCCTAAGTGGCCAGGAAGAAAATCCTGCAACCAGGCTCAGATGCCAGTACACGATTATGCGGCTGCTACTACAACCCAATTTCTAGCTTGATCTACGACCAGGTGGCGGATGAACTAAAAGCGATTCACATCTGGGTGCTGTGAAGAAGCAACAGGAACCTCAAGGTACGGCGGTGGCAGGCCAACAATGAAAAAGGCTCGAGACATTATGATGGCTGTGAGTTTCCCTCATTTATCTCCGAGCGTTCTCATCTGCTATACAATGTTTCATAAATTTTCAAACATAAAAAATGATCCACCAGGTCAAAAGAGGAGCAAAACAAAGCCTTGAATCTACTTATCGTTTGATCTGATAGATGCATTTCAGTGGGCTCGATCATGTCCTTTCACCGTGCCTTTTCTGATTACAATAAATGCATGTGTTGAATTGCAACAATCAGGTCCTCGAAATCGAATCAGCTATCTCAGAAAATCCTGGTCATACCTGCTGTAATCTGACAATGCCTTGCAGAGGACCGAGATAGGGAATGAGCATGAATCCACCAGGTTTACTTGATGGCTCAAACAGTGACCACTGCATTTCCAAGATATGCTCAAACATGAAATCTCATGCTAAAGGTCAACTTACTAGCAGTTCAAACCAACCCAAGCAAACCATCCGAGTCAAAGGCTTTGTGACTTATTCGTTCGAACATAGGTGTCATTTTCAGGGCATCTACGATGAGACTGCTACGACACTTCTCTTGGAATAGTCAGAGTACACATCCCTCTCTTGGACATGCTAGTTGATTGCGTTGCAACAAGTTGACACAACTCACTATGATGTCAGAAACGCACATTGTTAGATTATTGACAAGGTCCTAGAGCCCTCTAATATGGCTCGGGAGGACTCTCGCAAAAATCTTGAGGTTGGAGATGGCATCTTATTAAAGTGGCAACGCAGGAGAAGGCCTCCTAGATAAAAACAAGAAAGTTTAAATAATTGCTCTTAATATTAGGCAGAAGAGGGGAAGGCACGTTGCAAAGTGCTAAAATGTGAAAAAAATTTAATAAGGATCAGCAAGAGGTTGGGAAGATAGTGCCAAATATTTTCATTTCTTGAGATAGCAGGTGAGGTAAAGACTTCCTCTTTAGCAGTCTTATTTCACAAACCTATCTGATAACAGTGCCTATCCAACAAAACATCTTTCTAAGATTCCTATTCCATAACAGTTTCGCTTCTCAGCCGACCGAGTGTAATTCGTTTGATCTTTGCCAAACCATGCTTGTACTAATAAAACCGCAAAAATCAAGTGTTATAATGGTACCAAGCAGGTTTTGATGAACCGAAGTAAAGAACGAGGGTAGCAGACCAACACAACTCATCACCAATGTCAAAGCGCCATAACTTCACTCACCTGGATAAGACTGTCAAATTCTCACATTTTGTCATTCACAGACTTGTTCCACTCGACCTAGAGACCAGATTGAAGCATGAGAGAAGGCAAGAAATACTATGAGATCTTAATAGAACAGGCTTCTCAACGAGGAGAGACAGCTAGAGAAGGCGAAATGGTAGGACTTAATAAATTCTCAAGGTAAATAAGTCCAAATCCTAGCTGTTAATAAACCTCAGGCGCCTTCTCTGCGAATTGCATATTATTGCAATCAACATCTCCTTGCGCGACGTTGTTACAGGGAGGGATTGCCTTTTATGGTTATATATAGATTAAACCCTCTTAGTAAGAGAACCCTTTAAGTTGTGCCTCAACAAATATGGGTGCTGGCTAAGAAGACGGCGCGCAGCTTGATCTAACACATCAGAGAAGGCTCACTTAGAGAACCAAGTCTTTATGGCCGCCAGCCGCGTGACCGGGGGTCGGTGTTCGCACTGGACATTATCGTGAAACTCACATCCTCATGGTCAAAGATAGTTGGAAGGCATAATTTCATTGATGCTACTTGCTAAAGACATGCATTAACCAATTTTGAGTACAAATAGGGGTATCAAAGCAGAGCTAAAACCAAAACTGCTCCAACATTTCGTGGTAAGGATGCGCTCGAAAGATTATAACCCAATTCAAATGCTTCAATCATCGCTTAACTGCGAGCATGTGGCATTTCATAAGCTTGAGCCATGGTGTTGTGAGGCTTGACTTCCTGCGGAGCGCCATAGAGTGGCTGTCCCTGCAGTTGTTGCGGCGGTGGTTGGTACACCTGCTGAGGAGGCGGAGAGTAGTGCTGTGGGGCCGGTTGTTGACCAGGAGGCGGTGTGTACACCGTAGATGGAGGGGATGAATACTGCTGAGGCGCTCCGTATTGCTGCGGACTTGTAGAGTTTGCAGGGTACTGCTGCGGAGCTCCGTAGACTGGTTGTTGTGGGTACGGCTGCGCAGCAGCGTACTGCTGAGGAGGCATAGTCCCATTTTGCACCATTGGGGCAGGCTGACTGTTCGGTGGAGCGGCACCCCAAGGTTTCTGAGCTAGCTCGACTAATTGACTGCAAACCACGACGATACCGGCGTACGTCAGCATGTTCATTAACCCTACAATGAAGCTCTCCGCCCCAATCGCCGGGCTAGAGATTCCAGAGGAAGTCTCCGTCAACACAACGGTGAAGGCGAGGATAAAGATTGTGCGGACGAAAAGAGGGAACGCTACGAGTCCGACGAAGAAGGCAGCGACCTATTCGGCGTCAGTCAGAGCGTGCTAAATGTTCAAAGGACTTGACCTACCTTCTGCGGAAACCCTCGCTTTGAAGCAGTTATGAGGAGGAATATGCTTGCGACAAATATCTCCACACTACAAACAAAGTAGATAGCCTCATAAGCCAAATCAATGTTGTTTTGTGTATTTGAGTCATCAGAGTTAACGCCATAACTGAGATACCTGCCCGAAGAATGGTTCACGGCGTCGATGACTATCTTGATACCGTAGGCGAAAAAGGCGATGTACAGCGCCGTTAAAATAGCACAGACCAACATATGTATGATAAAGACCTTGCGCTTGAGGGAGGCTTTGGCGTCACTCGGTCCATTCGGATGGAGGAACAATTGATTGAGTAGGGCATATACTGCCACCAGTAGGAATATTTCAGCTAAGAAACCCAGACTGAGGATGATGAAGCGTATTAGGTAGTAGACGGTGGCCACTACGGTTTGGTTCTCTTCGATGATGCCTGACGTGAATTCGAAAGCGTAGTAGCTGTCAAACATCCATTAGAGTCCAATTCTAATGAGGCAGGCTGAAAGTCTTACATTATTCCAAACCATACGGCAGGGCTCCAAGCAATTGTGTTCATCACACGCTTCCCGACCTCGACATTTTTGAAGGTTTTCTTTTTTGACGCTGCCCAAAACTTGATGCCTACAAGGACGATGAAGAAGATGATCGCAAAGACGATCAGTGCGACAGAAAGGCCATCGTGGAAACCCGAGCCAAGGGTTTCTGTCTTTCGAAGCCAAGGACTTGAGCTCCCGGAGGAGAATGAACTTCCTCCTGAGCTGCTACGCCCACCGCCTCCATGACCGCCTCCGCCTTTTGGTGCCATGACTGCTTTTGTCTACCGAATGCTAACGCGAAATTATAAGAAGCAAGTACGCGTACTTTAGAGATATACAACCAAAAGGCCAATGGACAACGAGCGAGCAGGAGCCTGAACACTTGAGTCACCGACCAGCGGTCCCCTTGGATAAATACTGCCATTCATTTCCCTCAGCCGAAATGGTGCCACTGTTGCTTCGCCCCCAAACCTTGCTAGCTCTCCCTTTCCCACTCGCAAAGCAGCTTGGCAGGAAGCTATGTAGATTAGGCCGGAAGGTCCTCCGCTTTATGGGTCTAGATGTAGCCTAGGGTGTGCTTTCTTTAGAAGCTTAAAGGTTTGGCATGTTTGACTTCTTGCTAGCATCTGTCTTTGACGGCTTCCATTGGGTGTCTTTGGGTAGTGCCCGCTGTGCATGCATGCGGCACCGTTGGTGGGCTTCAGGGCTATAGGCTGCAGCCCAGTAGTAGTAGTGCAGTGAGCCCAGGCTTTCTTTCACATCCGAGGTGCTGATCGTACAATCATGCCGGGAAGCGGTCGTGCAAAGCACTTGCGTTCCTGCATGTCGCTCATGGAGTCTCGTCAGTAAAGACTCACGATAGCAGTGTTGTCAAGGCATAGTGCGTTTGCTGCATTGATGGCGACTGTTAGGCTCTTGTCCCGTCATACAGAGCACGTCTGTATGTGACGGACTGGCAGGTGTGCAGAATGGCCTGGCGTGGTTTGGCTTCGTGGCTCAAGATGTCATCTCGAGAATGGCACACCTCAGATGGTGTAGGTTAATGGGGTGCCAGCGATCGACGTTTGTCTTGGCGCGTCCAGAGATGGACTTGAACTTTTCTGTGAAGTTTCTCCCCAATGATCTGGATCCTGACAACATCCCAAAATGGACCTGGCTCCCTTAGTTCTAGTTCTTGACGATGCCCTCCCCACGAACCTTCCATGTTAAGCAATGGACCGTGTTCCCCCTTCACCGCCTCCACGTCCTCCTCTTCCCCCATCGCGAGTAATACAAGAATCTGATAGCATGGTGGAAATGAAGTTCAAGAATGTGCTTCTTGATTCGTTGACCACAGAATACACCATGGAAGAAAACATCCAGCTGGAGGACAAAGCTCACTACTTCTTCTTCGGCACCCCTAAGGAGCCGGACTTCCTAGCTGATGTTACCTTGACATCCAATGGATTTCAATTCCACCAGGAAGTACTATCCCTAAATGCATCACCCTGTCTTTCACGATGAAGCCTAGGCGTCGAAGTTGACTTGACAATGTAGCAAGCACATTTGCCGCTCGATGTCACGAAGCCTACCTGCTGATCTAAGCCAGGGCGAGTCCATCTCGTGATGATTATTTACTTATTACCAATTTCTGTCAAAGTTTTCGGATCATATTCTCGCCTACCTGTTAATTTGCTTTCAATCCTTCAACCCTGTGAAATCAAGTCATCGTAGAGATGATCCTTGTGAAGTCAGCGAAGGATTGCTACGGGATCCATTTGGAAGATTACGACTAGCATAGAGGCGTTATGCAGGCAAAACTAAGGCCTCCAGAGTGTGTACGACATCAGTGAAACTAGGCTCTCTCATTTGTCTGAACTTGATTGGCGGGACTTTGCTTCAAAAACAATGAAACAAACGTGGTGAATATGCCTCGCCCCGTCGTAATTGGTTCTGACGGTGGCAATAGTGGGGTCCCGTCTGTAAGCTTTTGAAAGGGAGTTTAAATAAATTGAAGACTTTGAAATCAGCGAATGCTAAATACCCTCCTTCAACGAGTGTCCTTCTCTGAAGAACTTGCGCCAGCTACTGAAAAGCCGAGTCCATGCGCCATTGAACCATAGCAATATGTCTGATCCACCGTGTATCGATGAGAGTCTCTTCTTCAACCTCGGATCGGTCAAGCACACTGCGTGGCCTACCCCATACGTAATGAATATAATTCTTCTTTGAGTGCGGCAAGATCTAATTGAAGGGTCAGATAGATCTTCTATCAGGGCCGAGAGAGGATGGACCAACTGTTGTCTTGCCGACGGAAACACAGAAGACTTTGCATGCATACTGGCTCAAGGAATATTTTGACGGATCAAAAGATGATGTACTAAGCCAGAGCTTTGCCCAAGGTGTTTTACTGACATCGAATGGCACTGAAATCGAAATCGCTCCAGAAGCGAAGGCGCTGCTCAATTCATGGGGTAACCACTGGATTGACACACTGCAGGGTGGTGTAGCCATACCCCCAGGACCGTACTACTTCAAGAACAACGCCTTGTGGAAAGCCTTGCGGCTTTATGATGATCATCAAGGGGCGTTCGTTCTAGCTACTACCAAAGCAACGGACGAAGACGGCAAGTATGGTATGCAGACTCCCGGGCCTTGTTCTCGCTGGTCACAGGACATGTTCTGGTCGTTCGGTGATCATGACAAAGCAACTCGTCTTTGAGAATGAGTTTGGGGCGACTCAACCATGATAGGGAAAACACTCACTTTGAGTACTTTGAAGAAAGCTATGCTGATTCTGCAATGACCGCAGGTGTATTGAATTCTCACGCCCTTGCGGTACCCTCACGCTTGTCCGTGAGAGCAACTGCAGAGGTATGTACTTTGAAAACGTTCCCTCGTGCTTGTGTTGCTTTTTTTTTTGGAATGAACTCAACGCAGGCGTGCCAAAGGCCGAGTAACGCACATTAGTACGAAATGAACACCTTACCGGACGCTGTTCTTGAAGCTTTGCAACATTTCTAAATCGCAGAATTATCCTTCGTCATTATTTGCTCATATATTGGTGTACCCCGATTGCGTGATAAGACGGTCAGCTGACATGAATGGTTGTGTAGAAGCCATTTGCGGAATGGCGGGTTGCTATCAAGGACAATATTGATATACGGGGCTTGAGAACATCGATGTGTAACAAGGCCTTTCTTGAGCTATATCCTCCCGTGGCTGCTACGGCGTCATCTGTGAAAAGCATCATTGAAGGAGGCGCTATCATTTTGGGGAAAACAAAACTCAGCTCTTTCCTTTCTAGAGAAGAGCCCAGCGAGTCCATCGATTTTCAGGCAGCATGGAACCCTCGCGCAGATGGATATCAGACTACTGGCGGGAGCAGTAGTGGAAGTGCCGCAGCTGTTGCTGCATATGACTGGACCGATATCGGAATTGGCACAGATACCAATGGCAGTATCAGAAGGCCAGCTCAGTGCAATGGAGTCTTTGGGCTTCGGCCTAGCCAGGGGATCTTCCCGCAAGACGGCATGTTCACCATCTTCAATCACGTTGACGTTCCCGGCATCTTTGCCAGAGACATTGGTAAATTGGCAGCCTTTGCGAGAATGTGGTACGGAGAGCCTTTTACAGAAAGAATCACAGAAAGTCTTCCGTCCAGGGTGATCATTCCCACAGATTTCTTGCCTGAAGAAGATAATGCCTAGAAGAAGGTCGTGCTTGATTTCTTGGAAGACTTCGGAGCCTTTCTCCACATCAAAGCAGAGCGGATAAAGCTGAGTGAGCTATGGGGTCAAAGTCCTCCCAAAGAAGCTAAAGGGCAAAGTTTGCACGAGTATTTGAAGGACGTAGGTCGCGATACTTTCTTGTATGCGAACTACCACAGTGGGACAGGCTTTCCCTACACGTACCGCGAAAAGTTCGGCAAGAATCCGTTTGTCACCAAATTGGTACAATGGCGGTGGGAGGTGGGCTCAAAAATCTCCGACGAGATGCACATGGAAGCAATGCGTCGTGTGAGTGTATACAAGAATTGGTTCCTCAACATCGTGATGCGGGTTGGAGAGACGGACACGTTTGTCGTCATGCAGAGCGAAGACGTGACGCCGAAATATAGAGATGACCCTCCTCTGTGAGTTATCCCAAATATTTCTATATTTCCAGAGATTGCTAACGTATCAACACAGAGAATATTCCATCCAGCCCGCTTGGCACCAATGGTGGATCTCGCCCTTCCTAGGAGCCCCAGAAATTGTGATCCCAGGTAAGATGTCTCCATGCTTCCGTCCACCGAAAATTGGGGATCAATGCTAAGCATTCTCCAGCTGGTACAATTGCGTATCAGTCACGCATCAGTGGTAATATTGAGCATTTACCCGTCACAGCGCAAATACTCAGTCAACCTGGTATGCTCCGTATGGCGTATCCGAACTATCAAGTAATTAATGCAGGACAGGGTCCGATCTGGAGCTTGTTTCACTGGTTCAGCGATTTTTGGCTGGCGTTGGCCGTCCATTGAAGGTCGAGACTGGGAGATCAATGTTCAAGGAAACAAAATGATTCTCGTTAATAGCTTCGTGCAGAGACTGCGAGGTAGTGTTCCTGCCTTCATCGATTGCCAGCCTCAAGGCTTGATCGCAATTTGGGAGAATTCATGGATGAGCAAGGGCCGATAGTCCTGCATGTTAGAAGGTCTAAGCAGAGGGTTTTACAAGACATCAAAGACCAAGGCTGTGCTCCTCGTGGGCCATTGTATGACCAGCCCTTGTAACTGTAACCAGATTGAATGGGCCCTTGCTGTTTGATACTTGGATATTTGGATGTTTTGATAATCATTGACAGATGAAATGTATCAATGACATCTGGTTGACCTCACGTATCGAAGACTCAAACGATTAATTTGGAGCTCCTGTAGTGTATTCAGCTTGAATCGACGATCTCCCGTTAAGATGCCTGATTCTAGCACCAAGGAAGGCACAACTGCGTCTTTGAATGAGTGCGAGACCGATCGCGGAGAAGACGGACATAACCAAGTATGACGCAATGTGTAGATTGATAATACATGCCTGACTCCCTTCTACCTCAATCTTCTTACATCCTCTACATCCATGAGCATACCGCCTGTATGTCCCTCGATAATGTGAAGCACATCCTGCTAGTAAGCCTTCCCCTAGCCCCTATTACCTTCCCCACATCCCACTCAACGTCCATCCCCAGGTCCTCTCCGGCAAAGGCGGCGTCGGCAAATCCTCAATAACAACCCAACTCGCCCTCTCCCTCTCCCTCTCCAACAAAACCGTCGGTATCCTCGACATCGATCTCACCGGCCCCTCAATTCCCCGCCTCCTCGGCCTCGAAGACGCCAAGATAACCCAAACCTCCCTGGGCTGGAAACCGGTCCTCGTCCATCCATCACAAAACCTCCCTCCTCTCCCAGCTGAACACCAGCCTCCCTCTCCCTCACCTTCGTCCTCACGCCCAAACAACGATCAGAATGGTAACTCCACTCACCCTCCGAGCCACCCGTTCCCAGCTACAGAAGAAATACGAATCGGCGCCCTGCACGCCACATCCCTCGCGTTCCTCCTACCCTCACGCTCTTCAGCCGTAATCTGGCGCGGCCCCAAGAAAACGGCAATGGTGCGACAATTCCTGACAGACGTGCAGTGGCCCCCGCTGGACTACCTCCTCATCGACACCCCACCGGGGACAAGCGACGAACATATTTCTCTCGCGGAGACGCTGCTGAAAACCCTGCCCCCTCCCATCACTTCCACCACGTCTACAGAAATCAATGGTCGAACGGTTGGAGAGGGAGGCCAAGACTAGCAGGCGCCCTCATAGTAACGACCCCACAAGCAGTAGCAACATCAGACGTGCGCAAAGAGATAAACTTTTGCCGGAAAACCGCCATCCCGGTCCTGGGCGTTGTGGAGAATATGAGCGGGTTCGTGTGCGAGTGCTGCGGGGAGCGGACGGATTTGTTTGGGAAGGGCGGCGGGAGGGTGATGAGTGAGGAGTTTGGGGTAAGGTTTCTCGGGGGCGTGCCGTTGGATTTGGGGTGGGGGGTTGTTGTTGAGGAGGGGGGTGGGGTGCGTATGGTGATGGGAGAGGGGGAAGCGAGAGGGGGATGGGGGTGGAAGCGCATTTGACGGGAATACAGGTGGGAAGGGGGAGGGGGAAGAAGAGCATAGGGAAGAGGGGCTGCATGGTGCTGAGGATGATGGGAGGGCGAGGAGGAAGGAGGAAGCGTTGCTGGTGCAAAGGTATAGGAGCTGTAAGCTTAGCGAGGGCTTTGGGGGGATTACGAGGCAGGTAATTAGTATAGTAGAGGGACCATAATGCCATGAAATAATGAGCATGACTGTTATCAATGAGATCAAGAACCTACCTATTGAAAACCGCCTTCACAATTATTCTTGAATTTTCACACTGTTTTGTCATGCAACTAAAGGCATTCATTACCTCCGAGCATAAAGTCTATAATTTTGCATGGTCCTCAGTTTCTATCATGTCCCTACGTCCATTTCTGCACCATGACTCCGCCCCTCTTGAACTCCGATAGATCACCCAGTACCTGAGATTTATCCCCCAACTCTTTGCTCGGAAAGGTCGTCATAAGCGTATAACTCCTCGTCCTGCTCTGCGGGCTTGCCGCATCGACAAAGCTATAGACGTCCCCAATCGTATGTGTGTTATTGAATCTACTCGCCATCCTCGTGCCATCTCCAAGTCTTATCTGTAAAGAGATTGTCGGCTCACTCTCATTGACATCCACGCTCGGCTGCTCCGAGCCTGTTGATGGCGGTTTCGCAGCCTGTGTCTGTTGCTGTGGCTGCACGGCTGTCTCAGTGACCGTCTCTCTATCAGCGGGCGATGGACTGCCCAATCTCTGCCCGCCTCCCTCAAATGGTTTGAATTTTTTCTTGGGTTGGACGTATTTCTCTTTATGTTGCTCCAGATGCACGTCTACCTCCTGGTCATGTGTGACGTTCAAGATATGTGTTGGCGCCCGGCCTAGCTTGATCTGCGCCAAAATCTGAGCATTTTTTGGGTCGTCGAAGCGATATAATGGCCCGTCATCCACACTGAAGCCGTCAGCCCAGAAGTGCAACCGCCGTTGCACGAGCTCAGGACGGCGTGGAGCGGCAGCATTAGGGTCGGGGATTTCTTGGGATGGAGCGTCATCTCCGCCAAGTGTACGTGCTGCTCCTCTAAAGTTTGATTCAGCTTGTCGAGGATCATCACCGCCGGGTCGTTGCAAGCCACTGAACATAATGTTAGATGATTCTTTGAACATTTAGAAAAGGACCAGTACCGCCTCGCCCGGTCAAGAATCTTTTTCTTCAGGTCATCAGGATTTTGGACTGCCAAACCCGATTTTTCTCCGCCAGCGAACATATTTGGGTTCCCACCGTCGTCGTCATCCTCATCATCGTCTTCATGGCTGTGGCCTGCATGCCCACCAGCAGCCACTGCGTTGAGGTCGTTCAGGGTCGCGAACATCCTCGGTGGTTTTTCTCTTGTTGATTTTCGAGTTGGAAGGGGGGCAGATTTGGTAAATCTGAGGTGGTCGGGATGGGCTGGGGGGGCTGCCTTGGCCCTGTTGCTTGCTCATTTGAGCCGTAGAACTCGGTGACTGCGGCGGCGAAGTCCCACGAATTCTCTTCGAGGAATTGCTGGGCCTGATAATCGAATGAGTAAAGCGCAGTTTGTCAGAACAGCTTAGCAAAGCTCACGACTTGTGTGGTGCTTCCTGATATTTGCACGAATTGCGCTAACATATGCTCCTTTTCTGGCTCCATCTTACTGGTAAAAACCAGCCAAGTGGTGTACTTTAAGGGACGTTTTCAGTAGAGATAGTTGTTGAAGGAGGGTGGGTGTTAGGTAGCAGGCACAAGAACAGAAGGTGCAAATTATGTCATTTGTCATTCAATCCGCCGGAGTTTAGCCGTCTTTCCAACACCGTTCACTTCTCAGGTACCAGTGAATGATAATACAGCTATCACAATGTGTCGGTGACGCGATACAGCAAGCTCTGTTGACCCCACGTACCACTTGAAATGTCCTCCTCCTCTCCGCCACCCTCAAACCCAAAGCCCGATCTCACGCAATCTACCGCGACTATCCCTTCCGACAGCGAGCGCTACAGCTCCTCCGACCCCTCCAACAATCTCTCTCCTTCCCCAGAACCCTCCACAGAGGAGCGACCGCCTCCACTAATACTCTACTCGCCGCCTACCATATGGGGCCTGCTGCGCGGGGCAGCCATCAATTTGCTGTTACCGTTTGTGAATGGGCTGATGCTAGGTTTCGGGGAATTGTTGGCACATGAAGCTGCCTTTCAATTAGGGTGGAGTGGGACGAAGGTTCGTCTTCGAAAACCTCAACAAGACCTCTTCACGAGCCTGCAGACATTCAGGGCGATCTGGACCGTGGCTGATGAGACTTTCGTTGCAGATATTCCCAAGCGGGCGGACAGCGCGGCCGGTGGGGCCAGGAATTGAGGTCAGAGAAGATCCGTTGGAGAGGAGACGAAGAGATCGCGAGATGGATGATATGACTTCTTTGGAATGACAAGGCTCGTTAAGTGGTTGGAAATGCCGTAGAAGGCAGGTTGGTGCTAAACAAAATTTTCACATGTTGGTCTCATGTCCTTGCAAGCCAGCATTGCATGGAGTCATAATCATCAAAGTTCTTAATTCCGTATCGTGTCCAAAAACATTCATGGCCCAAGCACCGCCGGGTTTCGCGCTTTCGCCTGGTAGTGCAATTTGAGTTGGGGTTTGCGGCATGGTGCTCACATTTTCCGATGCTGGCGCATGAATTATGTTGATGATGTTTGACGAGCTTGTGCTGATTACGAGGCGTTCAATATCTCAAGCATCAGGCGTGATAATCGTTCAATTCTTCCTGGCTAGATGGTCTAGTGCAACTTTGGTATTGGAGGAAAGACAAGGAGGGGACCATTCGGCAGTGGCAGGCAACGCGAGTAGTTCTGCAAGTGGTTCCCATTCTGTGAGGTGAATCGTCTTCAATTTCCAAAAGCATGTGTCTACGCAAATTGACGCCCAGTCGCTAAATGCAGTAGCATGACAATCAAGGCGTATGTACATGCCCAACCAAAACTCTCCAAACGGCCGTATATACATGTCCTACCAGGACCTTCCAATTGTCCGTAATTTGCTTGGGACGACTCACTCGCAGGTCTTCGCCATCGCCCATTGGCCTGCACCTTTACGAAGTCGCCGTCGAGTCCGCCACAACAGCAGAGTCGGCCTTCTGAATGGTAACCTTCAAATCTGCCCGCGGGCCTGTAATGATACTCCCTCCATTCGCAATAGTATCGCCGTTTCCAGTGGTACAGCTCTGTGCGATTTGGCCCACGGCGATGTGTATAGCGATCCAAGAAGTGCTGGCGCCTCCGGCGATCGATACTGCGCATTTACCATCTGCAAAACTCAGAGGCTGGCTTATCGACATGTCGGGTGCCTGATCCATTTGCAGGATGGCGTTAATGCAGTCTTTGGTGGGGATTCGATCGGTGGACATGCCATGGCCCGAGGAGCAATCGACTGATCGACCGCTGGCATTGGGTGATTTGATGGTATTGGTGTGGTTCGTATCTTGGGCGGCGATGAGAGCGACGTGGTGGTTGACGAGTAGGAGCGACAGTACTGCTGAGATGAGTGAGGGCAACATTGTGAGTTGATTGCTTCATACTGAGCCGAGAATATCCAGGAAATGATATATAAGCTGTGCCAAGTTGATAGTGAACACACAAACAAGCGCTAACGGCCATCGCACAGGCGAATGTTTTGGAAAGTGCTCCTGCTGGTTCCATTATTTTCCCGAAAGAGGCTCAAGTTCTACTTCACCGTGCTTCAATCATTTCTACCGCGTAGCCGCAATCCGTTTTTGGACCCGCACCACCAACAGCATTGGCAAATTTGAATTGCGCGTACACAAGGCGAAACTACTTGCCGCACAGATCGTGTCGTAATAATGGGATCGTGTCTTTGGACGAAGGATTCAAAATTGTTTCTCGTCGGCGGCTCTCTAGGCATCCTTCAGACCCTTGGGCATCTTGGAGACTCCACCAGGCCTAAGCTGGTCCTCACAGCGTTGCAGATAATGTAGGCCAGCTTCTACCACCATCATTCTCTGAGTCGCCGTGGTCGCTTTTGATATGCAGTTCTTTGAACTTACTAGGGCAGGAGGATAATGCATATTTCAAAAGATGCTGTTAGCTTGAAAACGTTTCACAAGCAGCCATTGAGTTGTGACATTCGACCAGACACCAGTCTCTCGCCAATCATTGCATACCAATAAGTACGATTCAAGTAATGAGTCTCTCTTTACCAACAAGAAACACACGAATGACGCCGTGGTTTTTGCTGTAAAGATGTTTTGGCAGAATATGGCATTAATGTTTTGGCAATTTGCAACTGAAATTGGAATTGAAGCAAATTTTCTGTAAGACTCAACTTCTGAAATCTTGATTTGCATGCTTTTAATTTTTGTTTGCGTAAGATGCCCTTAGCAGCTCCTTAGAAGCGTAGAGATCCTTGCAAGAAACTCGTGTCTCATCCAAGCCTTTAGAATCACAAGCAGGTGTTCCTTATCAGAATGTTTCTATGGTGCCCGCGTTGGTTCCATTCGAAAAGCTCGCCGTGGCATCGGTACTAGTCGAAGGAAAAGTAGTATTTCCGTCTTCGCCACCTCCACTTAGACCTACTGGTTTGGCTAGCGATATCAGCAGACCTCCGCTCACCCCAACCCTGATGGTACCAGAACCCGCGATGTCGGCGTTGGCAAGAGCGCAAGTAGTGAGCAATTGCGTTGCTGCTACTTGCAAATATAACCACGAGCTGTATTCTTGCTCTGTATCCACAAGACTGACCACGAACTCGCAGGATTTGAATCTTGAAGCCCAAATGTGACCACCCATGGGACCACGGAATCGCTGAATCGTTGGATCACCGGCTTCGTTCATTGCGAGGAGAGCATTGACGCAATGCCATATTGTCACTGCGTAGGTTCGTGTTGAGCCTTGGCATCTAATGCCCCTTTGGCTGGAGTCACTAAGAGTCGTGTTTTGTCCTACTGTTGCCAATGGCGCGTTCTTCCATGATTCAGGTATCTGAAAATCCTCGGCGAAAGCTGAGTATACGAGTGAAAAGATTGGCGCTAGAATGAATAACAACATGTTTCCAGCAGTCGAATGATATTGACGGGTCAACCAAGCTGAATGCACTCGTACTTTGATCTCGTCATGCATCTGAGGGCAGATATGTTCGCTATAAAACAATCGTACAAGTCTATTATTCAAATATGCGGGACGCCTAATGCTCGTAATGTGTGCAAAGTAGGCTTGAAATGTTGAACAAAACAAGCCAAAGCCAAAGCCAAGACCATGAAGTACAGAATCACCATAGATCCGTATCAGCTAATTCAGGCCTGCATCTTGCTTGGATGCCGACAACGAAGGACAAAGAAATTTGAATGAAACCAATCACTTTCCAGGAATTCAAATGCAACCGAGACATTTCACTTAGCCTATGCGGTACATCTACTCCGCTGTCTGAGGCTGAGGGAGTTGGTAGCCGCGGTGAAACAAAGCAACATTAGGTTCGCCTTGGCGGCTACATGATCGAGAATTTGGGATGCTTGCTGGACTGAAAGCCGATCTATTTTGGTTTGAGACAATGTGAGTAAATGCGAGATCAACATGTGGAGAAGCGAGGAGACAACCCTTGCTCGCCCTGACCTTGATCCACTTATACCGCCTTACGAGATCACCACCGTCTTGGAGCATTAACAGGACCTAGCTTGCTAGCTAGACTCGTGATATTGTCTCCGAGTATCTCCATTTCAGCCTTAGCACCCGTAAACAGCATGACCTGTAACTCTCGCCTCCATTTAGGCTCAGCCCCATGCTCGGCCAGAGGTGGGCTATTTTGCAGCATCTTGACAGCCTTGGCTCTATCTCTGCCGCTGAGGCTCAGACGACGGTCACTGATTTGCGCAGAGTCTGCAATGATAGAATTGAAGATGTCCTTCCATTCAAGACCAAGCCATTGAAGCGACGGTAATTGTAGGCTCTCATTTTCGTGCGAGAGGTTGATTGAGCCGTACTTGTAGGTAGACATGATCGCAATACCATCGGGGTCAAGATCGACTAATGCCCAGATTGGGGGCTCGACCCCTTTCTCAGCGTAGAAAGTCGAAAGATGACCAAGGAACGATCTGGTTGATATGTCGGGGTATCCTCTGGCCTAAAAAGGGTGTGAATATTAGCCCTGCCATAGTACGAGAACCGTGCGACGGACTGTCACAATTATGCCTTCATGTGACAGCAGCTTCATGTGCAAACAACTGGAGACTAGGGTTCTGAATGTTGACTAAGATCGTCCCTTTAGTCCGTCGCCAGTGTAGAAGATAAATCACATACTTCTTTCTCAACCACAATTACCCAAGCTGCACTTTCTGCATTGATCGTTTGCACATACTGATAATCAGGAATGAGAAGAGCATTGCCGTCGTCGCCCATGCTGGAAAACGAGCCATTACGATAATTGACCGAATATTTGCCCGCAACGAGGCCCTTCGCTGCGGCGGTCCATACCCTCGTTAGCCAGAAATCAGACATCGAAGTCAATTTGGGCTTACCACTCTCAAATCTACCCTTCGCAGACCAAAAGTATAGGCAAGACTATCGACACAGCGGTCCACTACGCCTTGAGATTTGAAAAGTTCGACGTCCTGGTAATAGATGTTTCTAGGCGTCTAATTACACACACAATCTCAAATGAGGGAACAAAGATCGATTACCTCTTCGAGATTTGAGTGTTTGTAGCCAAGGCTTCGTGGATGAGCTCGAGTATCCTCAGCAGCACGGCTATATATCCAGTCAGCAGTTGTACAGGGGAGGACTGGATCCAAAAGTACTTACTGAATCTCTCAGCTTCTTTGGCTGTTTTTGCTGGCCAAGACACATTAAAGCACTTCTCCGGTGGTGCACCATGGTCATTGGTCTGAGTTGATACAGCTGAAGATTTCGACCTGCATCTCAGGGGGATTGAAATGCCGTCACCTCTTTCTAGAGAATCGACGATATTCTCGAAAACACTTTCTATCGACATTATCGCTTTACTATTCGCTGGGTCATGGCAAGATGCCATTCTAGAGTGTAGGTAGAGAGCTTTGGAGCAATTCTGGTGGGTGGTTAGGGCACAACACTCCGAACCCTAATCTGTTTTTCCTAGCAAAATTCTACGCATTCTCAATTCTCAACTCCATCAGTCGTCTCGCCATTTGTCTGCCGGCTGATCGTCTGTTCACTCCAGGCCGCTCCTTCTTCTACCTCACTTTCGGAAGGTGATGAAATGTCAAATCCAGCTTTAGATAACGCTCGTCGTATGAAGATTGGTGGCTTCGATGAAGCCAGATAGTCGTCTCCGATATTTGGTACTGGCGGGGGCGGTGACCGCTTTTCATGAGTAGAGAAGCAGCGTACGCTCCCATTGTTACCGCTCCTCTCTGGCACTGGTTGACTGTGCAATATCTTTGGTATGATTGCGGCAGGTATCTCTTTCGCCCCAGGTGTAATGATTGCTCTCGGACTCACTGAAATTCGAGGGCTCAGTAATGAAAAATAGTCTGTAGCTTCACCTCCACTGACCAGTGTGCCAAGCTTGTGTGATTTATGTGGAGAGCACAGGCACGGTGTTGAATGACCCAATTCTTCAACACACTCTCCTGCATTCAGTTCCACCATCGACTTCGGCCCCAAAGCCAGATGTCTGCGCCTAGAGTGATCTCGGCTACCACCCCATTGGTCACCTCGGACGCGAGAAACTGCACGAGTTGCAGCATTCTGAGGCCATTGGATTCTGGTGGAGACGGGCAGTTCGCCTGGGTGAAGATGAGAGCCGGGGAGTTCAGTTATCTCCGGGACGATAAAGAGCTTTTTATGCAAGCTGCTGTCTCGGAAGAAGTAGACATAGATGACCGTTAGGAGGATGATGACAAGGAGGCCACCAATTGTTGCGCCTGCAATGATGCCAACTTGATGAGACGAAGCGAAGTCTGGGTTTGGAGGTTTATAGTCATTGGCTGCTGGGACAGCCACAGTGTCGGAAGGTTTGCTACGTATGAGGGAGGTCGTTGACATTATTCGAGAATGGTCCATTTTCTGTGGCAACTTCGCCCATATGTCTAGTAGTATATAACTAGCGTGACAAGATGTGTTTGGTGACCTTTGTTCTCCCACAAGGAAATTCAGTCGCCAACCACAACGGCTATTCTTGTAAGCATAAGCCTATGGTTCGGACCCGAATGGTACTTACAGGAATGAAAGACACGTCGAGACCAATCTTGGTCGAGAGGTGGAGCAAAAGTTCGCTAAAGGCCAGGAGGCGGAATAGCCATGGTGTCCAGTGGGTTTGGGCAGGCCTCTTCCTTTCACGCAGCCACGCACGAGCTCATGGTACACGTATTTGAAGGGGAAAACCACAAGGGGACTTGTACGTAAAGCACTTCGAACTAGCCCAATCTACTTAGCTTATAACAAGCAAACAATAGTCGGGTGATCCTTCTCCTAGCCATGGCGTAATGTGATCGATTGTCTGTGATCCCTCCCTCGCAAGCAAGCCTGCAAAATGGTCATTCCGTGCGAATAGTGCAGCTATCGGGAAACGCCAGCCACAGTCCATCGCACCAACTAGCGCAGAGATTACCATGCTGAAAATCTGCCACTGGTACCCGCACGATCTGAGAGGTGGCGGAGTGGGGAAATTTGGGTAGAATTTGTGTGGTCACAGTGAACGGCTGATGTTCTCCTCGCAAATACCATGATGTACTTAGCATGGATGAATTGTTTTTGGCAAAGTCAAGCAAGTTGCTGCAGGCTGCCGTCTTAGCATGATGCTGGTACCCCTGTCTGTACTCGTGGTCTGGCCACTAATGCCCACATCTGCAGCTAAGGGAGCCAGAGCACGCCGTCGCTGTTTCCAAAGCGGACCGGTGTGACGGAAAAGAGCAAGACCGGGAAGCCTAAAGCTTTTCTCTGACATTTGCAGTTTCAGATCTCTTTCTATCAACTTGCCTTTCTGGGAAGCCCAGGCTTTGCTGAATGGGCGAAGAATGGGAACAATGTGATTGGACCTTCTCGTCGACCCCTCTCCAAGATTTGGTGCATTCTTTCAAGCCCTTCGCAATTTCTGAGAAATTGCTAGGTGACTTTGGGCTGCGGATTGTAGGCTTGCTGAAGCCTTGCGAGAGAGGGCCAGCAACCCCGATCGTCTTGTGCTCGTTCCTTGCAGCGGGCAAGACGATCTTCAGGCATTCTTGTGTGTGAACAATGTGTCACGAATCAAGCTTACGATAGCGCAACATCGTGCTGTTGTCAGCGAGGTCTGTCTGCATGTGTTGGCGCATAGTGTTGCTCACCTTTCGAATAGTCAAAATCTGGAAGGCCTTGACCGCACCAAAAGCTTGACCCCATAGCTGTCATTATCGTAGAATGAAAAACAAGTAAACGGTGACCATAAGGCTCCCCAATTGCGATGCCACGCTTATAGGAGATCGTTTTAGGTGTGTGGCGTAGCAGAATAAGTTCTCGTTCGGAGAATTAGGGTCTTGAAGATGAGAATCTTGGATCGATTACTCCAGCTGGAACTGAAACTAACCTGTCGCACCAAGTTCACTATAATTCGAACGTAAGCAATCTTGAAACGGGCTGGGTGTGCGTTTCCTGCCGGCCGTGCTGACATTTAAGAGAAGCTGAGAATCGATTGCCCGGCAAGTGAAATCGGCATACAAGAAGACAAGGCTCTTCCACAAGGCTGTTCATTGGATTGCCTTGGCCGATACGGTAAATCTTTGAGCATATGTACAGATCAAGGCTCTTACATGGGTATCTGAAATTTGCGATCTCTGTTGCACTCATCACTCTTGGAGGTCATCGTCTCCGTGCGAGTTCTTGCCGCCTCCTCTCCTCGTACTGTTTTGCTTTCTTCATCTCCGCTTCCGTCCTCTTCCTTATTCCACTCTGTGCAGACTGTTGCTGGGATGCTTTTTGTTCTGTTTGTTTCACGAGGTCCCGCCACGCTTGCTTGAATGTATGTCTCACTCTGGCGATACCCCATGGTGGTCGATCATCGACCGGTGTAGACTTTGTGGTTCTGATGCGAGGGACTGAAATTTCCTTTGAATCACTTGGTTTTTTCAAAGGATACATCTTGAAAGTCTGTCGGAACCATGTTTTTCGGAACATCATTGTTTGCCATGCGGTGAAAAAAGCCGTAGTGAATAGCGATATCTGCAAGCTGCTCGGGAAGAACACGCTGAAGCACAAAGTCATGATCGGCATTACGTATCGAAATAATAGCGTAATCGAAGCTGATGAGGCGACTTCAGCTGTTTGAGTCATGTACTTGGCAAAGCATTTGGTGAGCTAATAATCGAGGGTATATCTGAGGGGAAACTCGCTTACCTTGAAGGACACGAAGTAGATTAGACTCGTACATATCGGCAAGATGAAAAGCGGATCTGGCAAGGTCAAATCTGTGAACCACCAAAACCCGGCGGTATCAAAGCCAGGAACGGGCAAAGACCCCATTCCTCTCAATAATCTGAATGTCCCAAATCCAATTGGAATCTGCAATATTGGGAACCCCATTGGAAGAATTCTTAAGCCCAACTCCCTCCTTTTTGCCATTAATTTTTGATTGGCCATCATTTGTGCATTGCGGTCACCACTGGCTCTAGCAGCCTGCGTCCCCGCCAATTCCGATTCAAGAAGATGCTTAGTGCCTGCGAACTTTGCAGACATGTCATTCGACACGATGTAGCCTGGGAGCATAAGCAGCCGAAATCCTGCCACAATGCATACAATGCTAATGCCCCAGGGTAGCCCAGAATATATATACAGATGCTCTAAAGTCCATTGCATCATCGAGGTAGTGCCCCAGCCATAGTCCAGACCAAGCTCTTTCAGATAGCCAACATGCTCGTCAACTTCCCATGTCAGGTCTGAATAAGGATCGAAAGCATCTGTGGTAGAAGGGTCGAATTCAAGGTTCGGCTCTGCGATAGTTGTCGGGTCGGTAGATTGGATTTCAGCGACCGGTGTGACCGACTCGGACGTTGGAGGCGGAGTGGTCACCGCGGTGTCACCGCGGCTGCCGAAGAAATTGAAATAGGACGCGTACCGTGGATGAGAAGAATTCAGTAAGCTAGCACGACCACGACGTCTGGACCAAGGTTGCGGTTTGGGGGGCCAAGATGAAGGTAGGCCCCGGATAGATGGATTCAATGGCCTCGAGAGAAGTGAGAACTGAAACTTCTGTCAATCATGAAGGTAGGGAGATAAAACAGGTGTACTTGCATCTGACCGCTGACGACTGCCAACAGGTGTCTGAGCGTCATACTTTATGCTTCTACGGCCGACTCGCTGAAGGCAACGAAGCTGTAGCATTGCTCAATTGATTTGTTAAATTCGCAAGAAGCAACTGGCCTCAAATTTCGGTCAATAAGGAATCATACGAATAGCCGGGTAGCAGCTGGGCAGCTTCTTTCGAGGCCGCTGCGGGTCGGTTCGGCCCCTTAAGCCCAGGCCGCCCTTCAGCGCCTATCAGATACGCATCGGACTCTTTTTACAATGAAGAAGAATCCCCTAAGAGCGAGTTCTAGGACTCCTTGCTGTATTCATGCTCTAAAATATGACCCTTTATATTGCTAGAGTATGGGGAAATCCTTTTCCTTTAGCGACCAGGATGCTTCAAAGCAAAATAAGGTCAGTGGTTTCCGTCCACAATCTATTCTGAAGCACGCTTAAGTATTATCTTAAGTCCGTTGCAAGGGTGACTGCATCAGCTAAATTTGCACATAAATAAGGCCTTGGCCTTTGCAAGTAAAGACATCAAGATCGGGGTATCATGTATCGTTCTCCAAAGCGCAAATCATCTTCGCTCAAGTCCTGGCATACCTCCATTGCTCTACTGTCGCTGAGGATCCTGACCAAACCGTTTGTCGAAGAACTTGAGGACGCTCATAACACTTGCAGCTTCAATCTCAAACGCAGTTCTGCCTTCTGTCTCGTCTGTGCGTGGCACTGCTGCCAATTGGGAAACCCATGAGCCAAGGTCATGACTTGCTTGCGGAAACCCCTGATGCTGTGATAGTCGAGTAAAGGCGTCAGCGCAGGAGAACGTACGCTCTGTCGCTGTATTTGAGGTGTTTCGGGCTGTTGTGGATGCAGACTTATCTGTCACAGTTGCTCTGGTCGCCGCGAAAGTTCGACAGAAGACTTTGCTTTGAGGATCAGCGCGGCATTGGGCACAATTACCGGGGTTTTTGGTGCAAGAATTCGAGATCTCATTGGTAGAGCTTGCATTTAATGTCTGATCGAGATCACCCACTTGCTGAGCTGATCCCTGCTGCTGAGATATTTCTGTAGCGATAGCGGCACATATACACTCAGTCTCGTCGTTACAGAAGCCACATCGGTCCGGAGCCATATTGGAGGGCTCGGAAGCAACGTTTACGGTTGACGATGGAATCTTTGTAGCTTTCCGAGACGCAAATTGTGCAGTGAAGTCTATCTCGTTATTCTCGAAATCTTCGTGAATGTCGCTCAGACGAGCCCGTTTCGTCTCCGCCTCTTTGAAAGGTGAGTGAGTCCGCTTGGCATTGAATTGTGCTCCATCCTCTGCATGCCCAACCGGAGTTAAGAATTCCTCGACACACCGACAGCGGTCGTTGTCATCGGTGCACCTACCACAAGTCACGCCCTCATCAGTGACATCCGTATTTTCTTGCTGATTTAGAGCCTGGCCAGGTTGGTAGACCTGATTCTGCGAGCTGATGTTCTCCCTGATCTCTCGACTTCTTGTCCTCAGCACTTCGATCTCCGAGTCTGCTTGCTGTCTTTGCCATGTCTCTCTGTGGCAAGTTCCTTCTAATTCTACGGTCTTTCGCTCATAGGATGCGACCAAATTGATGTAATATTGAATGTCGTTCTGCAGCCGGTGTACTGTTTCTTTGAGCTCACTATTCTCCTTCCGGAAATCGTCCTGAGACTCTTTGAGTTGTTCTTCGAGCTCACCAACCCGAGCTGCTCGTCGCTCGCGAAAGGCTCTTTGTGCTTCTCGATTCTGAGCCTTTCGCTTGGTCGGTGGGGCATCTCCTGCTGGTTTTCTACCCGGCTTTGGCCGTGGTGGAATACTCCACTGTTTACTTATAAAGGAAGTCTGCGGGATGGTTGAACCTGGCGTTGGTGCAATGGGAGTGTGCTTATTTACCGTTGCTGGACTGGAAGGCGTCAGGATGTGCGGAGGATGTGGCGTGGCAGAGGCTTGCGCCGATGCCATGGTCTTCAGTGACTGAAGAACAAGTTTCACTCTTCACCAAGCTAGTACCATCTTGAATGATGGTGCGAGGTGAAGGAGTAACTCTCTGATATGTCATTGTAATCTGTGGCTGGACTCCGCCTGCTCCGCAAAAATTAAGCTTTCCGATGTCGCCTCCGATAAGATTAGACTCTTGTCATTTTGCTGGGTGTAAGACGAAAATTGCATCACTCTTCTTGAAATGTGAAAGAGCCGGAAAAAAATTTACCAATTGCTTGTGCCATCTACTCGGTTTCATTTGGATGAGTAGTCACCGGCAAAAACTTATAAACTATGGAGGACTCTCTAATTTCTACTCCGTACTAGTCGCCTTCTCGTAGTCTTCACCGAACAGATCATACCATTTGTCGACGACGCCCTGACTCATGCCAGCTCCTATGACCTCTTTGCCAGCTATCCAGTCCTTTGTGGTAAAGCTCATGTACTCCTCCATACTCAAAGTATTCGCGTTATTGTCCTTTTTGTTGTCATCGGGATTCTCGCGTTCTCGGTGCAAATCTGTGGCTACCGTTGGCGGTGCAAGCTCGATGACTTTTATGTTGGTACCTTTCAGCTGCGTTCGCAAATTCATTGTCCAAAAGTGCGACCAAGCTTTGGTACCATTATAAACTGGGTTGATGACGCTTGTAGGAAGATAGCCCAATAGACTGGTCACATTGACTATCAAGGAATTCTTTTTGGTCTTGAAATATGGAAGAAAGTTGATTGTAAGATGCATAGGACCGCGAATGTTTATGTCGATTTCTTGATCTGCTTTAGCAAGATCAAAATTGTGTACATCAAGTGGACGTTGGACGCCAGCATTGTTGATAAGGCAGTCGACTTTTGGGTGCTCTCTGATGACTTTCTGGACAAATTGTGGTATTGCTTTGACGTCTCCGGTGTCCAGGGTGTAATACGTGGTTGAGGCTCCCATTTCCCTAGCCGCTTGCTGAAGCTTCGACTCCGTCCGTCCAACGAGAACCACATCCTTGCCCTGTTTCACAAGCCATTCTGCGATGGCTCGTCCTATCCCTCCACCTCCACCAGTGACAATCGCACACTCGAAAGACAGGTTCTGTTGAGACATTGCAACCCTTGTTTTTATCGACACTCGCTGCACAGATGATTATGCGAGGGTTCAAGAAGAGTGCGTATTATTGTGAGAGAGAGATCGTAAAGGAATGGATAAGCATTGTAATTATATAGTTGCGGTGGGCTATGATGACGTCTAGGCGATGACGTTCGGTCGCTCCGAATTAGTCCGAGGCAAAATCTGTCCACCGTTTGGCAGCACTGGGCTTTTTGAAGGCTTCAGCTCTTTGGAAAATCATCCTGCTTAGCGCACAGCACAAGATATACCAGTCAGACCACTCCACGTACAGAGTATTGCAATTGGACAGAGCAGAAAGAAAAAATACAAGTGTTACTGCGTCGGGTCAAAGAACCCCTGAAAGAAAAGGCCGCCGAATCTTTCGCGAACGCGTACAGCTTTGAGCTTCATGTCGCCCACTTCTTCCAGCCGTAAAACGATGAGGGGAGCACACACACGCAAATCGCAAGCAGTTCAGCTCACCTAGACAACGTCGGTCTTATTCGCCGACTAGGCTGCACTGGTGGGTGGTCCAACTTTCTGATCGATTTCGATAATGCAAGCCAAAGCTGATCGCTGCTCGAATACTTTCCCCCCTTGAGTGAGAAGGACTCGGTCTTCTGCCGACGTCAGTGAGTCACGCTCTGTGCTGATCTTTACTAAAAGCCAAAGGAGTACGCTGGTAGTGAACGACAAGGGACTTTGATATAGGAAAGCTTTGCCTAGATGTTGATACTCTGGTCATTTCTTCTCTTGTTTGAAGTATTGCCATTTGCCGGTATCATCAGGTGTCCTTGCTTACTTGCCCCCTTACCAGTTGGTATGTTGAAAAGCACAGCAGGCTTACCGTGCTGAAATGCTCGATCAACTCGGAAGTATCCTTTCCGCTCAAATTGTATGATATCATCCTCTTTCAGTTCGGCAACGTTACAGTCCGCGAGGGCCTCAGAGCGGAACTCCGTTTTTTCATTGAGAAAATCATCGAGCTCATCACCCTCTTCAAGGACATCTTTGGTGATGAGGTAGTCAAAATCCACAAGCTCGATTGGGATCAGCTCCTGTCCTTGTTGGGATAACCAAGTAATTTTCTGTTTAGTAGTTTTGACGTCACCTTGTAAGTGCAGCTCAAGTTCAAGGCCGGTCACCTCTTTGAGGTGGAGTGGATTGAAGGAGTGCTTGATATTACGGACGATCGCGTTGCCCCAATTCATCAAGGTGATCTCTTCATCCTGCGCGAAGTTTTGGGCGTCAACTTGTTCAATCAAAATTTCCTCACTAAACGCCACTTTTTTGGTCCCAATCTCGGGATTCTTGCCATGCTTGGGCTTGTCCTCTGTCCACGGTGCTAAGCGTGCACCTTTTACTGTAGCTTTGACGGCATGCTCCTTAGTGATGGCAGTGTGTCGAGGTGCCACAGGATCAATGTATTTCTTGTTTGTCGCCCAGAACAAGGTCCAGTCAAGATTCACTATGTTTTTACTTGGCCCCTGTTTGAGAATGAACTCACGAAGAGCGGGTATCGTCATGCCTCTGCGGCGAATGCCACGGATAGTGGGGAATCGAGGATCATCCCATCCCCAGACAACGCCTCTGTCCACGAGCTTTGTAAGCTTGCGTTTCGACAAGACGGTGCGGACAAAATTCATGCGAGCGAAGTCCCAGATGTGAACTTTTCGTAGTTGAAGAGCATTTAGCATCCATTCGTATTGAGGATTTCGATCCCGGTACTCGATAGTTCTGAGAGCGTGGGTTACGCCTTCAATTGAATCGACAATGGGGCAAGCAAAGTCGTAAGTGGGATACATTTTCCATCTGTCGTTCGTACGGTGGTGCCTCTCCGGATTGCATCGGTATATGACGGGGTCACGTAAAGCCTTGTTTGGATCATCGATCGACATCTTTGCTCTCACACACCACCTTAGGCCTTCGTCTGTCCCCTTTTTCATCTCCTCAAAACGCGCAAGATTCTGATCTACGCTAGCATCACGCCGCTCGCTCTTGATGCCATGCCATCTCTCATGCTGCATCTTTTCTTTCTCGGTGTCATCACCGTACGCTCTGCCGTCTTTGATCAGCCTGATACAGTACTCATATAACTCGTCAAAGTAGTCGCTAGTGAAAGTCGTTCTGTCCGGTCGTACCCCCATCAGGGCGAGATCCGCGACAATAGCGTTCTGAAACTCTTCTCTCTCTTTTGATGGATTGGTATCATCAAAACGGCACAAGAGTGTTCCGCGATATTCCTCATGAGCAAAGTAGTCGTTAAGCAAAGCAGCTTTGACGTGGCCAATATGCAAGTAACCCCTTACTTTCGTTAGCATAGACCTACCAACCGAGAGTGCAGCATATTTACGACGGCTCTGGAGGAAATCTCGTTACAACCCCCTTGTCAGTATCAGGAAGTCCGATCCCGTAGCTTGCACCTTTCGAGCTCTGAGCTGATGTCCGTGCTTGTGCCTGGGCATTTGCCGAGTGAATGGCGTTTGCTATCCAAGGACAGATTTCTTCAATGAACTTATACCAACGAGTGACATTAAGCATTGCTCCCTTCTTCATCGATGAATAGCCGATCTTGCTGCCACGTATCACACCCCATACTGCGATATCAGCAGCGGTCACGCTATAGTCTACAATGTACGAGCGGAGTGTTAGATGCGCGTCAAGCTCTAAAAGATGGGCCTCTGTTGCGCGGACGTCCGGAGCACTAATCTTGGTTGATCGATCAAACCACTCGTTGACCTTCTCATTAAGTCAACCATGAGCATGACTAATGGAAGGCAGCAAATACGAGTTCATCATTCTTTCCTCTGAGAAGTGGATTACTCTCAAACAGACTGTTCAGGACCTGTTGAGAGCCAACCAGCGGGTCACCTGACCCTGTAAGCAATTCAACAGTGGACTTCTTTAGAGGATCAAGTATGTCAACATCCTCAAAGATAAAATCGATACTGGTCTTATCATCTAATATTTTGGTGAAGTGAGCCACCAACAAGGCGGGAAAAGTCGTGGATTGACTCGCCTTGGCGGCAATCTTCAGCGTGGCCATACTTCGCGAGAAATGGAACGCGGTATTCGTGAAGTCGTTGAAATGAGCGAATCACTTCGGTTTATATCGGATTTAGAGCGGATTTAAGAAGCTTCACTCGAGTTGCCCAGCTCCATGCAGATTTCGAGCTCTTGTTCTCAATGCAACATGTCTATAAGACAAAACCGTTTAAGGATACCTCAGACCCTTACCTTCTGTTCATTGAGACCGCAGCTCGCCCTGAGGCTTTTCTCCTCTACCTCCCATCGCTATGTATCTAATAAACCAAAAACAACGAAGAAGAAGAAAGCCCGCACTGAATTCATAAACCACAGTCTTAAGGACGCCATGAAATTCTCATTATGCGATGCTATGCGGTGAGACGGAAAGACTTTCTGAAATCGATTGACTTACTCATGACGATTTTCTAGGTACATTAAAGCGTACGAAGTCGGACGGCCACCTACATCATCTAAATACGACCTTGCTATCCGTCTACGCACACCTAAGAACGGTCCTGCAGTCCGCAATCGTGTCGAGCTCCCTCACGTGGTCAATTCCTCAACTCGAGTCTGCGTCATCTGCCCACCAGACTCAAAACATGCAAAACAAGCCGTCGACTCAGGCGCAAGCTTAGTAGGGGAAGAGACCGTATTCGACGCAGTGAAAGCCGGGAGAATAGATTTCGATAAGTGTATCTGCCATGTGGACTCGGAACGAAAGTTGAAGCAGGCTGGCGTCGCGCGAATGTTGGGGCCTCGAGGTCTCATGCCAAGTGAAAAACTAGGGACCGTGACAAAGGATGTCAAAGCAGCAGTAGGGGCGATGATAGGAGGCAGCGAGTACAGAGAAAAACTAGGGGTGATACGGTGTGCTGTCGGTCAGCTAGGATTTACACCAGAGGAGATGCAGAGCAATATCAGGGAGTTCATGAGCGCAATCAAGAGAGATATTGCGCAGTTGAGCGATCGTATCAGCAAAGATGTCCACGAAGTGGTGAGTATTTCATTGAAGCACCGGCCACTGCTCTCAAGATCTTGGCTTACGATGTTCTAGGTATTGAGCTCAACGAATTCCCCTGGCTTTACCTTGAGTGGAGAATTCAGGAGTCCGGAGAGTCCCTCGACCAAAGGTTTATCTGTAATATAGCCTCATTTCATGCATAGCGATGTCATTCAACGGTAATTTTGCTTCTTTTTCATCACCGTTTGAGAGATCGAGTCTCCTGCAGTACAGCAACAGCGTCTCTCTGCGCTTCCATGATCTTGTACAGCTCAAGAATATCCGGAATCATTCCTTTCCTGTCATGATCAGCCATGACCTGTTTGAGTGCGCTGCCCAGATCCAGTAACACAGTCTGCTTCAACCGCAAAATCCTGTCTTCCTGTCTCAATAAGAACGGATGCTCTGAACCAAGCCTGTTTACGAGCCTCGTGACATAACCATACTGTTCAACGTGTCTCTTCAACCTCCCAATATCCGCAGCGGCCTCCGCCTCCTCTTCACTTTCGTCCTCGCTCGCAGCATCCTCTTGCTCTTGACGCTTGTCGCCGTTCTTTGTCAGCATCAACCGACGTTCTAAATCTTCCAGTCGTCGATTGACTTCTAACAATCCTCTGCCTAGCATAGTACGTCGCCTAATGACCTTCCTCTCCTCTATCAAAACCTCCACCTCCTTCCTCCTCTCCTTGACCTTGTCCCTCAAGCCTTCAACTTCCCGTTTAAAGCCCAGAAGACCCACCCTAATCTCCTCGATTTTCTCATCTCCCCCTTTCAAGTCCTTGCCTAAGCTAAGAAAATCTTCATAATTCGAATTGACGAGGTCGAGTAGCTCCTTGCTTATGTCTTGTGATCGCTGACGCAGCTCACTGCGAAGATCTTCAAGTGACTGGTGTCTGTTCTGAAGAGAGGAGAGAAAGGATGTGGGGTCGAAGTCCGGAGCGAGGAAGGCGGCACGTGTGAGCGGCTTCGGATAGGGAAGTGAGGAGAGGTCATTGGAGGAGGTGGAAGAGTCATCGTCGTCGAACTGAAGTATATCATGTTAGCTGTTCCTTGGAAGATTCAGCTGCCGAGTATTGTTGTAGACTTACGTAGAATCTGCGTGACATTGCTGTGCGGAGCTTCCACTCGTACAAGTGAAACCCAATTTAAATTTCTAGGTACCCTTTTGCGGACTTTGCTCCGCAACTTCACTTTTCACCCCATCCTTCCCGCTTCCCTTAGAGCATCAGAACGTAGTTCCATGGAGACTCTGTCGCGGTTTTGATCACCTCTTCATATTTCTTCGTCCCTACTTGCGTGACGCGATGTCCTCACCACCCCGCTCTGGGGGCGGGACCTCACCAACCTACCCATCCCAAGTGCCCTTACCTAACAATCCACGCAAACGACCATCTCTACATCTGCAACAAAGTCATGGCCCTCAGAAGCGCAGAAAGCAAGCCTCTATAGCCTCAGGCGCCTCTTCCGCACACCCACTCCGTCAAACATCCTTCCCCCCCAACGAGATCGCAGTTGAATCAGCACTCCTTAGCCCTAGTGTTGAGAGCGATATCACAGGCTTCACAGGCGATGGCGTTCGTAACGCCAACACAGCAACGAGCGCTAAGGGAGGGAGGAAGCGGGGGAAGAAAGGCAAAAGGGAAGTCAGTGCGAGCGTCAAAGGCAGGGGCGCTCAAAGTGAGCGAAGTGCTACAGGGGACATTGCGGATGAGGAAGACGAAGATGAGGATGGAGGAGAAGGCTTGATGGACGATGGGGGAGAAATGGACAAAGCGGCGGAAAAGAAGAATTTGAGCGTGCTTGTGGATGCATTCAGTCCAGAACAGGCGGAGCGGTACGAGATGTTTCGGAGAGTCAAATTGAAGAAAGAGACGGTGAGGAAGGTATGTACCCTAATTCTCAATCATTAAGGGGCGATGACTGATAAGAGGAATCAGATTGCAAACTTTACGCTTGCGCAATCTGTCCCACCAGCTGTAATCACGACGATCAACGGTTATACCAAGACCTTCGTAGGTACCCTGATTGAAAGGGCAAGAGAAGTGCAGCAGCAGTGGGCTGTTATCGAGACACCACCAGCAACCCCAGGAGCGACGCAGATTCCTCCCGATCCTCCCGATCTCGGTGTGGAGAAACCAAAGAACAATAGTGCCATTCGAAGAGCAAGTAGCGGATCGATTGATCCTGAGCTGTTGTTCGGAGAGGATGTAAACGCAGAAGAGCACAAACCACACGAAGATCTTGGTCCTCTTCTTCCTGATCATCTGCGAGAAGCTCTGAGACGGTACCGGCGAGACGGCGAGGCAAATAGCACTGGTTTGACTGGGTTCAGTGTCGGTCTTGGTGTATCAGGGACAGGCTCCGCGCGGCTGCAGGGTAGGAGACTCTTCAGATGATATACTCCATTCAAGGCTTCCGTCGATTGAGAAGAGCTCTCGGTGGCTGCGTTCAACCCTATTAACTCACGCTTCCTCGATCTCTTTACCCTCCATTTTCTTACCTCCGCTACTCCCTGCACCACCCGCAGCAACCATGTTCAGAAAGCCCTTTCTGCTCATCTCACCTACACGCTCCTCCGTCCGATTTCTCAAACCACCTTGGGCTCTCGCTTCCTCTGCCTTCACCTGCGCTGCCCTGACAGCATTAAAGAGCTTCACCACACCCCTCTGCGCTGTCTTCCTTAACCGTTTCTCCTGCTCCTGTAGCTCTCCTATACTCATTCCACCTTCCCCCTTCCCGTCAGCATCCATTACAACTCCAGCCCCTCCTCCTGTGCCAAGCAGCACATTTTTCACCCTTCCCTTGTCGAACGCTTCCCTTTTCTCTTCTTTGAGCTTTCGCTTTGCTTTCTCCTCGAGCTTGCTATTACTCAGAGATTTGCTGGCTTCTTTTGCGGTCACGCTGCGGGAGAGGACAGGGTCGGAACGCTTTTGAGTCGTGAGCTTTGAGGAGAGAATTGTGGAGATAGAATTCGCAAAAGCGGCCGGATCGTTTCGCTTGGATTTTGTCTTTGGTAGGGATGAAGAGTGGGTATTTGAGGGGGTCTTGGAGATAGAGAAATCGGAGGCGTAACTGGAGTCTGAGAATTGCTCTGCCGAGTCAGTAAATTTGGAAACTTCCTGTGCAGTAGATGGTTCTGAGGCATCAGTCTCAGGATCATCAGCTCCGTCAGAATCGGCGAGGTCAACGGCGGGAAAGCTGTGATCATCATTTTCTGAAGCAGAGCTGGAAGAAGAGCTTGTATAATGCTTTTGTTTGCGAAATTTCTTTGGGGCTTTCGTAGCTGATTGATCGTCCCTTTTACGCTTCTTCAAAATTGAGGGTGCCATCGCAGATTAGACCAATTGGCGGAAATGATTTTTGCTGCAGAAAATTGAAGATGATCGCAAAACCCTTTTTCTGTGGGGAATTCAGCTCCGCTCATCCCCGCCCCGCCCGTACATTTCGTGCCTCCAACAGGTGAAGCGATCTTTTCCACACACATATTGAACGCATTAGAGCTGGTCGGATGCTTTTTCAGGACTCACGTAAAGGTTAAAGAACTCTACCATGACTAAAAGAAGGTGACACCTCTACAATACTTTCCTCCAATTCCTCTCTCCTTTTCGACGCCTCCCATCAACCCAACAGTATTCCTCAATATGGTTCTCCAAGATCTAGGACGGCGTATCAATGCCGCTGTCTCAGATCTCACACGGTCTCCAAACCTCGATGAGAAGGCACGTCTCCCCTCGACGCCACCTATTCACCCCACTAACACAACCCTAGGCCCTTGACAACATGATCAAAGAAATCTCCAACGCCCTTATTCAAGCCGACGTAAACGTCAACCTAGTACGCCAACTCCGCAAATCTATCAAGTCGACAGTGAATTTCAAAGACCTCTCCCCTGCCGTCAACAAAAAGCGTTTAATCCAAAAGACCGTCTTCGATGAGCTCGTCAAACTCGTCGACCCACACGCCGAACCCTTCCGGCCCAAGAAGGGCAAAAGTAGCGTCATAATGTTCGTCGGCCTACAAGGCGCCGGCAAAACCACCACATGTACGAAACTAGCACGACATTACCAGGCACGCGGCTTCAAGTCCTCACTCGTCTGCGCGGACACCTTTCGAGCCGGGGCTTTCGATCAACTAAAGCAGAACGCAACGAAAGCGCGAATACCGTATTTCGGCAGCTTGACGTCCACGGACCCGGCACAAGTGGCAGGCGAAGGCGTTGCGAAATTCAAGAAAGAGCGATTCGAGATTATAATAGTGGATACGTCGGGGAGACACAGGCAGGAGAAAGATCTCTTCGATGAGATGGTGCAGATCCAGCAGGCCATCAAGCCAGATCAGACCATCATGGTGCTCGATGCGACGATAGGTCAACAGGCAGAGGCGCAGAGTAAAGCGTTCAAAGACGCTGCAGACTACGGTGCTATCATCATTACGAAGACAGATGGGCATGCGTCTGGGGGAGGAGCCATCTCCGCTGTCGCGGCGACGCACACGCCGATTGTATTTCTGGGAACTGGCGAGCATCAACTAGATTTAGAACGGTTTGCGCCGCAGCCGTTCATTTCGAAACTGCTGGGGATGGGGGATATGCAGGGCTTGGTGGAGCACGTACAAGCGCTGAAGCTAGATAAGGGGGAGACGATGAAGCATGTGTTGGAAGGGGTCTTCACAGTCAGAGATCTGCGGGATCAGCTGCAGAATATCATGAAAATGGGCCCTTTGTCGAAAATGGCGGGGATGATACCAGGGTTGAGTAATATGATGGGTGGAATGGATGATGAAGAGGGGAGCATGAAGATGAAACGCATGATCTATATCTGCGATTCCATGACGGATAAGGAGCTGGATAGTGATGGGAAGCTGTTTGTGGAGAAGCCAGAGCGGATGACGAGGGTCGCGAGAGGCAGTGGGACGAGTGTCAGGGAGGTGGAGGAGCTGCTGAGTCAACAGAAGGTCATGGCAGGGATGGCCAAGAAGATGGGAGGTATGAATAAGAATATGCAGAAAGCACAGGGTATGATGGGAGGTGGGAATCGGCAGCAGCAGATGGCTGCTATGCAGAAGAGAATGCAGAGTATGGGCCGAGGAGGCGGGGGCGGAATGCCTGGGATGCCGGGTATGCCTAACATGGGTGGTGGTGGGATGCCCGATATGGCTTCAATGATGAAGATGATGGGCAATATAGGGGGTGGAGGTGGCGGCGGCGGAGGGGCAGGTGGAGGAATGCCTGATATGGCATCTATGATGAACATGCTTGGGGGAATGGGCGGCGCTGCCGGCGCCGGCGGTAGCGGCGGAGGGCGAGGTGCGAGAAGGTAGTCACTGGTTCCGGCGAACGGTCAGCTACCTACAGAGGTATTATTATTAATGAGAATGACTGATGAGGTGAATGAGCCGTCTGCTAACACTTTTGCTAAAGTTACATAAAGGAAGGGATACCTGGCTCGACTTACAATCAAATATATTGCGACTACAGGTAAAGCGAGAGAATCTGAAAATGCTTTTATACTCTATAATATCAATTAACAATGGCGGTTAGCAAGTCAGAACCTTTAAGAGAAGGAGGCTTAGGAAATATATGACTCTTTAGAAATAGTTAACATCTACCTTGTTTTAGTCCTTAAGCCACCATTTTCTTCAGTCAGCTGTCAAGATTTCGGGGCCACTAATAAGTCAGATTCAATCTAGTAAATGACGCAGAATGCCGCATTAAAACTGCTCGTCATGAAATACAGCCGGCTCTCAATATGTGCGAGTTGTAGAATTGCCAATTGCAGCAAGCGTCAACAAGGAATCGACTATTTCATAAAAATGTAAGAGCTGAGACTCTGATTAACCCGTCAGATGAATAGAGTGGTATCTGCCGTTCTTCGACGCCGGACACCATGCAAGAAAACGACGTTTCCAAAAACCAACCCGCTTGCTCAAAATTCACCCCCTTTTCCACCGGCACCCCCAATAGTAGCGGCTCCCCATACCCCTACCAATCCCCACATGCCTACTCGCCATCCTCGATAGAGCCCTCCCACTCCTTGTTGTTTCCGCTGCGATTGTCCAATCTTGTTGACTTTCATGCCGGGCGCGCCTTTACCTCCTTTGGATAACTCGCTTGCTGATGAAGGGGCTCTACTGTCACCCTCTTCGTACAGGATAGAGCTCATGGTGCCAAACAGACCATTATAAGGTCCCACTTCAACGATTGTTGCCATGGATTTAATCTGTGGCGTTGAACGTGCTACTGCCATTTGGCCTCTCCTGAGCACGGTCTCGAGAGGTAGCTTGACACCCAATTCGATCATTTGACTGCAGAAAGTCGAGACCGAATAGAGATTAGGGGTCAATACCGGATCGATACCTAGCTTCGTTCTCAGAAAGAGTGGAGTAGATGCCGAGATCAAAGTCGGAAGCGCAGCGTGAAGAATAGCTGTAGGTGCGATGGAGAAAGGTAAGAGCCAGCTGGGTAGCGTCTTTAAAGTTGTCAGTATAGATCTTGGTGGATGAGTAGAAGGGGTTAGAATGAGCTTTGTTCGCGCAATGTCTAGGGGCGCCAGGAATATTCCGGCCACGCCGGCGGCTGAGACGGCTACAGCCAACGAAGATAGTGGCGATGAGGATGAAGTGATATCCAGTCCACCCGCGTAGGCAGATGGTCCTGAGGCTGTGAGGAATCCAGATAATCCTGGATCCTGTAGCCCAAGGAGGGCGGAGAGAAATGATCGTACAAATGCTGTGACGGTAGAAAGAAGAATTGAGTATACGAATGTACAGTTAGTGCCTTTCCACACACCCCAAGCGCCTTCTCTATTCCATAAAGAGGACAGCGCACTTGTGACGGACGAGGAGGATTTGAGATCCAAAATGTGAGGACCTAATGGATTTCTGGGCGGTGACTGTGGTTGATGAACTCGAGGGATACCGTCTGGACTAGATGAGAGACGACGTCGTCTACCTCTCGGATGTGTGGAGCTATGGGGGAGGGGAGCTGAAGAGGTGAAGTATGAAGCCGAATCCTCTGAGTCGTCCTGCAGTTGGATTAGCACTTGCGGGCAGGAAATCGCAAACGGCAAGACATACATCAGACGGCAGGTGCCGGTGACCTGCAGGTCTTCTTTTTGAGTCGTTGAGGGAAGGTAGATTTTCGATTCGCTTTTGCTTCCCAGATGTAATAAAGACCTGAAGGACGGTCTTCGCAACCTCAAAAGGCTGGCCAAGAGAGACAATGGCGTACTTCCACACTGCCTGCTCTACCAGCCTCTTCAGTAAATCTGTAGCCGCCGGAGAGGGATCGGAAACGTAGTCGGAATAATCCATATCCGCCAAAATATTGCGTGCGGAGGATCCAAAGCTATTACTTGGAGGCGAGACATGCCTGGAGATATGACTGGTTGTTGTTGGAATAGTATTGGCTTGGGTGGACGTAGAATAGCGGCTCGGAGGAGCATTGTAGTACGGTCTTAGAGGGTTGGGTTCACGGGTTGTTGTCATGAGGGGCTGATGGTATGGCGGCGCTGTGGAGGGAAGAATGGATCATGGAGTTTACTTGACTGTCGATAGCCATGATGTCGATCTTTGCGGAGGGCAACTTTAGGCGAGCGCTCTCCGAGTGGAAAAGTTCGTCATGGCCGAATTTGACTGTTTTGAACTTGATTCTCACTTGAAAGGTTTTGTGCCGAGCATGAGTATAGCTCATAGAGTCTCATGTTGCTCATCATCCTTTCGGAGAGCGAATTCCTCAACGCAAACCCATCAGACTCTTGGTAGAAGTTTCTTACGGTTGAGGCTTTTCAGCAATACACTTGGCCCGGCGCGGAGACCAACAAATGAGCTATGGATAAAGAAGAATACTACAGACTACCACTGGCTATTTCCTAGAAGTCGGCGGAAGCTTAGTACTACTGCGACTCTTTATCATGGCCACATTGATCCTCCGAAACCGGGCGAAGAGTAAGAGCATTTGCTCCAGCATGCTTGTGACGCTTTTACTAAGAGTGCTTAAGGATTGCAGTGACCTTTGTTGATAAAGATGGGGATGAACACCGATTCAAAGTCTCAGAAGGAGACAATCTGCTTGATATCGCACAGGCAAATGATCTAGAGATGGAAGGTAACGTCGTTTCGTCCAATTACAAGACGGGCATAATTTGATACTTGAGTAGGTGCTTGTGGGGGGTCTTGTGCATGCTCAACCTGTCACGTCATTGTTGAAGATGAAGAGTTGTACGACAAAATTCCCGAACCAGACGACGACGAGAATGATATGCTCGACCTTGCGTTCGGATTGACGGAGACATCGAGACTTGGTTGTCAAGTCAAAATGAAGAGGGATTTAGATGGTCTGCGAGTCAAGCTACCAAGCATGACAAGAAATTTGCAAGCAAGTGACTTTAGCGGAGCAAAAAGTGAAAGCGGGCACCCTAGACATGGGCTTCACAATTGCCAATCCTAGACGAGAAGTCGAAACAAGCGAGCGAGGTGATCGTCGTAAGACGCCAGTATATGCCACCGAAGTGCTCCTCTGCCGCTACACCTTTGGTCCGTATCGCGAATGTAATATCTACCTTACGTGACAATTGGTCAACCTGATGCCCCTCCTTGGAGCTTGATGGCGGCGAGCAAGCGTGTAACGAAGGCGATGGCGACACCTAACCAAGAGCCGCTTGCCCTTCAAGCCATTGGTGCACATTAGGTCGGCATTCCCACACTGACGCTTCAAAATGGACGAGGAGGCGCCGCCAGGTGCTCTCCATTGAGGAAGGACGACCGGTCAAGGGCGGGCTTGATGGTGGGTTGCTCAGGAATCCAAGAAGACGATATTAGCCGATTAGAGCAGAAAGCAAACCTGGCTCCTGTCGGGAGATCTTTATCATCCCTTCTCCGTCGACGTCCTTTCCCACAACGCCTGCCTTTTTCAGCACCTCAATTGTTTGATTCACCACACTCTGCCTGACTCCCTTTACCTCCTTCGCAAATTGCACCCCCATCAACCACTCCTCTGCGTCCTCCTTCGAGTAATCTAACTCGGTAGAGATATACTCCACCGCTTCCCCATGATTCTTCTGAAAGAACTTAACCCCCTGATCCAAGAGCGTGAAGAATTCCTCCAGCACGTCCTTGTCAACGACCTCCGGTCTAGCAACAACATGCCAGCTCGGCCACGGCGTCACCACCTCCCCAATCTTCCTGATCTCTCCCGAGTCAAAATACCGTTTACTCGTGAAATGCTCCCACATGAAGAAATCCGCCTTTGCTCCCCCACCACCACTATCATTGGCACCGCTCATGCCGCTCACTCCCTCCCTCAACTTCTCAAATGTCTCCAATACCACAACCTCAAATGGCTCCTCCCCTTCCTCCAACCAGCCCATCTTATCCCCCACCACAAACCCCATGACGTAACTCCCACTGCCTACCCTACTGACCCCCATCCGCTTCCCCTTCAACTCCTTCATCCATTCTCCCGGATCAGACTGCGTGGCGAAGTCCTCACGTTTTCCACCCGTGCTGATCGCCCAGCGCAGGGGATTCTCGACATAGGTGCCCACGAGGGCATAGGGTGGGGGTTGAGTGGGGTTACGGGCGAGCCCCGCGATCCAACCTTCAGTGAGACCGATGCCGATGTCGATGGATTGCGATTTCAAGGCTTCGATCATGTGGCCTGTCCCCGAGGGGAAGGGAATGAGTGTCCATGGCGCGTTATGCTTGGTTTTGGCGAAGTAGAGGGGAGTAGAGAAGTGTTCAGGCACGTAGCCTATGCGGAGGGGTTCTGGGGCCATGGTGAGTGGTGGAGATGGGGTGGTGTGATGGAGGCTCGATAGTGAGTGCAAGAAGGAGAAATGTTCGGAAATAGAGGCTGTGGATTGATAAGAGACGAGTGGGGCTCTTGGACCAAGTGGTTCATGCTCAGTGACATATGCACATGCACCACATCGGGATCCTCATATTTGCATGTTTCTTTTCATTCCATGGCTGCTCTGAGCATGGGTGCAACCTTCTTTCGACTCTTGCTAAGATCCTTCTGCGACCAGGCTTTCCTCCAAATATTGTCTGATACGGAAGCTTGAAAGCAGTCCAATTTGAGAACCTCAAGATTCAGTTCCCTCGCCGCTTTTTGACTAAAGCCCTCGATTTTCTCCTTCATCCCCTCTATCTTCAAATCAGCCTGCAAAAGCAACTGCCGTTGAAATGTGTTGTCCTCCGTGAAAGCTGTCATGACTGCGAAGACATGAAGCTGGTTCTTTTCCATGAAAAAGTCCAACGCTTTTGGGAAAGATGGGCCCTGATCGCTACGAACTCCTCTTTCTTGTTCCGCCTTATGCTGCAGAAATCCCAAATCTTTCACTACACTGCCGATTCCGATGTCACTTCGTCCAACGGTCCAATGCTTGTAATCCTTAATCAACACTTCTCCGAAAGAGAGCCCTCCGATGTTGGATTTTGCACCATTGACCTCGCTAAAGAACGCTTTCCTGTCCCATGATTTTGCCGCTAGCGGGGACAAATTAATCCTGGCCTCGAGGTAGTCGACAGCCTCCCGGTCGGCTGCCTCAACCTTTCCTGATGCAGTCAAATCGACCGTGTCGATTAGTATGCTTGCAAGTGCCATCTTCGCAAGCTGTGCGTCCCATCCGCGTGTAAACGCCCGGTCATTGATAGCTGTCTCACCTTGGCCGTGAGCGGCGCCAGTAGATAAATCATCATTCGATATTGCATCCCATGCTGATCTGAAATAGCGAGTCACAAGGCTGGTGCAAGATCCTGCTTTCTCAACAATTCGAGGTTCACATTTGCATGATGATGGAATGAAGCTCTCATCTTCATGGTGATCTATCACACCCTCAAACTTACCGCTCGGTATTGTCTCAAGACTTCCTGTCGGTTTGTTATGGTCTACAAGGATCCAATGGACATATTCGCTCTCTATAGCCGTCTCAGGCAAGTCTTCAAGAGTCAGAAGTGCACTGGGCTCAATGCCAGCGTGTTGGCATACAACGTTAAACTCAGGGCGAAGTCGTAAGCCACTTTTCTGTAGGTTCAGTAACGGGACATAGACCGGTGAATGTGCGTTTTGGGGCGGAGAGATAGATCTTATGTAAGAGTAAAGAACTGATGCTGTAAACGAGTCAAGGTCTAGAGCTGTAATCAGAGACAGGGTTTAGATGAACTTCAAGCAGTCAGCACCTGCAGATTGATTGCCGACCACAATGTTTATGTTAAGGCCTGCTTCAACATGATGCCAAAGTCTAGGTTTTACGTGGCCCAAAAACGCTCGCAATGAGTTTCGTGGGAAGGCCATCCTCAGTCATTGAAATTTGATCGGGGAAGTGGGAAATCAATACATATCTCACTCATTTGTCAGTACTGAAAGGTTTTTAAGGATTCCTTGCACAAATTCAAGGAAATGATTGCAGCTGAATTCCACGTGCAAAACATATGACGACGGACGTCACCAACGAACGCCGGAAAAGGGGTTTTTTCTGACTAAGCAGCTTTACGAATACGGCGGTCTTGACGACCAAACAGCGTATGGACTCTGTTCCAATTTCAGCCACAAGCTTGAAGCATGAGTTCATTCCCGCTGAAATTGAGCTCATTTCAGTGATAGACTTCGATCCGTTGAGTTACAGTGCAGGACCGGTCAAACATTCGTAGACAGCAATAGAGGGACCTTGTACTAGACGCTGTCCAATTTCTTGCAGGACTTTGCTAGGTCAAGATTTGCCTCCAACGAAGATGTCTCATGACAACAATATATAGGGCCATCAAATCCTCAATTTTTAAGCGAAGATTACTTGATTGATACTTTCTACATCAACGTTACAACAAGCATGTCACAGCTTGACACCCTCATATGTGGAGCTGGTATAGCGGGCTCGACGCTCGCATACTGGCTAGCTCAAGCCGGTCACAAAATTACCCTCATAGAGAGAGCGCCCGAGATACGAAATTCAGGACTCGGTGTAGACGTACGTGGGCCTGCTGTCGAAGTCATCCGACGCATGGGAATCTTAGAGCAGGTCCGAGCTCGGACAACAGGCGAGGAAGGGATAGCGTTCGTTGACTCCAAAGACCACACCTTTGCGTTCTTCGGCATCGATGAGAATAGTCTTGAGACAAATCCAACATCTGAGATTGAGATCATGCGCAGCGAGTTGGCAAAGCTTATTACCACGGCCGTCATGGACGACAAAAACGTCGAAATTAGGTATGCAACTTTTGTAACAGCCATTACCCAGGATGAGCAAAAAGCTTTCGTAACTTTCAACGGCGGAAAGATAGCAAGCTTCGACCTGGTGATTGCAGCAGATGGACTTGGTTCATCGACTCGAAAGGTGATTCTTGAAGAAGATAAGGATCAGGGGGCTGTACGTTCACTCGGTCAATACACAGCTTATTTCAGCCTTCCTCGCGAGGAGCGTGACGGCAAGCTATGGAAATGGCACACGGCACCGGGATCGAGGATCCTCACAACACGTCCCAAAAACGACACGGAGTCTTGTGCATACCTGTCGATAATGCCAAAAGACGAAGCACAATTCCAAAACATCTTGAAAGGCGGCGCTGCTGAACAAAAAGGCGAATTAACAAAACGTTTTGATGGCGCCGGCTGGCAAACCTCGCGTCTCCTCTCAGCTATGCAGGAGGCAGACGACTTCTATCTCCAGCATATAGCACAAGTCAAGCTACGCTCTTGGCACAACGGCCGGCTAGCTTTGGTGGGAGATGCTGCGTATGGCCCTTCGCCGCTGAGTGGCGTGGGAACTAGTCTCGCTATCTTAGGAGCGTACGTACTTGCTGGAGAGATCGTCAAATCTTGGAACAATCCTGTCGCCGCTTTTCAGGCATACGAAGAGAAACTTCGCTCCTACGTCGAGAAGAAGCAGAAAATTCCTCCAGGAGTCCCTAGACTGGTGAGTCCAAATAGTGGTTGGGGTGTTTCAGTGTTGAATTGGATTGTCTGGTTTATGGCATGGAGCGGGATTCTCAAGTGGATTTCGCGCTTAGCGTCTGGAGGGGACAATGAGCTAAGTGTCTCCGAGTACGAATTTGGGAGGTAGAGACTGAGAGCTGGTTTCTTTGTGATTCGCTAGCCAACTCCACTCCCTGTCAAGAATGACTTACCCCAAATTCGATTGAGTTGAAACAGTAAATCATTATACTCTAGAGAAGGAATGTATTGAAAAGGCCTTGGACTGTTGATAAACACGTATTCCATGCAGCGCCGGATGTTTTGGAGTACAACTCGAGGTAAAAGACTGTAATTCAGGGAAAGCCAGCTAGGATTGCCTTTCAACCATCCGAAGAAAGCGAAGATAAAAATAGTATCTCAATCAGCGCCTCACCATGTGCCAACTTTTGCTCAAGTCCAGCTTTTTGCACGCGACGATATCATGTAGAATGTTTTTACTGTCTTAATCCCAGAATTAATTCAGACATACCTTGCTTGCTGTCGCTCTCACTCCACTTACCTCCGAACCTCGACGAGTAAAGTTTAGGGCGACTTGCCCCAGTCATACAAAACTCCTTACCTGAGCTGATGTGTTGCTGCGAAGGTGGAGACGTGCCTACATATACCTTGTAATGACTACCCAGCGGGCTATTAGGGCACTCTCAAGGAAGGTGCAATGTGATGTAAATTTACCAGTATTAGGGTATTGTAAGCGGATGACCATCCTCACGCCACGAGAACGCATAGTTGGTCCACTACTGGCGATGGCTTCGAGTCAGATATGGAGGATGGACCGTCACGTACCTTACGAGGTCCAGATCTCAGGGGCTAGCGCCAAGTCCTTGATGGCGCGACAACCTGCCTTCAAACGAGGACGGGATTGCGCCTTTCTCCTGAACAATAGACCTTAAACTACATTGGAAGTCCGCGATCATAGCATGATGAAGTCAACGCTACTGCTTTTGTGCGGTACATTGGCTTCTCTATGGGGCTTTGTCTCTAGCACAGCACTCACCTACAAACTCTCCGCAGGGGAACGGGCCTGCTTCTTCAACGATGTCCAGCAGCGAGGAGCAAAGATTGCCTTCTACTTTGCTGTAAATGGCAATGCATCTACCCTCACGCGTTGTGCTGACAGTGGATATCGTAGGTACAATCTGGCGGCTCCTTTGATATCGATTACAGCGTTCTTGGTCCCAGCGACAATGTGATAATGGGCAACAACAAAGAGCGCCAAGTCGATGCAGTCTTTACAGCTAAGGAGACGGGTGAATACAGGTTCTGCTTTGACAATGAGATGAGCACGTATACGGAGAAGATGGTGGACTTTGAGATTGCCGTACAGGCCCCAATCCTTTTGTATCCTTCAAAGGATTGTCCTTAGGATACGTCGCTAACGAGGTCTTCAATTGGCAGGTTGAGGGAGAAGGCCCGTCTGCCCTTCTGCCCGCAAAGCAAACCACTTCGCCTGAACAGACGTCTGGGCTTGAAGAGTCCATATTGAAGGTGTCGCGTGACCTCTCAACCATCAATCGCAATCAGAAATACTTCAGGACGAGAGAGAACAGGAACTTCAGTACTGTGAAGAGCACGGAGACAAGAATATTCAATTTCAGCGTTGTAGAAAGCGGGCTGATGGTATGTATGGCTGGGTTGCAAGTATTCATTGTTAGGTTTTTCTTCCAGGGGGCAAGAAAAGGTAAGCTCTGCTTGGATGTAAGTGCCACCGAAATCATGATTAATGTTCGACGTAGGTTACGTATAGTCAGTGTAATTGATCTACGATTTTCTTGACAACGACAGTCTGCCCCAGCCATTGTCTTTGCTACCATTCCTTTTTAACCCCCTCAAATACTCTAAGCGAGCCTTCTGGTACCCTCGAACAATGAATACAACACTTATCCGAATGGTGATGGTTGGTACAACTGCGTGTCGAGATCTCGCAATCGCCATGATTCGGTGCGACACGTACATACCACGTGCTGTGGCTACCCGTGACTGCACTGTTCTTTTGGCCGACAATGCTGACATAACACTTATATTTCGACGTACAACCCTAATTCTCCACGTCCCATTTCTAACCACGGAACATACAACGTAAAACTGGGGACAATCCTGGTATGGATATACAAACCCGTAGGAAGACTTGCGTCTCAAAAGACGCCCATCCCGACGCCACCACTGGAGGCACATCTGATGGGCTCGGCTTGCTATGCCATCAGCTATCCAGCCTAGCGGTGAAAGCTGGCTCCGTTCCAAGAGCTTCGAAACGGAAGTTCGCCGAAGACTTTAACGCCTCCAAACCCCGCATCAAACGTGTGAGATGCGGCTCACGCGTTACTTTACCAGAGGACATATTCTACATAATTGCGAAGTACTGCGACCAAGGTACTCGTTTTCAACTGAGCCAGGTGTCGACAAATTTCCTGGTGGTTGTCATACCATCTCTCTATCGTCACGTCGATTTGAGCATGCATGCCGCCGACTCCGCATTTTTGTCCCCCTCAGTCGACCATCAAGTAGTACCCGAATCCCTTATTCGAAAACAGAAGAGCTTCCTGCGAACTGTTCTCAAATTACCGAATGTTGCTTCTTGGGTGCGCAGTCTGTGCTGGACGTACTTGCCGCTTGTAGACGATGAAGAGCCGAAGGGGGACGGCTTCGCGCGATGGCGTCAAGATTATAACCGTGTATGGCGACCTCTAATCAACACATGGGAGATACTGGCTCAATTGCCGCATCTCCGGCACCTCAACTTGGGACAGCTGCCAAATTCTAACAAAGCACTATGCATAATGACTCCCCAAGGGCAGCTGGCGTGCAAGCCACAACTAATATCCCTACATGTGAATGGAGCTCTGGAGCCGTTCATTTCTGGATCGATACGCTGCTCCTTTCGAACAGATGTATTGACGAGCTTGACATATAGTAATGTCTCGTTGCATCTCAGATCACTGGAATACCTAAGGGGTCACATCATCGATACACATGGCGAGGCACCTATTTATGACTACGTTTGGATCCACAGACGACCTGCGCTCCAGCGCGAGATCATGAGAATGCTTGATGCTGGGGAAGCACGCCAGCGAGATCGATCTATTCTGTGGTACCCATCATTAAAGCACCTTACTGTCCGAGTCGCTGGCCTGCGATACTCCGAAGAAACATCTTGGCTGTACCTGCTGGCCATGGGCATGAACCACACCATAGTCAACAATCTCGTGGCCGCAAACAGCAGAACTTTAGAAACTTTTGTGTATGAACAAGGACCTCTTAGAAAACCAGCCTTTGGCCGAAAGGTCAATATTTATCGGGTGATGGATTACGAGTTTACCTTACGCCTTGGTCCTCAGCTGCTCCAGGTACAGTGGCCATGTCTGAAGCGACTGGAACTTAGAGGCGTTGGGTGCGGGCACCGAGTTGGAGGATTGATCCTTGTGCAAGATCAGAAGCCGAAGCCCCTGTGTAGATCATGGCAAGGGAATATCAGGGAAGTGATTGGGAAGAAAGCCGAGATGCTTGTCACTACTGAGTCAAGGGTCTTTGACTACATCGACATTCCTGACGCTTCATTCTTGGAAAGGAGATGAAAAATAATTGAGAGGAGGTATCTACAGTATTCCAAGCTGCAGAAGACACTTGTAGAACGAGTACGTTCCACACTTCATCTAGCTTGTCTCGCGCTAGATCGTCTTCTTCTACAACACGATCTTGATTTCGAGCATTTGGGAATGCATAATTCAATTTACAGTCATTTGTCTATCATGACACGAATCTCAGCACTCCCTCCAACCTCAGGGGCTGAGAAATCAATCAAGGTAAGGAAGCCGCAGTCACGTATACAACTTGTCCAAGACGGCAGTCTACAGTGTATGGAGACCGATAGTCTCGGAAACATCATGCTTAAAAGCGTCTCAAGTAAGCGTGTTGAGAAAACAGGATCTTGCAGGCAGCGATCAATTCTCTGTCTCGGACCCACGATTTACAGGTGGAGAATAAGCAGATGACTCGAAGAGAGGCAGCAATACTACTTCAAAAAAATGTTCGAATTCATTCCCCTATTTGTTATATGTTGATGACTTCTCCTTCCTAGCGCTATTTTTCCAGTTCATGAACCCCTTCTTCAAAACGCTTGCTTTGAAAAATTACTGACATTTCAAGAGGATTTCAATTTCCAGGAATTCTAGACTTGAGTTGATCCTGAAGATTTGACTTATTTGTTGTCATTTTGAGGTATCTTCTAGATTCCGACCACGTTCTTCTCAGTTGCTCTTGCTAAAAAGTCATTGCGAGTCGAAGTAAATGCTATTCGCAGGCTGGACTCCGTGTTGACTGATCAAAAACCTTGGGCAATACAAGAATGGCGACGGAGAGTGTGAAGCTCGTCTCATCCTCACACTGGCTTCTTCGTCCCAAAGACATATCTGACTCTTCGATTTCCGCACGGTTTTTTCGCGTATAGTTTTGATGTCAAAAGCATTGAAACAGCCTAGGTTACGCTGCACGCTATTAATACACAAAACAGAAGCGCATGATCGTCTCTGATCCAATTGCGTGAATTGACGCTAAATGATTTACTGTGAAGCCATCTTACAAGCTGGAGCTGTGTATAATATCCTGTTGAGGTCATGACTTACTTCAACCCCAGGATACAGACACGTCAACTATCATCATCAAGACAATCATAAGGGGCAAAACGCATACGTACTCGTTCCATCATAGGACTTGTTGCACTTCCCACAACACTTGCCATGGCTCATAAGCTTCTTTGGAGCGCGTTATGCTTGCTTAAAATCGCGACTTTTGCGGCAGCCTTGCCTCAATCCACACCTGCCACACTATCTGGAAATACGACCCAGCTTGTAACCGAAAATGAGTCTAAGTTGGGCGATACGATACCGTAGGTAAGGCCGTCAAGGCTTTCCAACTCTCCAGTTGCGCTCTACCAGGCCATCGTATTGCTTGTAGCTAACAGCTGGAGCTGATGGATGGCAGACCCATTCGCGTACGTGGCACAGAGCTCATCGTAAGGGTCCAGACTAGGAGTCGGAGCATGCTTGTCAAAGGCGACGTAGAGAGAGCCTTTGGCCTCTTTTTTATCTATGCCAATGCCCACCCTGCAGAACCCATAGGAGAGGGACATATCCCATACGTATGGGGTGGTACCAAACTCTACGTGACCAACCCATGCGGCGCTGTTTATAACGCAAACCTTGCGAAGCGTTGTGGGCAGACTATCGCTCATTGGATCACTCAAAATGATGCTTGGGGGACTCGCTCGTTCAGGATTGAAAATGTAAGTACCACATGAGCCCTCGACATCTAGGATTTCGATGATCGGCACATCCAAGAGGCATTACTGATGCTTATTCGCTTTCAGACCAGGCCCATCCACGGACCTGCGCTCGTGGGGACTTTTCAGCTCGACCCGAATCATGGATCGAGTGAAGGTGTGAACGAAGCCGCGAATGTCGAGAATGGGATGTCATGCATCCAGCAGATCTCAGCAGAATAGATTGTCAACAAGGAATACTTGATGCATCCAGCAGATCTCAGCAGAATAGATTGTCAACAAGGAATACTTGATGCAAGCACACTTTAGCAGGCTTAGATTAAAAGCTCAACAAGTCCCTCCTAAAGGAAGTCACGATCTGGAACGATTGCGTACTTTGCTTCGCCGTGACTCTTGATTTCGAAAATGGGGTGAAAATAATGCAAGACAGGGTCTAGAGGCCGGGTATTAAAATAGATAAAATTTGAGACCACCTTAATCTCCTACGCATGCTCTGCAATTGGACCTGCCTTGCACGACATTGTGCATCGGCTAGGATGCCGTTGCAGAGGTGGCAACCCGACTTAAATAGCTTGTATCCAACGTCGGACCTCATCCTTCAGTCTGTTGCAAGATGTAGTAATGCATTCTCTCGTCATCTGGTGCCTGCTTTGCATAATCAGATCAGCACTCGCCGTTCCAGCTTCAACGAACAATTTGGACATCAGCGGTGACAATCTCGCAACAACGAATGCCAGTGACACAGCGTCGGCAAATGGAAGATGTATGGATATTGTTCAGGGGGAGAATGGAATGTAAGCCGTCCTAGTACTCCTTTTTATCAACACGCGGACTGGGAGAGGCACCACATCATCCGCAGTTTCGCTGACGGGTATCTTAAGTCTTATTAACGTGCCCACCTCGAATCCTCCTTTGGTTTTGACAACATCATCACGACTGACAACAAAGGTCGATTCAAAAAATGACTTTTTCGCAGTTTTGGAGCTCGCCCTTCAGAATTTTACTACTTACCCAAGAGACCAACAGTTTCCACCTCCACCTCCTTTTTACTTCCATAGCAATCAAGTGACTTTCTACGTGACGAATCTGTGTAACAGCCTGAACTTCAATTTTGGCCAAGCTCTTACTTGTGTGAATGCCATTGCAGAGTGGAACCAGAAGACAAAGGATTATGGAAAGCGGGTATTCTCGGTAGCACTAAAGGACGATACACGGAAAGACATCTTTGCGAGACTCGCATTTGAAAACGCGCTCTCCCTAGAGGTTTCATAAGGGCTTGGTGTGCCTCTTGGAATGGTGCGATGTGCAGGTGTAACTATAAAATTTGCATTGTATATTTTTCAAACAGCAGCGTACTTAGAAAAACGGGCTACGTGTTGACATGCCAGAGACATCAGGGGCAATCGGGTCCCACAGTGAGGCACGTAGCCAGAGGCCGACGAGCTCATTGACTACTCCAAAAGGATTATTAGCATCGGTCTTTGGTGCAATACACAAGTACTAAAGGAATCTTCAGTCGTTGATCAGTCTTTGCCTTTGATCTCATGCCTAACCAGCGCCAAAAAGAGTGTATTACGCGGCTAGCAAACTCATATTACCAGAAGAAGCTCTTGTATATCGTCATAGAAACAGGAACTGCTTATGAGATGTAAACGAACCTCACTGATTGCATAAAGCCTCATTCATTGTCCATAAAAAAACAGACTCATATGAATTTGAGGTCTTGAACCTTCACATTTCATATGTACCGTCCGACAGGTTGTCCCCAGTCCTGGCGGCTCCCACAACAGCAGGAACCCTCGTAGCGACTGTTTTTGGAACGGATAGTGATTACTCTCGACCAGCGCATTGGAATTGCCAGCTGAGGAGTGGTATATTCAGGCTGGCAAGGATTTGAATTGGCGGTCTTGTGTGGGAAGGAAGGAAAAGGAAGAGGATTTTCTCCGGGCTGGTGAAACAGTAGCTTTGCGGACTTGTGGCGGGCGTTTAGCGCCGAATAGCCGCTATTTGCCCGCCGTACCTGACCGCAACAGAAAGACCACTACAAAGGGTTCATGCTTCCATTCGTTCATCCCTCTTTGCTGTTTCCACTGGTCTCCAACTTGAATTACCGCTGCATCCCCTGTACTCAACCTCTGAACTCCGCTCCAAGTACAATTTAGCACCTCTTCATCTTCAATCCATATTCTTCACAGAACCGAGAGCTTCCCTGCAAATCCTAATATTTGATGCAAGCGTTGCTGAGGACCCCAGTCGCCCATATATACCTCTCCCATAATCTGACCATCAATGGATAACTTATGGCAACGCAGGTCGAAGTAAGTGGAAGCTCCATCCTTCATTGACTCCTTCGACTGACCTGATGGGATGTAGCTCCAACAAGCTCTCTCTCTCAGGTATCAATGCAAGCACCAAAGACGAGAGCAAGACGGGAGGGCCGAAGACGTATCAACCTGCCAAAAGATTTGACTCCTTTAGCTCCAAAACAAACCCTCTGAACGGCATTACTCCGCTCTCTACCAACAATGTCGCTTCCCCCACAAGCGGTGCTTCCTCTGCATTCGGCCTAGGATCAGGCGCTTTTGCATCTTTTGGTACGTCCGCAAAGACGCCGAAGACTCCTGGATCAGCGCTGGATTTCAGCAACTCAGTTGTCACAGTTGACAAGAAAGACAAAGAGCCACCGAAAGGCTCAAACGGCATTGCGGTGAAGCCTAAGGCATCATTGACGTCTATAACAAATAAGACACCAAACACTTCCTCCGAGCATCTAATCAAATACACTTGGGTCATCTGGTATCGACCCCCTACATCGAAATATCAGGACTACGAAAAATCCACTATTCCGATCGCTCATTTCTCATCTGTTGAAGCGTTCTGGACGGCATATTCGCATCTGAAACGCCCGTCGAGCTTGCCCTCGGTTTCTGACTATCACATCTTCAAGAAAGGCGTTCGCCCGGTTTGGGAGGACGAAGAGAACAAAAAGGGAGGGAAGTGGATTGTTAGGCTAAAGAAAGGTGTAGCAGACCGCTATTGGGAGGATCTCTTACTCGCCGTTGTTGGTGATCAATTTGCCGAAGCAGGTGAAGAAGTTTGCGGGGCAGTATTGAGCATCAGGAGTGGCGAGGATGTTCTCAGCGTGTGGACTAGAATTGATGGTGGGCGCAACATCAAGATTCGGTATGCCTGTTTCAGACTTCTGGGGGTTTTTTGGGTTCGGGTACTGATTCAGTTCTGATTACAGCGAGACTATCAAGCGCCTCCTCGCCTTTCCACCAGACACTGCCATAGTCTGGAAGAGTCACGACGACAGCATCGCGCAGCGCTCCGCAATTGACCAGGCGCGACAAGACAAACACACTGGGAATGGCCAGCATCATGGCCATAATAAGAGGCGGGATACCATCACTGAAGAGGCCTTGTCGGAGCAAGCTAAAGAGACATGAGTGGTGGTTGAATGCCAATGTATGACTATGAATGAATTTGCGTCTAGCGTTCTTTGTCACTGGATAATCTTGGCGGCATTGTCTTTGGAAATCCGCTGTATACTACAGTCAATGAGATGAGGCATAATCTTCCAACATTCTCAGCTTTGTGACCATTATGTCCCTTCTTCGTGGTTCATTCATAAAACGCTCACTCGTTTCCCGGACGCGCTCACGACTTCGCCGCTATCCCAAGGAGGCTTAGAGGCAAATTAGGGAGCTAGCGTATATAATACAGGAACTTAGCCTGTTTCGTCTGACTGGTTGTTTTCGAGCACGGAGAAGCATCCAGTTAACCCACCATCCTCCGTCATTGCTCATCTGTTTCCTTATCCTTACGGTGTACCAGTTTTGGAAGGTCGATGGATCGACTGTAGACTTACGGCCGACTTTTCGTGGTTTCTTTTTTGCAACATGTCATCAGTAAATAATGATTTCCTGCAAACGCAAACGTAGCACTATAGATGATTCCCAGGAATCCGATCCCAAACGGTCGAGGATCGTGAGTGAGACTTGGAGCTCTCAATCACCTGTTACGAGTAGCTACAGTTGTTCGGCCCAGTCTTCAGGTACTGTTTACGACATTAAAGCAATTGTTGATGAGACGAAATACCATTATCTCATTGATTGGGCCGACGACTCCGTGACTGGACGTACCTTCACGCCAGACTGGGTGAGTCAAATGAGATCCTTTAAGTATATTCGAAGTCTGCCGCCCTAATCCGAAAACTGAAATCCTCTTCCAATAAACCTGAATAGATAATTGGCTGATCATGCATCCCAGCAACCTAAAGCGAATGTGAGTACTACCGCCGTTGAAGTCTGGAAATCCAAACAAGCGCCACGCAATAGATCAGCAAGCAGTGGCCGCCAGACATTCGCCACAGACAATTCTTCTACAGCAGCTTCATACTCAGCACCCAGGACTCGAATTACCAGACAACACCGGCCACCCACCAGCAATCGGACTGAATCCAGCGAGAAGCCCTCAAAAATATCTTCAGACTCCCGACAACATCGATCTTCCTCTGGAGCGCTTGAGGCATTAAGCCTTTCCGATCTGATAGTTCGTGTTTCGCAGCATAGCAGTCTCGACAGGGATCTCTACACTGCCTACGAGTCTTCTCTGTCGACGCAGGCTAGTGCTACAGCTAGTAATCAGCTCCTTCCAACACAGTCGCAACTTCCGTCATCTAACGTAGCTTCTCAAGTACCCGCAACGAACAGAGGCATTGTGCCGGATTCACAGGCTTTACCACAGTCATCCAATCGCGAAGTTCCAGCAAGTACTCCAGCTCAGTTCTCTGCTGGTCGCGCCACCAGGTATAAATCTCGAAGATCAATTTCTGCACCTCCATCAACTATCCCTGACAGTGCACAAACTCTATCTTTGTCCCGTACTCCGCCATCGTTACCAAGGACCTTCTCGGATACAGGCCGAGTGAATCGTGTACTGTCGAACAGCCAGGAAAGTATTCGTCTTGAGGTACCCGATTCCACAGAGAGAAAGGCTTCTGCTTCATCGACGAGTTTGGTCCAAATTGTAAAGCAAGTGAGCTCGCCTTCCGCTACCCAATATATCGCAGAGTCCCCTCTAGGTCTTCGTCATTGCTCTGGGTTGAGGAAAGCGGCCGAGTGTCCCTCCCCACCAAATCTGCAACAGACAATTAAATCGACTGAAGAAAAGATCTCTCAAGCTACCACCACCGACGATAGCAGTGGGCTTTTGTCCTGTTGTGATATACGCCCACTGTCGGAAGTTCTACAGAGTGCAATTCAACGACTTGCCAACAAGTCGAGTTTAGAGTCACAAAAAAGCCCTCCGCCTCCGAAGCCTCAAGATTTTTCAAGTCTAGACGATACCACTTCACTCTACTCTCCTCCTCTAGTGATGGAGAGTCCCATCCTAGATGATAACAATGGACAACAAAATTCCTCAAATAGGTCCGCTTGGGAAGCTACGAGACGTAATAGCGAGATAATGGAAAACCGACTTGCCCAACTTCGAGCCGAACATTCTCGGGCTTCCACTGGATCACAAAATTCCAATTCGTCATCAAGATCACCAACGCAGCATACAGCAGGCCTGCGATCTCCACACCGTCTTGATACTCCTTCGAACGCAAATCGAGATGCACAAAGGCGTCCGAGGCCTGCAAGTCTGCCTACTACCCCTCAGATCCGTTCTCCTACTAATTTAGCTTCTGCAAAACAAATGGCACCGTCTCCAGGACCTTCATCTCCACTAGCAAGACACCCTCCAGCTATGTCAACAGTTTCATCGGCCTTTAATTCGTCAAGGGCTGTGAAATCGCCCTCTATCATCCCCGACAGACTGCCGTATCAGGCAACAGAGGAGCCGAGTAGACTGCTGGCAAAGCCATTGGAACTTGACACAGCACCAGTGCCGCTCAATCGTGCAATACAATCCCAATCAGTCCCGCATACGCCCATAACTCCAAGCAAGCTTTCTTTACATAAAGAAGTATCCATTTCGCCGGAAGAGAGCATCCTCAGGCTCTGCAACATTTCCGACAGAGAGCACGTCATTCCCCTTCCAATGCAAGCCCGGATTCAGCAGCAGTATTGTACTACAATAAGGTATTATGCAAGAACAATGAAAAAGTTTTTCGAAGAGAAGCCGTGTAAAAGAGATACGGTAGAGTCGATTAACCGCCTTCTTGAGGAGGTGAGCAAAGTAAGCACTCATATTGATTTACAAGGGAGTGGACCGGCAAGTCAAGAGGATCTAGATCCTCAAGGTGAGGCTGAGTATGCCGAATCATGCAGCGCGAAGTTTGCTTTCCTCGGCCAGCTGCTAAAAAGAACCGGAAACCTAACGCTTGATCTATATATTGTTGCCAAACCTGGGCCTTTGATGAGCATCATCGAAATCTTTCTTAACGCCAAACAAGTCAAGTGGTACAGAGTTGGAGAGGATCTTAAAGCAAGAGCTCCTAACATTGAGACTGGTCTGACGGTCTTTTTGGCACGGTCCGACGAAAACGCCAAATGCGATCCTTTGCGATTGCCCGAACCCCATCTTATTGTTGGCTTTGACGAAACCTTCGAGAAAGAGGCTTTCGTAGCTACTCATTGGAATGCGTCTCGGATCCCGGTCCTTCGTCCATTGGTATACGCATCTTTAGAACACATCGACCTTTGCGTTCCGAGGACGCTAAATCCGATTGAGCGATTACAGAAGTTAGTATACTTGTTGCTGCAAACACAGAAAAGAGTCGGCCTTGTCGTGCCACCAGATCTGACTCCAAACGTCGCAGCTGAGCGGATCGCGCCATACGCCAGCGAATTGATCAGAGATAGATCGGCTGACACTTGGCCTCTCCCTCCGCTCCAGCCTATTGATGACATTGCACATATGGAATCGGACTCTAGCCTGTCAGATGCTCGGTCAGACATTTCTGATGAATACAAGCCAAAGCTGAGATACTGGCCCAGCAAAGCCGCACCGAAGATTAGAAGCGCTAAGATGGGAAAACGCCCTTTTGTTAGGAGATTCCGCTCCAATGCTATCAATATACGGCTGATTAATACTATAGGATCTTGAATGGAGTGACTCGGTAGCAGTGCAAAGTAAGAAGCAGAAGATTGGGCAACAATATGCAGCTATCTCAGATGAATTTGACGTGAGTCTTGATCGTTTCGTGCGGGGTCTCTGGCTGATCAAGGCGCAGCCGAGTGAGCTAGTGAGGCAGGCAAAGGAACGTGAACCGTCAGAGGTAGAACGTGATCTTGAAAAGAAAACTCATATGGTGAAAGACTTGCAAGAATGGGCGGAAATTCGTCAACACGATTTCGAGAAGCTTCGTCGGAAGCACGGTGACCTTGAGATATCTCATGAGGGAGACAGAATCGCTTTGGAAAAATTTGCACACAAATTCGAAAAGCTTCAGACAGACTATCGAACGCTAATCGAGGACCGTATTGCGCTTCGGAAAGAGATAGCCGATCAACAAGCCCATCTGAACAATCACTCGAATTCAGAGATCGCCGCTGCAGCGCGCAACGTAACACACCAACGTGAAATCGAGGCCGAAGTTGCGAGATTGAACAAACTTATCACGAACCATGAATCCGAAGTTGGGTTTGTCCGTCAGCAATACCAGGCAGCATCTTCGGCCGCGGCAGATCTCAGCAACGAGCTCGAGCCGTTGAAGACCGAAGTGGGGGAGCTACGCAAGAAGCAAGAATCGAATATTGTGGAGAATCGCAGATTGCGTGATGAGGACGTAACGAAGAGCCTCCGGAAGGAAGTGCAGCGGCTGAAACAAACGGTCAAGCAGCGAGACTCCTTCGTGGAAAAATTAGAGCGGGAAATGGTGGAAATCAAGCGTGGACGGGCTGGTGTACAAACAAGAGGTAGCTCGGTGCAGCCCAAGAGCCCGCGAGGTCCTGGAAGTCGAGGAGTCAGCCCCGCTCCGGGTCTACTGGGGCAAGGCGGACATGCGATGGCTCGGGCGGGAAGTGGCCTTGGTGCACGGTTTCGCGACTGATATATAGGTACATTTGCACGAGGTCCGATCTAGAGAGGCTTTTATTGGTTGCGGGTTGGAAATAGTACTTGTTTGGGCATTGCTAGGTGTATGGATACTGAATTGCATTGGGACGGTTGGTCAATCTGATCGTTGTGCACTCAGTCCCTGTTTATTGGCACCTACATCTGACTGATGGCTGCAGCGCACTTGCTGTATCATTTAAGTACGTCCCCCAAGGCAGTTATGGCAAGCACTTGAATACATGTCGACAGTAAAAACGAGGAGTACTTATGTCAACGTTTGCTATGCACATCACAACGCCGCGGAATGCAGCACGCTTCTATACATACAACGCTAATACCTCGCAGTAAAGACAGGCCATAATGCTCAAAGGTCTATACACCACCACCATCACCATCACCATCACCATCACCACCACAAACACATACATAGTCATATATACACATACAGTCCGACAGCTCCCACACCAACTCGCCCAATGCTCACGCACTCGACGCATTACTCTCCATACTGCTCTCCGGGCTCAACTGCGCCATCGAGTTCACGCCCCTGCCTTCACTTCTGCTGTCTCGACCGCGTCGTAAATTGCCCTTCTGCAGTTGTGATTCGTAGCCTTGGGGGATGGAGACGGACATCTGGCGGCGGGTGTGTTCGTGGATGAAGCGTGAATAGTCGGTCAGTGCGAGGGTGGGGTCGGAGAAGGTGGTTGGGATATCTGAGGAGGAGGTGGAGGAGGAGGAGGAGGAGGAGGAGGAGGAGGAGGCGGGTGTGTGGTGTGTAGTGGCCATTTTATTTTGTTTTGGTGGTAGATGGGAAGGCGGAGTTTATTTATGTTTGTTGTAAAAAACGATTGGGGGAGGACACTTTTACCAGAGATATCTCCAGAGAGGGTGGTGCAAATAAGAGATGGTTTATATATGTAAGATCAATTGAGAAGGGACACGAGTATGGTTAAACAAAACCCGAAGTAGTTGTTCCCCACGCTACCATCATACTCACTAAACCTGCCACACAGGGCGTACCAACTCTTGTGATAGTGACATCGCTGTTACGCTATTATGACGCTGATCGCCACAACCTTCCCTGTTTGAAGCTTACGGGCCGTCAAACCGCCGCTGAGTCAGGTGTGACAGGCCAATGAGGGGATGCGATCGCGATGAAAAGCGGAAGGGCTTTGATCGATTATTTTATGCAAGCTGCCAAGGCTGCATAATCGAGATCTGCTCGGCGGAGTCTAAACTGCAATTTTACACGACCTTCAACCCGTACAGTTCGGTATGCATGATGGTGATAACAAGCTGTGCTGTCCATTGTACATCCACCTATAATTGACTGGGTCTTCATCCTTGCACCGAGGCCTCGCGATCATAATATACACCGCGCTTACTACTCTCTACATCTTCTTCCACCACATTCCTTTGATCGTTCCGTCGACAGTTGACTCTCCCCCTCTTGTAGCCCGCTTCGGTCTCGTCTTGACTATTACGTCCTCTGTTTCCGTACTCTCACTTGCTTTAGCCCGAGCATTTCTCGTCTTCATAGCTCTACGCCTGGTTGTAGGTTTCTCATCCTCGCTGTCCTCGTCGGCTGAAAGGTCACCGATCCATTCTTTGGCAAGTCCTTGCGTGCTGTATGGGTCGACTGTCTTCTTGCCCTTCTTTTTGGCGACATTGTCGTCCATCTCCGCGGTTTGGCTACGTTGTGAGCCAGGTAGTTCCACGCCCATGCCATTGATGCCTTCTTTCTTGATTGTCTTGCCTCTGCCTTTACCACGTGGGGACTGCGGTTGCATCGTTTGGGCTGCATGTTCTTCTGATGCCATGGAGTTGAAGGCCTGATCATTGGCTGTTGGACTTCCAGGTTCGAAGGATGCAGATGTCCACCTTTCTGGTATTGCAAACTTGGCCTGCTTGTGGTGCTTTCCGTCCCGTTCTGCCCATGTTTTGGTCGTGGTAGGTTTGACTGGCTGTTCCTTCATTGTGACGATATTGGATGGTCCAATGTTAGCTGAAATTGCTGGCTCGCGATTTGACAACGCGGCCTTTGAGATCTCAGGGTTCACACGTGAAGGTGGACCGGTGCTTGACGTTGTCTCTTCTGATTTCCTAGATTGAACGGACGGAGATGTATCGTGCCGAGGCACTTGATCCATAAGGCGCTCTTTGTATTCACTGACAAGCTTGCCCCACCACTTCCTCATCCCTGAAACATATCCACGCTCCTCAGGTCCATATTCGACAATAGGGCCATTCATCTGAACGTCTTCACCTGGACGAAACACGGCCCACGATGATGTCTCGGAGCTGATAAGAGCAAAACTGTGGTGGAAAGGGTTGACTTTAAACTCCCGCAATATGATAGTATCTCCTTGTTGGATACGAGGAAAGCAAGGCTTGTTTGGCCGAAAGATTTGAGCTGTCGTCACTAATTTCTTGGTGTTTGGCAAGGACCAATCCGTCAAATAGATCGATTGCACGAAGTCTCTTGGCCCCGCTGCAGCTCTCGTGATGGCTGACGAGCTCAAAGCACATACTAGGACGTCGGTCAAGGTGCCAACATGCTCATGCAAGTCTTTCAGAGGCACGTAGTAAGAGTATTTTGTTCGAAGACCGCCGAGGATTGGCTGCGAATCTGGTTCGTACTGGGTTGACGTTGTGGATTTCGGGGTCTCGACTTCAACGTAGGGTGATGAGCGAATGAACGTCTTCCCAAGCGACCTTTCTGGTGTTGCCGGGATCAGTCGTGGTATCCTATGGGCGACACTTTTGACTTGCTCGTCGGGCTCACTGGGCGCATTAGATGCATCACTATCTGGTACGATTTGGACCGAGCGACGAGGGGCAAACCAAGGACTGGCTACTGATGTGCTTCGATTTGATCTTGGAGTGCCTTGAGATGCTCGTCGGGCAGCCCTAGCCTTATCGGCCCACTGTTTCATTTTCGTGGGTTTCATGGGGGTGATTGGAGAGATAGGCGGACTGCTTGGAAGTTTGTCGGTAGAGGTCTGTTTTGGAGCTTCGATGTTTACACTTGATTGCCTAGCCGGCGGCTCTGCTATACTTAGGCTCTCAGGAACATGTCCAGATCCTTCTCCCATTGAGTCTTGAGTTACTGGTTGGGTTGCGATGGGCGTCGGCAGGGTGTCATCCTCCAGCTGCGTATGTAGTGATACAGTGGAGGGCTCAGATCTGAAGCTCGTCTTTTGAGTTGTACTTGGGGTCAGAAGCTGAGACTTCATGGACGGTATCACAGAGTCTGGAATAGTCGCTGGGGGCTCTACGAATGTCTCGACCGCACTTTCCTTCGGGTCCTGAGATAGCTCTCGCGTTGTCCGTGGCCGATATGCTTGATCGTCTTCTGTGTCAAAGCATTTCGGCTGTTTCAAAATTGAAACAACAGTTGTATCCTGTTGCGAAGTCTCCTCAGTGCTTGCTCTGTGGGTCGGCCCCTCGTCTTCAACTTTGAGCTCATCTTGCTTTTTAGGTTCAGAATATAAATTCCCGAAGCTATCCTCAGCATCTAGCTGATCCATAGACATCGCCCTGTCGATCCTTTCACCTACGTTTGCATCTCTCATTTCTTGATGAGAAGTATGTACCAGCTGCTCATGATCATTTGCGTCATCTCGAGCTTCGGGTTGCGTTGAGGTTCTTGTCGGCTCATCAAGATTGACTGGCTCCTGTACATTCTCATTCGGTTCCATAGAGTCCACGATCTCAATATCAGATGGATCCTTCTCAACCGCTGCATAATCGGTCGCTTGCTGCTGAGTAGCAGGCTCCGATGAGGCAGCGTTTACAGACTCATCTCCGAAAGAGTCGATATGATTGAAGAGGTCATCTGGCTGTGAATGGATCTCACTGTTTAGATGATCTTGCTCGTAGTAAATTTCAGGATCAGACGGGGGCTTATGTGCAAGCAAATCTTCTGGTGGCAGACTTGCTTCGAACATAGACACTTCTGCACCCGTCATGTTGATATCTCCTGGAGAAGATGATGGACTTGGAGCTCCTTTTTGAGGGTCTTCATTGTATGTAATCACTTCGTCCGAGTGCTCTGCATCCTCGCGCCAGCTGTCATGGACGATCCGCCCTTCAAGGCCTGAGTCCACTTGCGTTTCCCTCCGCATGTCTTCATTGATAGAAGTTTTATTGGCTTCCAGATCGGCGATAGAAGCGGCTTTTTCATCTACGCTTGTATCCCCTGAGACGCTTTCAGAATCGTCGCCGCCCGTGGCAGTCGTATTCGTGTCTATCACAAAAAGATTGGACGCTTGGCTATTGTATTGTTTTACTTGCAATGAGCCATCGTCAACAGGCTGTCCCAAAGGAGGCGAAGACTTTGTCGACTCATCTACGAAAATGTCACGAGCTGGCAATGATACCCGGCCCGGTTGTCCTGCATCCAACAACTGGCTTTGATTATCAACAGTCTCCACGTTCTTTTGCCCTGGAGGACCTTTGCTGCCTGCCCCGTTCGAAGCTTCTGAGTTACGAGGAAGAGTCGACTCGTCGGCAAAATCCTGGCTTGCCCCGACCTCTACAACAATTTCATTTGGAGCCACTTGAATCTGCTTTTCATCGCCCTCTAGCGTAGCTTCGGTAGAGTGCTCATTCGGATCCGTGCCCTGAACGTCTACGAATACCATCTGGTCCTCCGCAGGAATCTCAACCGCAATTTGCCTCTCGACATCTTGCTCGGGAGAAGCAGCGGCTGGTGACTTGGGTGCTCCTTTAGAGGGAGTTTCATCAACCATGACGACATCTGCCAGTTCCTTCACAGGGCTAGGAGTCCGATCTGCAAACCTCCATTGTCCGCTGCCACGTCCAAATCTCAACTTTTTCTGCCTGCCGTTATCTGGAAATTCTTCATCGTCGGAGAATGGATCGTATGTCGTAGCTGAAAGGTGAGCTCGCTTGAGTATTGCGGGTGAATACCACGTTTCCCCAGCTCCAAAAGGCTGGATCTGCGTCTTCTGAAATGGTGGCAAAGCATCGTGAATGGGAGCGGGCGAGTGCGGGGCTGTAGTGTGCTCCGACGAGGCTTCGGACGACGAGGAAGGATGGTCGATAAACACTGGGATGACGTCCCCACTTTCTCTTTGAATCTACAATGATTAACAATGGAGTCGCGTATGACCTTGCATCTACCAATACCTTGACATCCAAGTATTCACGAAATTCCAGTCTCCATTCTATACCTTTCCCAGGCGTGGAAGCTGCAGAGTCATCTTTCGCCCATTGCGCACCCCTCAATTTGAGCAACAATTTGTCACCACTCGCGACAGCTGCCAGTGAGACTGTCTTTGCGATCGCTCCGTGGAAGAAAAGCCGAACTTGTCCGCGTCGCGCGCGCAATCGGAAGTCCGGCTCGACAAGTAGAAGGCTTGTGGATTTCGTCGAGGATGAGTAGGGCCAAGTAAGAGTAACGATGCCTTCCACCGTGCTATCGTCTACACGCTGGAGGCCAGGTTGGAGGTCTGCGATTGGTACGGTCCCGGTGTCTGCATGAGCCATTGCTTCGCGTCGTAATGACAGTCATAGTCTGGGTAGCAGTTCAGCACGCGATCATGAGGCCTAATAGCTGCGTTCCTGTTTGATGTGTCTTGATCAAGTCGCACAAGCTTCGAAGTTACGGTAGAAATTGCCCCCGCCCCGCTCCGCTTGCGGCACTAGGTTCTAGATCAACCCGAACCTTTCTTTTCCCCTAAAAATTTGGCTGGTTACATTAACCATTATGTTTATCATTCTTCGCAAATTCTATGAATGAGAAGGGCTGACAGTATGAGCTTTACAGACAAATGTCTGATTAGAAAAGTTGCGATTGTTGGGGGTGGTCCGGCAGGAGTGGCCGCTGCAAAGTAAATTCAACTCCCACACCGTCTCCTTGTTCAAATTCATTCGCTAATCCATTCATTCAGTGCTAAGTCTCCCATAGATACTTATTGGCTGAAGCCTTCCTCGAGACCATAGACATATATGAACAGCAAAGTAGCCCCGGGGGTGTCTGGAACTACGTCTCTTACGATGCTGAAGAACAGATTCCCGCACCTCAGATTGATGCTCACCAAGATTTGACATGGCCACTTTCAACTGGAGCAAGATTCGTTGGAAGCAGGGGAAGCCCGATCTTCCCTACGCCTATGTACGATGGCCTTGAAACAAACATTCCACATTATTTGATGCAGCATTCTGAGTCTTACTCATTACAAAAGTATCAACTATTTCCCAAGCGGGAGACAGTCCTCGAGTATCTGAAACAGTACGCCTCTGATGTCAGGCACCTTGTCAAATTTCGTACGCAAATCACCGATGTTCGCCTACGAAGTGAGGATGAGCATGACATCTGGACTGTTGAAGGTCAGGACCTAATTTCTCACACTCGAATTAAACAGGAGTACGACGCGATTGTTGTTGCAAACGGCCATTACGACATCATCAGCATTCCCAACATTCCGGGAATAAGAGGTTGGAATCTCCACAATCCAGGACTTATCTCTCATTCGAAGTTCTTCAGAAATGCGGCGTCATTTAAAGATAAGAAGGTTCTAGTCGTTGGGTTCTCGGCATCTGGCCTCGACATTACATGGCAGATCGGTGCCACAGCGAGGCTTCCCATTCTGGTGTCTCAAAGGTCAACAACATCTACAGAGTATCCAATACCCATCAAAATGGACGTCCCAGAAATCGCTGGATTCCTGTCGCCGTCTTTGAGACCACGGGCCGTACGATTTGTAGATGGTCGGGTTGAAGAAGACATTGATGCAGTCTTGTTCTGTACCGGCTACTTCTATTCCCTGCCTTTTCTCTCCTCTCTCAAGCCTCCGTTAGTATCCAGCGGTGATCGTGTGGAACGACTGTACAAACACTTATTCTCCATTGACCATCCTACCCTTGCTTTCGTTGGTTTACCGTCCAAGATTATCCCTTTCCGTACCTTCGAAAGTCAGGCAGCTGTTCTGGCAAGGGTCTAGTCTCAAAGGCTTGAGCTTCCCCCAAAGCATGAGATGGAGCTTTGGGAAAGGAGCCGCGTCCAAGAGCGCGGGTGTGGTAGACCGTTCCATGTCCTCCCTTTTCCAGAAGACTTTGACTATCACAACGAATTGGTCCAGTGGGCTAGTTGTACTGCTAATGCAAGACTTGACAAAATACCACCAAAGTGGTCAAAGGAAGATTATCGGGTACGAGAAATCATCCCTCTTGTCAAGAAGGCATTCATCTCGAAGGGCGAACGCAGACACAGCATTGAGACTTTAAGAGATTTAGGGATAGACCCTAACGAGACGGCTAGCACACCACTGTAATTTTCCCATTGCCTCTTGTGGGGCTTACTAGCATTAGCTGTAAGCAGAAGATTTGCTGAAATTTATTTCCATTAGCCATATAGGCTTTTCCGTAATCAGAGAGTGTAGCAACTGTGGCTTGATAGTCTGAAATCAATGGGAGGTCATTATTGGAAGCGAGTGAGTAAGAAACGAGGTGTCTTCAGCGCCTTTCGTCTCATTGCAGACCTGAAGCAGTGTGAAAGCGTGCCATGGTGGCCGGTTGCATGCAGGTTTAGCGGGTACCCAAAATGATTGCGCACTGGTGGGTTTTCAAAACCAGCAATATCTAAATAAAAAGGAAGTTTTTCACAAACTTTTGCATGGAAGATATTTATGGATTTATTTAATTCTATAAATTTGGTAGTAAAATCTCGTTTTATGAGTGAAAATCTTGTTAAGATATCGAGCTGCAAAATACTTGCCAAGACGGCTACAGTGTGCATTTATTTTAGTACCCGAGGGGCAGCTTAAGGCAACTAGGCGGATGGGAAGGCTCGTCTCGGCCCGCCAATGTACCTTGCCTTAAAATCCATCAACTTTCCATTATCAAGTCGCCTGCCTTATTAGGCATTCATTCAAACACCGACCCAAGCGAGACTACCTCACGCGGTCCTTCGACCTATCATCAGAATAAGTGAAGCTTCAGGAGTGATTATGACGGGTGCTGTATCCGTGCAGACCGACATATGCAGTCTGAGGTCAGCTTGCGTCCGTTCACGAAACATGAACCAAGGCATGGGCGGCAGGTGGATCCGGAGATAGAGGCGGAGCAGAGATTGCTTGGCACCAAACGGTAAGTCTAGAAAAAAGCATACTCTAGTAGCAAGCTGATGCTTATGTACACGCAGGAATGACGCTCAAGCAGTTCCAATACAAAAGCCACGAAGCAGTCGAGAAGTAGTCAGGATGCCTAACGTGAGTAAAGCTGCTGGTAGTGAAATGCTTGCCGCTCATTGCGGACTGAAGATGCCCGTTGGTGGCCCTAGGCCTAGGAATACCCTTGATACAAACAACTCACTCCCGAACGTAAGAAAAGCTCGAGATTCCGCACACAACACTCTATTTTCTAAGCCAAATCAACTCCCAACACAATATTTTCGGGGAAGTAATATTGGGAGACAATTGTCTGCGGAGTCCAGCAGTTGCTCACATCAACCCACCGCAAAAAGACGCAAGATAGAAAGAGTCGCCAACAGCGCCTCTCCCGTCTCAGATGTGTCAGTTGAGGACCCAATGAAAGGCCAGCCGCCAGATGATCTCATCATAATTGCCAAAAGTCCAAGCATGAGTCGGACGCCCTCAGGATCCGGTCAACAATTAGCTCAAAGACAGCTAAACGGGACCTTTGGTGGGGTCAATGAATACCGAGCGGTCGAAGAGACGATGAATAGCACTAAGATTAAGCGCAGAAAGCAACGGAGGCGAAGCAACAAAAGCCACTCCAGCGGCATTGAACTTTCAGGTTCTTCCTCTCCTCATTCCGGCGTCCAAACGAGCATTGGCCAGATCAATGGCCAGGTGGACTTTACGGGAGGTGAAGACGAGCTCTCTGATGCTGTTCCCGGTGACAAGACGGATCATTTGTCGATGTCTTCTCCCAAACCAACTGTATTACAGAGGCAACACAATGACATGCAGCAACATGACTTACAGAACGGTACTGAAACATCAAAGTACTTCTCTACTGAAGTTAGCAAAAGACTTCGGAGATCCCCAGAGAAACCTAAACTTACTAGCAACACGCCGACACGCGACTTAAGACTTAATTCAATATTCGTTGGAATAAACGGTAAAAATAGAGGATTGCAATCCTCAACCGCCAGCCCTGACGAGCTAGCTTCAGGTACCACGGTTGGTAGGAGGGCGGATCGAAATATCGAGTCTCCAACCAAGACAATGCGAAATGCTGTAGGAACACATACAAATTCTGCGAGATTGATCAGACTGCCAGCTAAAGAAAACGACATACCTCCTGCCAAGTTTCAGACAAAGCGTTTGGTAAAAGAAAGAGAGGCACCAGAGTCCTTTGCTGTGGGCATAACAAGCATCAATCTGCCAGGGTTAGAAGATCTTAGATCACTAGGTCTCAGCCATCATCCAAAGGAAGACATCTACAATGTCATCCACAACGGCGGTACACTAAAGTATTCTGGCTCGGGTTGTCAGGTGATCCGATCAAAATTGCAGAAGATAGTCTACGAAATGCGTGGTAAGAGAATTCGTTTCGAATCCTCTCTTGTCGGAGGCGCCAAAGGTACACTCGAGATTCAGCTGTCTAGAGTCGAAGATATGGATCCGCTGTTGAAGCACCTTGAGCGAAAAGACTCTCCACAAGTCGTTGGAAAGGAAAGGTAAAAACATTCACCCTTTTCCAATTATGCCATAGCTAATTTCAGTCGGAAGCGAATGGATGCAGAAACTGTTTAGTACGACTTACGAGAAAACAAAAAAGTTTGAGACTCGGATCCTTGCCAGATTAAAGGCCGAAAGCTCGGGTGCTGCAGCTTTACAAGTAGATGAATTGAGACGCCACAACATCCAAAAACGAAAGCTCGGTCGAGAAAGGATTACATCGACTGTGAAACCTAACATCGTGGACGGCCTTGTTAGTAGTAAGTCGTCTGAAATCGCACAACTTTCTAAGGAGCGTTTGAGCAAAGAAACGTCATCTAAACCTCAGCGGAAGACCACGTCAGGAGTCGATGGAGTGTTGAAAAATCTTAAACCTGGATTTTTCAATGATAAAGAGACCCCTCGAAGATCTACGCGAAGTTCTAATGATGCATTGAAATCAGACGACATCGAAGCCGATAAAGCTAATTTACCAGAGCCACCAAAGTATTCGAAAATTCATGGCCTCGGATCGAAATGGAAAAGGCCCCTCAGCTATCCTAAAATTGGAAAGAAGAAAGCGACTGTTGAATTTCAGGACCTCGAGCGACTGGACGAAGGCGAGCTTCTCAACGATAGTCTAGTCACCTTCTATCTGCGATACCTTGAACACGACCTGGAGCAAAGAGATCCAGAACAAGCGAAGCGCATATACTTCTTCAGCACGTATTTCTATGAGCGGCTTACAAATTTTTCTACAGGTAAGCGGGAGATTAATTACGCTGCTGTCGAAAAATGGACAAGGAACGTCGATATCTTCACTTACGATTACCTGATCATCCCTGTCAATGAGGCTTACCACTGGTATGTCGCAATCATATGCAATCTGCCTGCACTCAACCGGAGGTTGAATTTGCCAGAGGGCGGCTCCTTTGACCCCCAGCAAGATGAGCATGTCAACACGTCGCCTGTGACGAGTCAGGGCTCCCATATTGTTGAGGCCAAAGAGCAGCAGTCTGTAGCGAACGGAGAGGGTCTAGCAGAAAGGGGTACTCGAGAATCATTTGCAGAACTAAGCCTTGATGGTGAGGATCAACAATCGATCTCGCAAACAAAAAATGTCAATTCAAATGCAGAAGCGACTACCGAGGAGTCTGTTGAACTAATTTTTGAATCCAAGCCTGAGACGGTGGAGCGTTCAGGAGACGTTTTTGAAAACAAGCCAAAATCACCCTTGAGCTCAAAAAAGCAAAAGCGGCAATCCCTCGCACCCATCATGCGTACCGATCCTACCAAACCACTCATAATCACGTTTGATTCATTCGGTACTCCGCATAGCCGCCCTATCGGGCATTTGAAGGACTATCTGCTCCAAGAGGGTAAGACCAAGAGAGGTGGGATGGAGATTGATGCTGGTTCCATCAAAGGTATCACTGCGAAGGGCATTCCCGAGCAGAACAATTTTTCAGATTGCGGGATTTACTTGCTTGGATACTTGGAAAAATTCATGCGAGGAGATCAGCAGCAATTCATCTCGAAAACCATCAAAAGACAATTTGTGGATGGGGACTGGTCGGCTCTCGTACCGAGTCAAATCCGAAACAGTGTCCGTGAGCTTTTGCTGGATCTGGGCAAAATCCAGGAAGAGGAGTACCGTAACGCAAAAGGGGAAAGACGAAAAAGCGAAGATAAGGGACATCAGGAGACAGCTAAGATCTTGGAACACTCCATGACGAATGAACCTCCAGTGCATGCTTCTGGGAAGGCCATATCCACAAGCATCCCGTCAAAGCCACCATTCCTCACCAGGGGAGAGGCTCTTGAGCAAGCACAGCCTCTTGATAGCGCGTTGGAGCAAAATCCTGGCAAGGAAAAACTTGCAAAATCTACCGAGATTGAGGCGACAGAAATGCTGGATGACGATCAAGCTCCTATTCAGCCGCACGCTCAGTTCATGAATCAAGAAGAGGCATCTCTAATTCTTCTTGACGAGCGTCCCTATCAAGAAGAGCAATCACAGGTCCTAAAAACCCAGCCTTCGTTGCCTGGAGGATTTCCAACAGAAAACGCAGAGCTCCCAAATCTACCCTCTCAGATCGAGGATTCCCAAGAGCCTCAGCAGGAACGAAAGACTCCTGATGCGACTTTTGTGCCAAGGACGCCTTCGCCTATCCTTCAACCACAAAAAGTAAAAGAACCTCACAGCACCCCAAACCTTGAGACCGTCGCAGAGAATGGGAATGTTGCGGAGCCCGAGCCTAAACGACGGAGAAAGCGCTACCAAAAAGAGCCATTAGATGATCCTCCAGCACTGGTAAAGATGAACACTGTCATCAGTATTGACGATTGAATGAATCCCACGCAAGCCACCTTTTGATCTGCATTTTTAGCACGCCCATCTCTGCGACATTTGCGCGGCATACATGAATGGCTTGACTCCAAGCATGAATCTTAATTCCGGCATGACAGCTCCTGAAGAAGTATAGACATTAAGTGATAGGAGATAATGCAGCGGGTGAGTTCTGGTCATAGACTTTCGATATGGCTGAAACGGTTGGAGCAAGAAGACCATCTCTGCACAATTCGCGCCGGCTATGATTAGGGAAAGCGGAGCATCTTGAAGGTGACATGGCTTGATATACTCTTACATAGTCCATATTAGCCTAGTGATTCTACATGCTCGCTTCACATAACAAACACAATGCAGCTTTTCAGTCTTTACTCTTTCAAATGGGATCGCCATTCTCTCCCTCGGCCTCTGAGATTCCTAGAATTGAATCCCCCACTCCACTCCCACCGCGACTCTCGGATTCTTAACAACAGCCCAAGCCACCCCTCCATCATTTCCCTCGAACCACTGCAACTCCACCTTTCTCTCCTTCCCTCCTTCCTCCGTAACACTAACGTGCTTTCCACCCTCCCAATTCTTCGGCGCATTGACAATAACGACCCTTTCAACAACCACATCTTTCATACTCTTCACATATTCTCTCGCCACCTTCCTTCCAGCCCCCGGGTTCGCCAGCGCCTTCGACGTCAATTTCCCCCCTTCAAACTCGAATCGACGATGTATATACGCTCCGCTCTGATAATCGAAACTCTCCCCGTCATCGACGTAGAGTTCGCCTACTGCTTTGCCCTCACCACCGAGCACGATGAGGAGTGTGTACGGGTCCCATTTCATCAAGCCTGTGCTGCGTCTAGGCCGGTCCTTACGGGGGATTATATGCCCTGCTTGCATGAGCAGGGGAATCTTGTCTAGCGGCGCGGGTATGGTGACGGTTTTGCCTGAGCCTACGTGTGGTGTGTATGTAAAGTAATCATAGTAAGTGTACCCGGATGGGAGGTAGACGTCTACGCTCTCAGCGCCTTCGGTGAGGACGGGTGCGGCTAGCAATCCCGTGTCACCCAAGTAGAACTGGTTCTCGAGTGCGAAACCCGCTTCGTCGTCAGGGTGGACGTACCAATTCGGGCGCATGATAGGATAGCCGTACGTGTGCGCGGTGTGGAATGCCGTATAGAAGGCGGGCAGGAGTTGGTAGCGCAGCCGTATCGCTTGCGTGATGATTTGCGTGTAAGGACTCCCTGCGAGATAGGGCTCGCGTCGACGACTGTCAATGTGCGCGTGTCCTCGGAAGAAGGGGTAGAAGGCTCCAGCTTGGTACCAGCGAGTTAGGAGTTCTTGGGAGGGGTTGCCGAAGAACCCCCCACGTCAGCACCAGCAAAGGGGAAGCCTGCGATGTTCATGGAGAGTAGCATAGGGATTGAGGCAGCGAGATGCGGCCAGGAGGCTTGATTGTCACCTGTCCACATGGCGCCAACACGTTGGGAGCCGGAGTAGTAGGAGCGGGTGAGGACAAAGGGACGTTTCGGAGGACTGTCTCGAGCGAGAAGGGCTTCATACGTGGCGTTATGGAAGGTGAGACCATTCAGATTGTGAACGTCGCGGTGCTCCCAATTGCCGTGGTGGAGATTGTCTTTTGGCATGGTGGTCTCGGGGCCGTTGAAGACGGAGGGCTCGTTCATATCGTTCCAGAGGAAGACGTTGGGGGATGTACCTGTGAATGATTTGTAGGTGTAGAGGGCGTTGTACCATTTGCGTGCTGCTGGATTAAAGCAGTCGATCCAATTGGAAGAGCCAGGCCAACACCATCCATCATAGATATCATTGTCTTTGTTCTTGACAGCGAGGTTTTGGGACTTCAGTTGTTCGCTGACAGCATAACCACCCTCATTCTTGATATGCGGGTCTATGATGACTACTAGCTTACGCTGAGATACGTCCAAGTGTTTTTCCATTCCAATAGGATCTGGGAAAGAGTGGCTATCCCAGGTAAAGTATTTCTTGCTGTCAGAATACTCAATGTCCAGCCAAATAACATCATAGGGAATGCTGTACCGTGACATTTTCTTGTCAACGTCTTTTACGTCCTCATCGGAAACATAATTCCAGCGACACTGGTGATAGCCAATTGAGAAAGTCTGAGGAAGTTGTGGCTTTCCCGTCAGAGCTGTGTACTGTTGGATTATGTCTTTGGGTTCAGGGCCCATAAACACCACGAGATCTATAAGGCCACTTTCAGATATCCAATGGGTTCGAGTATTCAGTTTGCTACCAATACCAAGGCTTAGTGGATTCGAAGACTGCTTCTCCTTAACAATATCGATCCAGGTTTCGGCTGCATTCATCCAGAATATACCGACAGCCGAATTCTTGCGCTGGGCATACATAAGAGGGATTGCGCCATACAGAGTCATGGGACTGTCCATCTCATATTCGAAGACATCGGTGTTATACAGCCGGTAGGGGTCGTTATATCCTCCAGAAGCTCCTCTGGACCAAGTTAGTACGATCAAATGTTGGACATGACAGAGAAAAAATACCGCGTTTCCTTGAGGGAGAGTGGACCTGCGTGTCCGGGGATGCCATAAACATGTTCATACTCTGGAAACGTTACGTCCAAAGCGACACTCTCAGGGCCTTTTGGTTTCGTATCAGTGTTTCCTCCAAAAGACTCGTCCCACCATGACCACTTGTTCTCATCCTCTTCTTCTCGCTTCTTTAAATCTTCTTTCGCTTGCTCATCTTGCTTGACCTCCTCGCCCTCTTGCTTCCCTTCCTCTGCTGGCTTCTCTCTCTCCACTTTCGGTCTCCAATGTTCGTAATTTAACAGCCCTTTTCCATTGATTTTCACGTGAACTTGTTCATCGCGAACAAAGTCGATTGAGAATGGCTCATGTTTTATGATCGCTTTGTACTTCTTTCCAGTCCCATACAGCACGACAGTCTCCTTTCCTCTGGTCTCATACTGCATTTCTTCATCCCCTTTAGGCTGTCCGACCATTGCCCAAGAGGAAACTTCATTGTAGCGCTCTTTCCTGCATTGACTCCCATGTCGAAGTTCGATATCACCCTTTTGTCTTCTTGCTTCGTCAATGGTGATTCGAGCAACTCCTGGTTCTGGGAACTGTATGAGCAAGGGGAGTTCGACTACCGGCTTATCCTGATTGACAGTCTTAAGTATCGTTCCAGTCAATCGTCCTGAGCCAGCTTTTACGGTTTTGGGGTCAAGTGCGTAGGGTGACGCCCAGGAGTTACCAGTCGTGTCTACGTGGTCGGCATAGGCGCGGTTTCGCCTGCAAAACCCCGACTGGTCACATGTCTTGAAGTTCTCATGTTTGACACTCGCTAGATGCATTCATTTCTTAGCTCATTGCTTCATAAGGCCAAAGTTTAAGCTTACAGGCTGGCCCAAAGAGGGCGAATACGGCAACTACGAGGGACAGCCACGTGGAATAGCGGCGAAACCACGCCATGATCAGTGAGCTATTGAGTATCCTGACTGCCAGGCTTCTCAATCCTCTGCTACTGCTTCTGCCGTCGGTCCTTCTACATTCGTATTTCCGGAATTGGCCAACTCGCCGTTTCCTATTGCCGCGTTTCCAAACACTAGCGCGGAGAGCTGCCACTCGCGGGTCGGGCCTTCTTCCCACAAGCCACCCACTTCAAGGCACCCCACCCTAAGCACAAAAGTCAATGCAATGATGTCGGACGAGAATCCCACACATTCGACAAGCTCAGATCCCCCCATATTCGAGAAACTAAGCCTGAAAACTCAAGGCTACTTGCGACAAGCTACATCCTCCAAAAACAAAGAAGAGAAAGGAGAACCCTCCAAAATGACGACGGAACAGACGTTTGTCTCCCTTACACACGCCCCACGTAATGAAGCCGCCAATTGTGCTGACCCGGTGCTCACCTAGTTTTATTGCAATCAAGCCCGATGGCGTGCAGCGCGGCCTCATTGGTCCTATAATCTCTCGATTTGAGAACCGAGGGTACAAGCTGGTTGCTATAAAGATGTGCCAGCCCGGCGAGGCGCACCTGAAAGAACATTATTCGGATCTCAGTGAAAAGCCATTCTTCAAGGGCCTTGTCACATGTATGATCTGTCATACTGTGCTGAATCGAAGCTTACTAGCATGTAGACATGAATAGCGGACCCATTCTGGCAATGGTGTGGGAGGGGAGAGACGCTGTCAAGACCGGGCGAGGTGAGCAGCACTCTACCCTATATGAGCGCTCAAGTCAGAGAGCTAAAATATGAGAGTAGCTTTGCTAGGCGCTACCAACCCCTTAGACTCACTACCAGGTACAATTCGTGGCGACTTTGCCATTGTACGTCCAGCTCCTCTCCCACGTATATCTGTTGTAGCTAACAAAAGACTCAGGACGTTGGTCGCAACGTCTGCCATGGATCTGATTCGGTTGAGAATGCAAAGAAAGAGATTAAGCTTTGGTTTGCGGAAGCAACGGTGAAATATGATTCCGCTCAGTTTGGCTGGATTTACGAAAAAGCATAGACATGTGCGTGACTCTAATGTAGAATTCCATGGTAGCTTATAAGATCGTACCATGATTATCATCGTGTACTCGGGACATGACAATTAGAGAATACATACTTGATGATATTCTGTTCTACATGCCATTCACTACCTCAAGGTCGTTGCTTGGGACTTGTATTTTTTGGGAGCCAAAGGATCTTTTATTCATCTAGTCCCTTGAAGCTGTGATATTTATTACCAACACGCTTAAAAGCTGTAGGTTGTATGTTAAATTTTGACAGGAGCAGGAGCATCTCCCTCGAGGCATCACAAGCTAAAAGACACTGTATCTGACTGACTCCAAAGACACATTCTTTCCATCATCCTCTTGTTACAAGTAACTAGTCAATCGTTTGAGTGAATATACTCAGCTAATACGCGAATGCGTATTTCTTATGCTCAATCAAGAATCTCAACGCCCTATCAGGCCAGGACTGGCAGTGTTTTCAATGTACTATGTCCTTGAGATTTATAAAACGCCAACATCAAGCCAAATAGAGTCTTAGTACCATAAAACCAGATGGAGGGAACATGAATTGTGGCTTTGATACTCTGGGTCTGCAAGTGAATACAACATTGAATTCTCAGACTTTTTCAATGTCACTCGGAGTGGTAAGATTGATATGAAGAAATGTCAACATTGCAAAGCTATGATTCTAGTCTATAGAATAAACAGTCCTTTTTCATCTTGCAAGCTTTCAATATCTTCTGATGTGGAAGTCCTACAGGCACGTCAAAGCTTCCCTTGCTGATTCTGTCCATACAAACAAGACACAGGGTAGTGGTCGTTACAATCTTCACAGCAGGGACCCTGTACAAAGGATACGAAGTAGGCTTCACGCCATACATGAATCAGCACGTCTCTAATTCTTTTCGAAGTTCAGGGTGTCTTACATTGAGAACAGTAGCAGCACTTTACTTGATTTATGCCGCCTATCGGCGGCCTAGTGAGCACAATTTTGTAAAGTGGGTGGCGATGACTGGCTCTTTGTGCCGTCGTACATGATGAACAAAACGCAAGTAGGCAACCCGATGATAGGCATACAGAGCCGATTTGACCAAAGGCCAGGACTATGATGACTCTCAGTACTTAGTCATGGCTTTTTTTACCAGCGGGGTTTCTTTAATACAACGTCTTCTACTTACTTCTTTCACAGAGAAATCACGGGAAAGTTGTAGTATCTGGGTAGGCAACGGATCCCGACTTTGCGGCACGTCTGTTGCATGTCAGGTAACTCTGAGCTCGAGTAACTTCAAGCAGTATTGATGTAGTAATCAATTGTAGCTGCAAATGCTCACGTAAATGCTCTCTTCCGTTTGCAATTCCTAGGATATCGATTAGCTGATGGGTTTTCCATGCATCTGAACGCACTCAGCCCTGGACACTGCTCACAGCCCCATATTGATTCCATGAGTTCATTTAATGTTTTGGCATCTTTTCCGACATACCTGATACTATGGTTCAAGACGACCTCCGCGCTCGTCTTCAAGTTTGTTCGTAGGATGTTGCAGCATGATCAAGATCGCTAAGTCCCGAACACCACCTCCATCGAGCGACAGTAGTTTTCGACTTCTCGATTCTTGAGACTCTCTCTGAACGCGCAGCACGTTAGGTGCGGCCTCGTGTGATGCAGTTACAAAGGTTGGTCTCGCTAGTGCATTCGACATAGATTGTGAGTCTTCTTTACCAATTTGTGGGATAGTTTTTGGAGAATGCTGAGATACAAGGCTGTTCTGGGACACAGATTTCCACTGGGATATAGGCAGGACCAATGCGCGATCCTGATGGGGGTTTTCCAGGGACTCACTTAAGACTCGCATATCAAATGGGGTCGAAGGCGAGGTTTGAGTCTGGACGAAACCTTGGGGTTTGTTTGAGTCAAGAATTTGATGAACAGGTGAAATGTAAGGCTGGTACGCGGCCGTTGGTGTGAGAGGACGACGAGACACAGACGGCGACTGGGCGGACGTGAAGGTAGAATCTGTCATTCCCGTCAATCCAGTCGGATGAGCCTGAGTACTGACCGAAGTAGACTGTGTTTCGTTGGGTATATACATAGGATAGCCTACAAGCTTGGATGAGTCTGAAACATCACTTGGCTGCTAAGCAATTGAGCTGACTTACCTTGAGGAGGCTGCAAGTCGCTCTGAGGTCGTAACTCAGGTTGATCCTGAAGCGGAGGCGTGAAAGTCAGAGCACTCAAGGGCGTGGTCAATTGAGGGCTATGTGAGGGCCGTCCATAACGCCCATCTGGCTAGAATCCGATTCCTGCGAGTGGGGATGCAGAAGGTCTGGGAGGTGATGGAAAGTACGGAGTCTCAAAATACGGTGGCGATCGGGCGGCGGTCGATCTCGAAGGTGGTACTGAATCCAGATAATTCTGGCCTTGTCCTCCAGGGTGGAATGACGGAGGGAGAACTGGCACGCAAAGCATTTTGAGAACTAGGATAAAATCCGTTAAGCCGTGGTGGAAGAGGAAGAGGGACGGAATGCTGCTGAAGTGGAGATGAACTCGCCTGACGGTGTTCCTGGTTAGGGTACGCTGTCAATTGGTTCTGATATTGAGGAACGAGGTGGTTTGTTTGGTTGTCAGGATAGATACCATACTGTTGCGGATATTGATATTGATTAGGTTGATATTGTGGAGACAAGCTTGGTAGAGACTGGTAAGAGGAAGAATATTGCGAATATGAAGGCTGAGGCCGGTTGTCTTGCGGAGCCAATACTTCATCTACAAACTTCTTTCCCTTCTTCAAGAAGGAAGCCATAATCTTCACACGAGCTCGACAGGTAGGAAACAACGCGGACTCGAAAGAATCAACGGACGCATGAAAACATTGCTCGATCTATCGTGACTCGGTCGCAGAACAGTTGGGTCAGCACACGTTTCAAAGGCTGGCCTCGTGATACCATTTGGGGCCTTTCTGGAGCTTCAAGACCCGGTCTAGCGATGCACTTCCGATTTCTCCCGCCTCTGTTTAGGCAATAGCGCTGCACACTCATAATCACATGTTGATTGCTGACTATTCGCAAGCCGGCTCCAAATCGAAAGCCATTTCGACGAATTGACCAAATCCCCCAGTCATTGCGATCATCTCATGCCTCCTCACATGTCACATCCAATTCGGATCATCTCTCGGGTTCTCATCGACGCAATTGATTGACGCGAAGCGATAATGCTTATAGCAGCCTTCATTTGGCTCCCAAGTAAAATTCATACGGAATCGACGACTCTGTAGCTAGAATCGTTATGTCTCTAGGAATCGCATGAAACGTCAGATTTCAAGCCAAGCGATGCCCAGCCTCAAGTCTGACCACCAGGAGATCATCTCTTGAGCTAGGGCACGATTCATAGAACTCAAGTCATCCAATGACAGCCAATCAAGCTGACTGGTACAAGACAATCAGGCGTCAATGGGATGAATTGAATAAAGCATGATTCCTTACCTTAAGTAAATCCCTCAGGCCAGGGGCTGCCTTGGTTGTTGGCAGAAAAAACTGATCACTTCTTGGCGGCTGCACCCAAAAGTGATCAGGTTTTTTGAGCTCCCGAGGGCTGCGTCTTTAAGGTTGAGAGCGCCGGGATCTCGGAGGCATAGCCGCGCCGGAGGACCCCTAGAGTAAAGTAAACTGTCCTCGTTGAATTCCCCTTGCTTTGACGTCATTGCGTGGCGCGCCCCTCCACCATGCCATCAGACTCAAGAGGAGCTCTCATAGTAATTGAGGGCCTTGACAGAGCCGGCAAGTCGACTCAGCATGGACGCTTGTGCGAGCATCTCGAGTCTGCTGGACATTCTGTCAAGAAATTGAGATTTCCTGGTAATCCAACCCACGCTACCACCACTACGCAAGGTGACCCTAGCCAGATAGAGACACATCCATCGGCACGTCAATCTCGTCCTATCTGAAAGGCGCTTCAAACCTCGAAGATCATGTAATCCATCTCCTCTTCTCGGCAAATCGCTGGGAAGCTACGCCGGGCATCATTCGAGCTATTGAAGCCGGCACAAGCGTTGTAGTTGACCGATACTACTACAGCGGCATAGTCTACTCGGCTGCTAAGAAAGCCGCAGGCATCTCGTTACAATGGGCGAAGGCACCCGATGTGGGACTTCCAAAGCCCGATCTGGTTGTCTTCTTAGACCTTGATCAAGCAACAGCAAAGGCTCGAGGTGGCTATGGCGAAGAAAGATATGAAAATGAGGAGATGCAGAAGAGGGTCAGGGAGCTTTTTTTTCGAAGTCATTCGAGTGGAGGGGAAAGGTGAGGCCACTACGAAGATCGTAGACGCCAGCAAGAGCATGGATGAGGTTGCCAGCGTGATTGCAAGAATTGCAGACGACACACTCAAGGCTAAAAGACTTAATGAGCCATTGAGGAGAATCGAAGACTGAGAACTGAGGCTGATGTATTACTCCAATGCCAAAAATTCGTCTCCATCACTGTCCTCCACGACCTTATCCAACCGCCATGTCGGAGGCCGGAAGTGCGGACGAGGCATATCGCTTGTGCAGTCCGTAGCGAGACTTGAGACGCTCATTGCATCGTCATCAGCAGCATCATCATCATCATCTAGTAGTTGCCAATTATCTGCAAGCGGGACATCATCGCGTTCTGACTCTTCTTCTGCAGAAGATAGATCTGCATCGTCTGCTGCTAGGGCAGCCGTGATAACCTCACCCTCGACTCTGCGCCTTTTTGGCTTCAAAAGCCTCGACACCTCCTTAAGACCTTTCTGTCGGAGAGTCATCTCCTTCACGAGGCTGACCCAAGAGGTTTCCCGCTCACAAGCAGGGCAATGACCTGATATTGGAATTACTGACCCTCCAGAACCCTCGTCTTGCAAAAATTTGCTTGACAAACATGAGATGTGTGTTACAGCTCTACAGCTCTCGTGTGGACAGAAGAGCGTGGTAGACGTGCAATTGGTAAGACTTTGAGAGCAGACCGAACATACAAGTACTTCACCTTCTTCGATGAGAGACAGGCTTTTCTCGAGATGATCTTTCATGCTCCTATACGTGATCTCCAGCTTCTGAGGACCAACAACCCCCGCAGGTTCCTTGTCTTGGACTTGCTTGACCTTGGTATCCGAAGGTTCTGCCGTGGTGGATAGAGTAGTCCGTGAGAGGCTGTGATCGTCTACGAATATTTTAACACCCTTTCGGATCTCGCCACTCGCCTGTTTGTTAAATCGTTGCCAGTCATGATAGACGTCATCGCAGAAGAAGGAAAGCGAAAGGGGCCAACGATTAAAAGCGGGCACCCTCAGAAGCAAGTGCAGATTCATGAGTCTGCTTCTCATCGTCCAATTCGGCTTCCGTGGTTTCTTCTTTCTGTGCGTCTGCGCCTTGGCTGATTTGGGGCTTTCTGCTTTTCTAGTCCTGTTTCCCTTTGATGGAGGTGGGCGCGTGATGCGCTCATCCTCGGAAATATGAGTTGTCTTGTGCGCATGGGTCCACGCCCACTCGAACTGCAAAGCTGCAATGGAGGAGGGAAATCCTGTGACTATGCAGGCCATCTCCCACGGTCGAAGATTATCATTGTGGGTTCCTAGAGCACCGCCTCTGGACAGCCCATTATGTTGGCCCAGCCGTCTGCGAGGATTGGGGGTTGAACCCACGTAGGAACCACGTTTAGTTCTAGACGAGCGAAGAAGATAGCAACAATAGAATGCTGGAATTGGCCTAGTCCCCATTGCCGCGGTTGGTTTATTTGATCGCCTGTAGCAGTCAGAGCCTCGGACAAATTATGTATATGGATAATTCCAGCAGCCTGAGATGCGGTCCATGATGGGTTTTGCGAGTGTTGACCCAGATTCCTCGACGCGGAAGCCACCAACGCTCATTCATGGGGATCATGATGCTGTTTATTTGGGGCACGTCTCGATAAAGTTATCGGAGGCTGGAAGCGGCTAGTTCGTCGGCATAATGCATCTAGCCTTCGTTAGCGTGCCGCTTTGTGGCTTGGTGCTTGATATGAGTCTGGTTGCTCTTTCCCGCATGGCCGCATGTGATGGCCACTCCCTCGCTAGCAGTGCCTTGCTGCAACACTCCTTCATTCACTCATGACACCTGAAAGCGATCATATCGCCCCCTCGTATTTCTATCACGGGGCTTTCTAAACACCGCTCTGACACTCTCTAATTGATCAACCTGACCATTTGAGCTCAAAATTCACCATTTAGTAGGCCGGGTGGAGCCTCATTCCTTGTAATATCCCTCGCTTCTTGTGTAAATTGACAACACAAACTTCCGTACAGCAAAATCGAAATCTGCGGCCTCCCCCAAAGCCGTTGTCCTACACGACTTCTCGTCAATTTCGTCATCGGTTTATATCCATGCCATGATTAATTGAGTAAGCTACTCACAGCATGGTGAATCCACCTGGGGTTGGAGGTAGCACGGGAGGGGCAACTGCGACCATCAATCTCCCCTCTGAGCCAGGCCCATCCACCAACAACTATCCACTCGATCTCAGCGCAGTCAAGAATGGCATATATACTGCTTATGCCCCTCATATTCCCTTCAGCCAGCGGCGAGCTCCGCCTTTAGACCTGTCGACGGTTGAACGGCGTGGTCAGCCGTCGGCTGCGAGAGAGACAAGAAGAGCTCGACCACATGGCCTCCAGGAAGCACCCACCTTTCGCCCAACGGAAGAGGAATTTAAAGATCCATTCGATTACATACGCACAGTACGACCTGAGGCAGAAAAGTATGGAATATGCAAGATCATACCTCCAGACACTTGGTCGCCGGAATTCGCTATCAACACAGAACGTTTCTTCTTCAAAACACGGCTCCAACAGCTGAACTCAGTTGAGGGAGGGTCCCGTCAAAATGTACAGTATCTCGATCAGCTCGCTAAATTCCACAAACAGCATGGCATGAATCTCAATCGCTTCCCGAGTGTTGACAAACGTCCGCTAGACCTTTACAAGTTGAAGAAAGCCGTAGAGTGTCGTGGTGGCTTTGAAAAGGTTTGCAAGCTGAAGAAGTGGGCTGAAATAGGCCGCGATCTGGGTTACAGTGGGAAGATTATGTCCTCGCTGTCCACGTCACTGAAAAATTCTTATGCTAAGTGGCTTAATCCTTACGAAGAGTACTTAAAGGTGGCGAAGCCAGGCGTACAGCAGCAACTAGAATTCGAGAACGGCGGCCCGTTCACACCTTCATGCTTGAAGCCATTTCTGAATGGGTCCCAGCAAAGCACACCTCTGAGTCTGAACGACGAATCCCCCGCAATCAAAGCCTCCGCTGCTCTGAATACTTCGCTAAACGATCAAAATGAACCTGTTGAACAGAAACCCTTGGTTCTTGATCAGCCTCAGCCTCCAACACAATCTCAACCGGTTGTGTCAACCGGATTTACTCCCGTCAATCCTGGTGGTTTTACCCCTGTCAACGCTAGTCAAGCTTCTTTCCGTTTTGCAGCCGTAAACGGTTCTCAGAAATACGACTTGGAAAATGGTGGTCACAGGAGCCCTCCGCAGCCACCATTCAATGGTGGACTGCCGCAGCCCCAGATCAATGAAAACTCTTTCATTGCTCACTTACCAAACGGCCATCCAAACCCTTTGAAGCGATCGTTTGGAACTGAAGGGAAGAGTACCCTACTGCCAATGGAGGGTAGTATCAGTTTCGATTCAACCGACTCGGATGAGCGTCGAAGCAAACGAGTCAAGAAAGCACCAACGGTCGTTGGATCGCACATGAATCAACCTCGACCTGTTACGCCTAGGCTTTCGAGTGGACAGTCCAACGGCAAGAAAGGTGAGGCTTGCGAAGTCTGTGGTACTAAGGACGATCGTTCCTTGTTCCTCGTTTGCGATGGGTGTGACTACGGCTATCACAAGAATTGTCTAGATCCTCCTGCGAAGACGAATCCTTTGGTGGATTGGCACTGCCCAAAATGCCTCGTCGGAACCGGCGATTTTGGCTTCCAGGAGGGTGGTGTTTACTCGCTACGTCAATTCCAAGAAAAGGCTCGTCACTTTAAACAAAGCTACTTCGAGCCCAAGATGCAGTACGACCCAGTGACGAACAAAAAGAAGACTATTACTGAGGATGATGTTGAAAAGGAGTTCTGGAGACTCGTAGAGAGTCCTTCTGAGGAAGTTGAAGTAGAATACGGCGCTGACATACATTCTACTACCCACGGTAGTGGGTTCCCTATTATCGAAAAACACCCCCTTGATCCCTACTCCATTGATCACTGGAATCTTAATATTCTACCATATCACCCCGACTCGCTCTTCAAGCACATCAACTCGGATATCTCTGGCATGACTATTCCTTGGCTTTATGTGGGCATGTGCTTCTCAACCTTTTGTTGGCATAATGAGGATCACTATGCGTACTCCGCAAATTATCAGCATTTTGGCGCCACAAAGACTTGGTATGGTATACCTGGCGCCGACGCAGTACGCTTCGAACAGGCGATGCGTGAAGCCGTGCCGGAACTTTTCGAATCGCAGCCGGATCTTCTTTTCCAGCTTGTGACGCTACTTCCACCAGATCGCCTCAAAAAGGCGGGCGTGAATGTGTACGCTTTAGATCAGCGAGCTGGGCAATTCGTCATTACCTTTCCTCAAGCCTACCATGCTGGATTCAATCACGGCTTCAACTTCAACGAAGCCGTCAATTTTGCGCCCGATGACTGGGAGCACTTCGGTGAAGACGGGGTCAAACGGCTTCAAGAGTTCCGGAAGCAGCCTTGCTTCTCTCATGATGAGCTACTCACAACTGCAGCTCAGCGTGATACAACGATCAAGACTGCAAGATGGTTGGCGCCTGCACTACAGCGTTTGGGTGACCGCGAGTGTCATCAACGTCTTGAATTTCTCCAAAGGCATAAAGAGTGCTCTCATGCCCATCATTGCAAGGTTGACAGGACTGGCGATTCTGAACCTGAGTGCGAGCTAGATTTCGAGGTTTTAGATGTTGATGTACCTGAAGCCGACTACCAGTGTGTTCATTGTAAGGCCTACAGCTATCTCTCCACTTTTCGATGCACGGCGAGTGGCAAAGTCATGTGTCTGCTTCATGCTGGCAACTTTGAGTGCTGTGAGACAAGCGAGGAGCAGCGCTACAGAGGGGCCCGTCATGTTTTGAGATACCGACTGAGTGATCAAGCTTTAGGTAGGCTTGTACAAAGGGCTATTGACAAAGCCAACCAGCCCCAGGCATGGCAGGAGAAGGTCAGCAAGGTACTTGAAGGCGAAGAGAGTCCGTCGTTGAAGACACTCCAATCGCTTGTAAATGAGGGGGAGAAGATACCCTGGGATTTACCTGGTCTTATGGATCTCAAGACATTTGTCACCAAATGCAATGAATGGGTCGAAGAAGCCCAAAATTACATCACTCGAAAGCAGCAAAACCGTCGGAAGAACGAAAGGGCATGGCGTAAAGGAAAAACAGCCAAAGCCGACGAAGTCGAAGAACGTGAAAAGGATCTTAGAAAGATCGAAAATGTCAATAGGCTTCTGCACCAAGCTGAGAGTCTTGGCTTTGACTGCCCCCAGATCACTACGCTTAGAGACCGGTCAGAAGCGATTGCCGAGTTCCAGAAAAACGCGAGAGCTGCATTGGCAAATCCAAAACTTCGCACCACCGTGGAACTCGAGGAATTGGCTGAATCTGGAAAGGGGTTTAACGTCGATGTACCAGAAGTCGAAGAGCTTGAGGCATTTGTGAAGAAGCAGAAATGGACGGACCAAGCTGTGGAGCGTCGAAATACTGCGGGGCAGACTTTCAAGACCTTGACTGAAGTAAAAGCTTTCATTGCGAAAGGCCTCGAAGTGGGTGTAGCCGAAGAAGACGATCATTTGGCGCATCTTAAGAGTCTGCGAACCAGCGGTGAGCTCTGGGAAGAAAAGGTGTGCGACGTCATGGCAATGGATATCATTCACCATCCGCAACTCGAAGCTCTTGCAGCGCAAGCTGAAAATCTTCCTATAACAGAAGAAACTCGGGCCAAGATTGATTCTATTCTTAGCAAACAGCGTGAAGCGCAGAAGATGATCAAGAGCCTCTTCGATCGCAGTCAGGAATCAGACTCAAGCAAGCGTCCAAAGTACAAAGAGGCTCGGGAGGCTTTAGACGGCCTGAATGTCCTCAATAGCAAACCACACGGAGCTATGGACCTTGAGAATGCACTGAAGCGGCACGAAAACTGGATGCGAAAAGGAAAGAAACTTTTTGGCAAGGCAAATGCGCCTCTCCATATCCTGCACCAGCATTTGACATATGTTGCTGAGCGTAATAGTTTCTGCTTCGACCCATCTGATAAACCACGGATGCCTGTGGAGCCAGCCACCAGGGAGAACACACCTGTGGAGGGCGAAGAGAATGAAGGGGTCAGGTCCGAGAAGAATGTCTTCTGCATGTGTCGGCAGCCTGAGTCAGGGACAATGCTCGAATGTGAGCTATGTCTCGAATGGTTCGTCTATCTCCTTTTATCTTACTTCCCAAGTGCTGATCCCTTCCTAGGTACCACAGCAAATGCCTCAAAATCGCGCGTGGCAAAGTTAAAGAAGACGATAAGTACAATTGTCCAATCTGTGATTACCGAGTCAAGATACCGCGTGATGCAGCCCGACCAAAACTGGAGGATCTGACTCAATGGCAAGAAGAAATTCCGGATCTACCGTTCCAGCCTGAGGAGGAAGGCATTTTAGACGAGATTGTAAACGTTGCACAAGCTTTCCGCGACTTTCTACGCCCTCATATCAACCCTATGATGACAATACCATCCGAGGTAACAACGCAGCGCTTTTATTTGCGGAAGATTGAAGGTGCAGAGATTCTCTTGAGTTTCGAGACGAACTTCTTCCGCCAAGAGGTTCATAAATGGGCGCCGGTTGCGAAAGAACCTCCTCCTGTGCTAGAGCAGTCCCTTTCCACCCGGAAGCCTCGCCCAACGAAAGCGCAGAAGTTGATGCAGCAGCATGGTGTCAGCAGCCCAGAGGAGCTGCCCCTTCAATTTCGAACAAAGGCCTATTACCAACCAGGAAAATCTCGACAAGGCAGCGATCCCACCATTCGACCAATTCCAGTCAAACGTCCGACATCCTCCCACTCCGCTTCTACAGATCAGTCCTCCAATCCACAAGCGCAGGAAAGACGAGCACCGCCGCCAATATCGACCGGCTATCGTGACGCGAACTACGCGGCGGACTACCCCGTGCCACCATCTCATGATCCACACTCAGCCTCCATGTCGCCGCGTTATGCAGGAAGTCCTTACTTCGCTAGCTCAAACGGTCAACATACCCAATCGCCCTTCGGACACCAACCCTCACCTCTTTCTGCCACCCAACCGCCTTTAGATACAAGTCTTTTTGACACTGGCGCAGAAAGCCCATTTGAGCACCCTCATGCCCGTCTGCCAAGTACGCCGCCCGAGCATAATTTTCCAGGTGATACTTCGCCCCCGGCAGACGTGGACCGCATATTCGACGAATTTGTGACTCACCCTGAAGACGACATTAATGATTCAAATGAGGTTGCCGAAGCACTGGAAGACCGTGGCCGGGAACAAGAAGCTGAGACCACTAATGGATACAAAGACGACGCTGAGTAGGATCTCATATTGGCTCCGTCATCATCATGACAAGGCAACGACTTGCAAGACTTTGCTGGAGTAATGGCTTGCATTAATCTGAAGACGAAAGCTTCCGAAGTATAGAATATGCCACGAAGAGAAAGAAGGGCCCTAACAACGGCGGCTTGCTTATTGTTGCATGCTTATGAAAGTACGTGCGGAAGACTGTACGTTGGGCGAGACGGCTTGGGCCATGTCTGTAAATTAGCAAGATCACAGTGAATAGAGCATGCGAGCATCTGCGCATGCAATGTCCTCGCACTCCAGGCGTCTGTCTCTTTCGATGCTGGGGCCACTGAGCTCAAAAGGTTCTGTTTCATCAACCCTTCCCAAGGTACTGCCCTTTCTTTGCCACCTCTTATACTTTCTTATTCTTCGCCGCTATTCTTGCAAAGGCCACCCCAATGGCCTTTTTCGACTCCCACAATACCCATACTGGAAGGCCAACCCATAGCATATTGAAAAACACCAAGTAAACCCACAAATACATCCAATTCCCTGAATCCAGATTCACGCTCCCGGTCAGCCATTCAGGACAGAACGTCATGAAGCCGCCATACAGCTCCCCTGTCGCGAGCACAGTCGCCCAAAACCACAAGCTTGCTTCCTCATTCTTGTTCCGTAGAAGGTAGCAAACATATAACGCCAGCGGCCCACCAATAAAGACCGTGAGCAACTCTAACGATATGACTGTCAGATCTGCCCCTCCCCACCGCTTATCAGCCTTCGCGTACTCCTGCCATAGTCTCGCCGTCGCACTGGTCCCGTAGTCGCTCCCGTACCTCCGATCACTGTGGCCGAGGAAGTAGCTCGGGGGGAGAGGGGCAGGGTGGGGGTAGTCTGAAGTGTGCGGAATGCTGGTGTAGGTGAAAAAGCAATTGTAGAGGAAGGACCCTTCGAAAAGGAAATGGATTAGGGCGTCGAATGCGTGCCAGATGAAGAGGCAACGGGTTTTGGTGGTGCTGGAGGTGGGAAGGAGACGGAGGGAGAGGGCGTAGGCGAGGATGAGGAGAATGAGGGTGGAAAGGAGGGAGAGGACTGTTGTGGTGTCTATGACTGGGGTCGGCATGGTGAGGGGAAGGGTTTTCAGTAGCACAGATAGGACGAAAATAAAAATAATGGTACCTCGGACGCGTCGTCGAGGGCGGAAATTACGGAACTAAATTGGCAGCCATCATTGGGCGTTTGCTTTCTTCACATCTTTCCATCATCGTTACTCATCGACGATATCCGAGGGAAGACTTTATTGAGCCGTCTTCAATGGTTCCGCCATATCATCGAAGTAAAGCAAAGACCTAAAATTGGTGGAGGGACCATGGTGCTCTCCTTCGGAGTAGATTAAACGCCAAACATCACATATATGGACGGGCTGATACAACATTGACTTGGGCGTGACACCGGCGCCTCTGCTCGAAGGTCACAATTGGTCTAGACCCTGGTGCTTTGGTTCTTGTAACATTTGCGTATCCTTTCAACTCCTTATATAAAGTTGATGACGACGCGACTCGTTTTTGTTGCTCCGTTTATACCTTGCTTTTGTGCTTCAAGTCCCTCGGTTTTCTCAGTCAACGATTTTGCAGACCGTTTTCATCCTCAACACTAGAAAACCCATCAATCTTCAAGCTCTAAGAATGTCGACCAGCGCAGACTCAACTCTGCCCCTGAGAGAACACAACCCAATGGAATACGCGCAGCAGGATTTCCAACCAATTCACTGTCAAACTCGCAAAAGGAAAAAGAAGACGAGGGCAATCCAAACCACTTCTGCCTCGTTAGATGCATCGACTGCCCCTTTGAAAAGAGTTCGCTTTTCAGCAATCGCCGCTACGATGCACTGGATGATTGCGGGAGCTGCAAATTTTGTAGCGGTTGCTGCGCTGCCATCTGCGGTTTCCTTTCTTAGGTACTCCTAGGCCACCGTGGAGAACGAACACGGAGTGGACCCTGCGCTCAAAGACTTATCAAGTTAGCATGGGGAAGGACTAGCCTCAATTGTCCATTGCTCGGAAATCCGACTGCAGAGCTCAATCGTGCATTCCGAGTCAGTATGGATGATATCGCCAATGCATTACTCAGCCCCAATCGTCAGCGCTGACACGAATTTTCATGACCGATGCTCATGAGGATTCGAGACGTCGGATCTGAATATCTCACGGACTTCGAGCCGGTATGAGGTTAGAGAGATGTCGGGTGAACGATCTTGAGGAAGTCAAATGTGACCCACAGAGTAGAGGACAAAGCCAGGGTTTCCCATCTCAAAGGCAAAGTCACGTCGCGTATGAGGATATCGATAACATCGTGAGAGATGATACCAAAAAAAAGTCAACATACAGAGCTCTCAAGGGCTTTGAATATAGCTTCAAATCGCTTCATATCTAGCTGCCCGGCATCTCTCCACCTCCACCATACTCTGCAGTCATCTTGCCGTCAACAAACCGTCCACCTGTCGGATTCCTTTGATCTTCTAGCTTCTCGACAGCCTCGTCTACCTCTATTATGCATTAGACCCGCTGTATCTGCCAGAAACGACGATCCAATGATCTACACACCAGCAATAGAAGGTCTTAACTCACCCTCATACCATTCGCCAACGCCCACCCAACGATGGAGCTTCTCCCTCTTGAATTCTTCAAAGTCCCATTCTTCCTGCTCCAAGTCCTCCCTTGAATCGATCCAAACGTAAGTTTCTGCACTCACTGTATCACCTTGCTCACCATTGGCGTCCAGTATCCGAGGGCAAACCTTGACGCGTTCATACTCGTCGCCTTCGAAAATGTCCAAGCGCCAGATATCAGCCGCGGTCAGACCCTGCACATATGTTCCACGAACAGATGTTGATACTTCTGAAGACGCTATGATAGCAGGATAGTCGGCATCGACGACGCGATGGCGAACATACTTGAAAAGCATTGCGGGTTGGATTTTCAAAGCTTGGATTTGTGATTGATGTGGCTGCGTGGAGCCGTACAAGACACGATGGAGAACTTGGGGGACCATGAGAGTCCCATAGAAGAATGCAGTCCTTTCTTCCATATTTTGCTATCTTTCAAATCGAGTAGAAGAGGGGTTGCAAATGTAGTCACAGTGCACGGATATTCGATCTTCTTTGTAAAGCTAGGAAAACATGATGACTAAGGAATCCTTCAGCGCAATGCGACTAGGGACATAGGATCGCATTCCCCAATGAATCATGGCAAAAGACTTACAAGGCAAACAATGATAAACATTTGGCATCTGTGCCTATCGATGCCTGCGTCATCGAGCCTTATCTCACACGCCCCAAAAGCGCAGCGCTAAATAAGCGCACCCCGATTAGGTGAAAAGTAAATACTATGGAAAACTTGGCTTCGATCTCAACAACAGACCACCATTGCACCCTATACAAATGCGAAGGCATCGATTCCGGTGTCAAATTATACAGAGCCTCGAGGCTATGCACCGAGAAGCCAAGGTGCAAGATATAGACATGCATTCCAGCATCTGCTAAGACCGGCGCACGATTTCGATCCTTGACTCCTCACACCACCAAAAATCGGAAGTTCTTTCGCATTCACAAGATACAATGACGAATTTAGTCTCTCCTCCATTGCCCACAAGGTTTCCTTGCTGGTGTCGCGCAACTTATTCTTGGGGTGGAGAATCAAAAGAAGATCTGGGATTCATTGAAGGAGATTTAATAGAATGCTTGAATGCCGGAGATGGCTCTTGGTGGGTGGGAAGATTGCGCAGAAACAAAACAACTGGCTCCTTTCCCTCGAATTTTGTGAAAGTCCTTGATGCTGGTTTCCAACCAGTGAATCGAGGCACTAGTCCTATGGCCAGCCCCAATGGCAGTCTATCAACCCCCAAAGCTACGCCTATCAAAACAAAGACCCATCGCAAACCATTTCAGTCGTACTCCAAAGCTCCGTCTCCCAACGCCTCGGTACCACAATCATATTCAGCTAACGGCTCACTCGCACCGTCACCTAATGCCTCTAGGCGGCCCAGCTTTCAACAAGACCCGCAAACGCCGTCAAGACGATCAATTCATCTGAATCGGTCTTCAACTATCAGCCGGCAGTTTGGTCATGCTGAGCCTGACTCAAGTCCAACAAGACAACTAAGTTATATGAGTCCGACTAGGCAAGGAACTCATCTCTCGCGCCCTCAGCGATCATGCTCACCCCGTCAGCATTCGGTACACACCTTTCAGCCCCCGACTCCTGCCCACGCTTTTCATCCTGAAGATCCCGAGACGCAAGAGGATGACGAATCCTCACCACCTCCCCCACCTCCGCCTCATCGAGTCGCATACAGTACCAGACCTTCAACACCATCCAACAACCAATCAGATATGCCTCAAAATCATTCACCAGCACCAGTTTCTGCCAGAACAAGTGGACAAACACCGTCGCCATTACGAGATGCTATGGATGATGTGATGTCGTCTCTTGATCACATGCAGATGCGTCCACACCAAGACGCTCTTTCGCCCGAGGAAGAACATCAACCAATAGATCCTTGGTCACCCGAAGCTTTCGAAGAGTTTCGAAGAAGTGCAAAACCTCGAGCAAAGCGACGACCGCGATCATCATTAGGCATTGCTTCGTCTCAGCTTGGTCAAGGCGATTTTGGGGATGGCGACCAGGAAAGGGAGAACGAACCTTATGAAAATGAGCTACCGCAAAACGGTGACGAAGTAGAGCCGCTAGAGCAACGGCTCCCAAACGCGCAGATTGGATGCGCAAGGCCTTCCAATGAGCTATTCCTACCACAGGGCGTCGTCGATCAGCCTCCAGCGGTGCCACCAAAAAACCCTGGTCACGTAGAAAGGCCGTTGTCATCTTTTGGTGCAAGAGAATCTGTAACTTCTAGCGTCAGCTCCAGTCGACGACTACGTGCTCGGAAATCGGCTTACGAGCTTGGACGCAACGTTCTGGGTCGAACTTTTTCTACCAAAACGAGCACCACTAACTCTTCGAGCGGAGTCCAAAGCGTATCCACAAATGGCACGACAAGTACAGGACGAACAAGCCAAAGCATCATGAGCGGCCACTCTGCCGGAGGTTTCAGCGCGACTAGTGCTGGTAGCTATGCTCGGCGTAAATGGGGTAGCATTAGTGGGAGTCGGCCGCAAAGCGTCATTGATATAAGGCACGATGCACCCCTTGATATGAAGCATGCGAGCAGTGCCGCTGGCGATATGGGCTTCAATCACCTCTCAAGCTATCCTTCAAGACCAGAGTCTAGAGCAAGTCAAAAGCATTCTGAAAGTGCAATGGACGCCAGTAGACCTCTCGGAGGACTCATGACCCCAAAGAAGAAAAGGAGTGGTTTCTTCAAAAAACTTGTCGATTCAGCAAAAGCTGGCGCGGCAAGCACTCGAAGCACAATAGCTGACGGACGAGTCGAGTCGCAGCGGTCACCGGTGAAGAGCCTGATACCGAATGGTGTTACAGCGATCGCCGGGGGAACAGCAGCAAGAGACATGGGTCTCGGTGGCCATAAGTATGACACTGATTGGGTTCAGGTGAGACGTGATGTCAACAGATCGAATTCTTTAAGCCGCATCGAGAGGACAGAACGTATCGAGAAATGCCAAATGATGAACTACCCTGTCATAGCGTCTGTTGACGAGTTGGTCGAAACCGTTGAAGGAGACGAAGACGTTGAAGGAATGCCGGTGCAGCAGCCCGTTGATTATCAGTCTGTAAACGTGCAGCTTGTTGACAAGAGTGCACGCTTCGTCAATAGTCTACCTCCAATGACCAATGCAATCAGTCTAGCCCAGGGATATCTGTGTCGACCCTATCGCAGCGATATCCAGCGTCTAAGAGCTATTTTCACTTGGACGAGTGAAAAATTGGCATGGGAAGAAGACTTTGAGGGAGACGTTGACACAAAACGTGTGATTCAAGGGCGAAGAGGCTGCGCTGAAGAGATTGCGGTCCTTGTATTTGAAATGTGCGCGGCTGTCGGTCTTCAATGCGAGGTAGTCAGAGGATACCTTAAGTCACCAGGTGAGATTGCCGAGACTGTACGGCCAAATCACTGGTGGAATGCTGTCGTAGTGGATGGATGCTGGAGATTGATGGATTGCTCTCTATCGAGTCCCACAAACCCCAGAAGGGGTCTCTATTCCAGAGCTGGAGCCCAAGTTGCTGAGAATGGGTTCTTCCTGGCCAGACCACTAGAGGCTTGCTACACCCACATCCCATCACATTTCGAGCAACAGCATTTATGCCCACCAATCGCTGAAGAGGTTCTTCTCGCCCTCCCATGCTGCTGTCCTCCTTACTTCAAAGAAGGTCTTTGTCTCGTGAATTACGACACAAGCCTCTATCGAATCGAAAATCTCGAGCTGGTCCACGTACAGTTCACAGCACCATCAGATGTCGAATGTGTAGCAGAAGTGGAAGCACGCTCTTTCGCTCGGGACGCAGACGGTGATTTCTTCGAGAGTGGCGATACAACTACGATCCGTGCTCTTGTACAAGCGGAATGGGTCAACGGCCAGAAACGATTCACTGTCAAAGCTCACCTCCCCGGCGATGAGGGCCAAGGTACATTGAAGGTCTTCGCCGGGAAACGCGGCCTGATGCATTCGGTCAAAACCAACCCACATCCCCTGGCCTTCACCTTGCCCATCGTTCACACAGGCGAGAATCCCCCTTACGAGTTCCTACTCCGTCATCCCACGCCCCACGCTCTGCGTCACGACCTCTACGTCGCACAACCACAATGCCGACGCCTGGCGCTTAACAACACGTTTGTCTTCGCAGTCCGCCAGCATCCCTCTTCCCTCGGCTGTCTATCTCCCGCTGAGCAGCGTTCTCACTCGCCAAATCCGTTCACAAGGCCTTCTTCCGCGATGTCAATGGTCTCGAGCGTACAATCAGATTATTTCTCACAGACGAGCTCAAACAGTAGCAATGCCAGTAGCAATCAGCAGAGGCAAGAGGCAGCACAGGAGAAACCTGCTAAATTGGCAATTCAATCTCCCAGTGGCAAGATCATCCGATTGATGAGGAAAAGTGATAATTGCATTAGTAGCGATGAGGCTGCCGATGGAGGGGTATGGGAGACGATCATCAAGGTCGGGGAGCGAGGTGTCTGGAGGGGACTGGTGTTGGCGGATCGAAGCGCGAGGTGGTGCGTTTTCGGGGAGTGGGATTGTGTCTGAGTAGCCTGATTAGTAGTTGTACGAAAGGAAGCGGTGATACTAGTTTGGAGACCATAAGTATGCTCTTGGACATAGACCGAGAGGATCGCATATGGTAGAGAACTCTTTGTCTTGTTTTGAGGATCCAATGAGACTTCTCCGTACTGTTGAGTTAAAAGGAAACGACTTGAAGGAAACGAAGTATATGAGGGAGAAGGATATACAATAGACATATCTTTGACGAGGAAATGCGACTTTCTCACTACTTCGACGGCCTTTACCGCTCACTTCATTCTGCTACCATTGTACGAGCTCCCTAGACCAGTCCTCTCCCAAGTCCCACAGTTCACTTCATCAGCACCTCCCACAATCTCTCCGCGTTCATATAACGATGTCCAATCACATTGACCAAGACCAGCCTTCTCGGCAAACCCAGCAAAAACTCTCTACAACCCCTCAACTTTTCCTTCAGCTCGTCCCCAGGCTTCAACCCCCTTCCTACCTCTCCCACGCACCTTCCCCACTCACTCCAAATCCCAAACGCCTCCTCCCCCCAAGCCCGAAAGCTGACCTCCTCGACCATCGTCGCGGTCGCAATCTCCTTCCCCTTAAAACTTCCCCACGTCACCGCATGCACGGCAGACGCGGGTTCGCTAGTTTCGAAATCGTTCGAGCTCGTGACCGCGTACCAGGAGATTTCGCCATCGGAGGCTAGTTGCTGGAGACGGGAGCGGAGAGTACTGGAGAAGGTGATGGAAGGGACGAAGGCTTCAACGAAGGCCTTTTGGAAGACAAAGCCGCCGGGGGCCCCCAGCCGTGGGTTGGGTCTGAAGAGGGCAGGCCGTCGATTGCGGGCTGAGAAGCGATTGTCCAGAAATTTTTGTGCAGGGTTAGCTGCGCTAGTTGGTCTTTGATTAGGAGGGTCTCTGGGGAGAGCGTGGCTGACTCGGACCAGGGAAGGCGTGGTGGTGTGTGGTTTGTGAGGTGGGTAGAGAAAAGAGATATTATTTCGCGGTCTAGAGTTGGAGTACTCCATAGGTCAAGCGCTTGGGCTGGTGTTACGTTCATTGCTGTGGGGAGAAGAGTTCAGCTCTGCTTTATTAAGAAGGTCTTTTCTGTGCCAGAGTCAAGGATACGCAGAGTATGCTATGCTTTTCCCGGAGGGAGATCAGGAAACAAGGAAATAACGATGAATGTAAACAATTTTGTACATGGAGCAAGACGAGATGCTAGGACCAATTTGACTTACATGTTGGAGAATACGTCAGGGGAGGATTGAAAGCAGGAGATCGAGCATCGCCAAAGCGTCCGTTGATGAAATCATCCCAGGTTGCTTCACGAGAGAGCTGGTTCCCGTTCTGATTCGTACTGGGAAGTACAAGCCGCATAGGCGAGGACGGCCTATGGACATTCGTTGTCAGCTGTGCGGCGGCTGTGGTAGAAGAGGATGAGAAAGTGCGATTATGGCCATCATCGTGGTCATTTGGTCCGTTGATCATGGGTGGAAGGTCGGATACGGCGCAATCAGAATCTTGCGGTATGAGCTGGCAACGATCTAGTATCTCGGTGACAGCCTTCTCCAGATTGAGTGTGTAGAAATGAAAACCTCGTGGACCGGTCATCTGGACTGTTTTAATTTGTTCCACCATATCGCTGATAGCGTCCAACCCCACTCTCTTCACAGCTTCGTCGTCTCCTTTGACTGGCAGGAGCTTTTGGTGAAGATCCTCCGGCAACTTCGCATGTGATAGCTTAGTAGTTCTCGACAGTATTTCAAAACTCTGAATGGGCATCAAGCCAGGAATTATTGGCATTGTCTTGAAGACGCCGGATTCATGGACTCTAAGCAGCTTCTCATACCTTATGTACGAGTGGACATCATAGAATAGTTGGGTCATGATGAAGTCTGCGCCCGCTTTGACCTTGTCGACAAGATATGGCAGATCTTTGGCTGGATCCTGATCTGTAGGATGCGAGAGATCCGAATGGCCTTCTGGGTATGCTGCCACACCGATGCAGAAATAGTCACCATGCTTGCGTCTTATATACCTGACAAGATCCGCTGCCCACGCAAACTCCTCATTACTGTCCGTCTCCTCGTCTCGCTCGTTTCCTAATCTATATTCTTCTTCCCGTGGTGGGTCACCCCGCAGAGCCAGGATGTTTCGGACGCCCAGGACTTTTGCTTCCTCCAGCGCTTGATCCACCAGACGCCGCTTCATATTGGTACAAGTGAGATGGAGACATGTTGTCAAGCCAAGTTGCCTCTGGCAGATCTCTGCAAGTTCGAACGACCGAGTGGACGTGCAGCCACCGGCCCCCAGGTCACTGTGACGAATAACGGCCGCAGCGCAGTCGACATGCGCTCGAGGCGCGTCTGCAGGTTGGAGAAGCCCTGTCATGGTATTAGTAGGGCATACTATAGAGTAGGTATGGACGTAGGTACAGCACAGTCTGAGTTTTGGGAGGGAAGAATTCTAGTGAATGGTAGGTCGCATCGTAGGGCAATGCAGCGATCTTATCCGTGATCTTTGACATGATGAAGTGAGTGAGAAAAGCATATGGACCTACCAGAAAGCCTCATATCTCATGGTGAAATAATTCAGAATCTCGATATTTGCGAAAATATGCTCGAGTACAAATCTAACTCGGGTCCCGGCAAGTCTTGATATTGACTTGTTATGACGAAAAAAGCGACAGGGCAAACAAAGGAACCACTGTTGAGGCAAACGGCAATCAACTTTTCATTCTACCTGTTGTCTACACAATGTCCGTTTCATGCTACATGCAATATCCATCATCCCTTTCCCACATCTGCACTAGTTTCAGGATCCTCGAACATCTGTGCAAAACCCAATTGCTCAAGATCTACTGCACCTGCCGTTTGGCTTAGAGGCGCAGCTTCCGAAAGCTTCCTACTCTGTTCGTTGAGCGAACGGTAGGCTTTAGGGTTCTGCCTGGGCTCTCCTTTCCCCTCGGATTTTGTCTGGTAGCCTCTTATTCTGGTGAACCGTCAGCACAAACCCAGCAGAAATATACAATTGAAACTGGCAGGTATACCGAGGTCCTTGCCCTGTTTTAGTTGGCAGCTTTTGCTCAAATGCATTGCCGAAAGCAAGCTTGTCTTCTCCGAAAGTGTGACGCATTATGCTTTGACGTACTTGAGCAAAGAACTCACCCATAATGTGATAATTGTGCAACTGTAGTAGAACCCAGCTTAGCATCTCACGGGTACTCAACAAGTGATATATGAAAGCTCTATGGTGATAGGTGCAAGTGTAGCAATTGCAATCCTTGCTCAGTGGCGAAATATCAGTGGCATATGAGATTGACCATAGATCGAGCGCAAGTGGTCGGGGATCGTCTTGCGAAGCATCTGAAAGCCTGACAAATGAAAAGTCAAGGGCCAACCCAGCATCACTTGCTTCATTTATGAATGGTATTGTGAATATGTCCAACCCAGCCTCAATGGCATGGAGGAGCTCATGTGGGTCTTTCGCCTCTCCAAGATAAAGCCGTGGCAGCAGCGACAGTGAATCAGGGACATCATCAGCGGACTCGATCTCGTGCAGGACGAGTCCTGAAATGTGGTCATGAAGATCATCTTCTAGTGCGCCCAGGTACCACCGTTGCTTCTCAGCCTCGAGCGGCAATATAGGGGCAAATAGAGCGGTATTTGGTGTTCCCTCTTCTACATCATTCATACCCGCGACCAGAGCATTAAGCCAAGATTGCGTTCTGTCGCCCATGCGCTCCGCCCGCCTCACTCCAGGTTGATGGCCGTACAGCACGTCACCCATGCCCAAGACAATATCTGGCCGAAGCTTTTGGATGGCTTGCACGTACACTCCACACTCAAGCATGCTGAATCCCAAAGAAGTCACTATACCAATTGATGTAGATGTACTCGAGGCTGGGCATGGCAATGGGGATATACGACGGGGGCCAAGCACGAGCAGTGTTTCCTTTTGCAGGGCGATGAACTTCCGAAGAGGCGACTCATCTCGAGTGGCAGGGAAGTCGTACACTGGCGGCATCTCTACGGGGGCTTTCTCTATATCTTGCAGGCTCCAAAGAGCACTCGAGTCAGCTATCTAACGCCATTTCAGTGGGCAAGAGTGCGAAGCCAACGTACAATCTTCAGCTGCCGTGTACATGCTATGCACAGACATGTGGTCACGCATCATATCCTGTGAGATATGTGGAATAGCACCACGCGAACTGGCAGGAAAGAAGTTTGGAGTCGCCATGGTTGTGCGGCTGGGGAACGACAGCGTTCCAAGACGAGGGCCATGATGAGAAGGAGATTCCAGGTCAAATGTCAAAGGGCGCGCTGACTTCGAGGCTCTGGACGCCATTGCCCGAAGGCTGGCACGCTTGAGTAAGGGCCCCGCGATCGTGATGACTGGAAGAGTAATTCGCTGCTGGTGCGCTTTCGATTTCCATTGATATTTGAGTGGGTACCTGAGGCAGATTGAGGTGAATCGGTCACGTGCCGACGTCAGACCCTCGCGCGGAAAAAGGAGGTGGCAAACAGCCCCCCTTTATTAGCGAGCTACGTGCAACATTCGCGATTAGAAGATGTCATCTGAGGTCATGTAGGTATATAGGTCAGTCTACGGCCCTGCAGATATACAGACGAATTGAAGCTTGTTATCACATGGAGCGAGGCCGTTGGAATGACGACATGACTTTTCATTGAATAACAAGCTCAGGAAAGAGTAGCTGAGACCCCTTCACGTCCACCGCAGGAGTATTCTTGAACACCAACGATGGCAGCATCCTCTTCCAAATCTCTCACCTCGCTTTCCGGTACATATAAATTGAACAAAACCCTCTGCACCATTCCCATAACCTCCATCCTCGCCCTGCAAGGAACATCCTACATTATTCGCAATGCTATAGCCGCAGCTTCTGTAACCCTCGAAATCTCCCAGCCCAATTCCAATGAATATCATGTAAAACAGACCGCCTCCGCCGCCGCTATCCCGGGGACAAGCGAGCAGTATCATCTAGACAACGGTGAGTGATGTTTTCGGAGTCATGACTCAAGAGACGTGTCCCGCGACTCCTGCTCGCAGTCTAAAGAAGCATTGCTGACTCCGATTTGATGAAGTATGGCGCACTAACGAGGATGCTTTTTTTGGCAAAATTAGGGGAAGGGCTAGGTGGGTCAGTATTGAGCAGGCGAAGGGGATCGAAGGGGTCGAAGGGACTTGGGAGGTCAGTGAGGCTGACGGAGGGAAAGTGCTCTTGGCGGAGGGAGGCAAGGAAGATGGGAAATGGGGAGCTTTGAGAGTGTGGGGATTTCAGGAGATTGAAGGGGAGAGAAGGTGGGTGCAAAGTGTGAAGGTGTGGAACAAGGAAGGCGAGGAGGCAAGGGGTAAGATGGTCTATGATTTCATGAAGGATGGTTAATGGAATTGAGGATTTCGTTTCTTCAATGTATATTTCCTGCTCTGCAAGAAAGACCTCGTCGACCAGCTGAAGTGTAAGTGTTTGTCAGGCTAGCTGACCCCGTCTAGGGATACTGTATTCACTTCAGAGCATTGATTTTTGCGCGGATCGCGTGACGTTTTGCGTGTTTATGCCAATGTGCAGGCCTGCTCTCCTGTGCGAAAAATTCCCTCTTGCTAGGCTGGTTGTTCCCCTTACCTTGACGGTTGGGTGCTTTGCAGCCTTGTTCCGCGGTGCCGATGCAGCCTAGATGAAATTAAGATCGTTTACTCATGTCAGGAATTGTTCTTGGACTTACAAGTAACAAGAGCGCTTTGTGTGTTCCCAGAATTGGCAATGTTGTCATTTGGAAAGGTATATGCGGCGCCTTGACAGGGTTGAAAGAACGGAGTGGCAGGTCCGTTCGGCTGGCTAACAGTGGGATTGTGGCAGATAGACTGATCACCGTCGGCGTTAGGGCAATTGCCGGTCTTCCAAAGGTCAATGTTGCAACCTGTCAGCACTTCTTTGTCATTGCTGCAGGTGATTGGAACGCTATAGCCGTCAACATATGAGACGTCGATGTCGTTCCAACCGGTGGTGCTGCCTTCAATCAGACTGGCCCCATCTTTCGTCTCCTTGCCTACAATGACCCGCCCAGCCCAGCCGGTAGGAAAAACGATGTCGGTGGTTGCGGAAGCTGTCATTTGTGCTGGACCAGGGCACCCAATAGCCGAAGGCGAGTCAGCGTTATTGAGGTAGGAGACAGACAGCGGGATGCCATAATTGTTCTGAATGCGCCATGTCATTACACCATTGCCTACTGCTGGACATCCTCCCGGGGGAGGCGGGGCGGGAGTGGGATCAACAGCAGCTTCCTTGACTGGCTCACCAGGCTTCAAGGTAGGGGTAGCGCTCGCGCTTGTAGGTTTATCCTGCTGTTGGACGGGCTGAGGAGCACTACTTGGTTGAGGAGCTGGTTGAGGAGCGCTGCTGGGGGCGGGTGTGCTGCTAGGTGGAGGAGTGCTGCTGGTTTGTGGAGTTCCGCCATTCACGGGAAATGCCACAGCGTAAGTTCCTGGAGTCGGGTGCTGGGTGTCGACGGCCACTTCGATGGGGCCTTGACCAGCCTGTTGCTGATTGGGATCCTGTCCCCTGACAATTGATCCATCGCTCTTCACGATTGGGGCATAGCCATGGGCTAGAAGAGGAACGAGCGTTAGGATCAGTGGAATCGTGATCTTCATCCTGGGTTTCGTGTTGCGTAAAATGGGTATCTTCTGCTTATCGAAGCGCTATTTGATTCCAAAGGAGTCGAAATGTTGTCAAATTCTATTCAAAGGAGTGTAGAGAATTGCGAAACGCGTTCAAAGGACCAAAAGGAGTGTGAGGAAAACAAGAAGCAGACGTCAAAGGAGTGACTGAATTCAACCAAAGCTGTGAGAAGAGCAGGAAAAGACAGAATATCGCGGACGGAGCATATTAAAGCAAGCAGGAGCAGATTGCAATACAGCGCGCCTGGAAGATTTGGCGGATAATCAAGACAGACAAAAGGTGCAAGATTCGTCAGGCAGCATCGCAATTGGAGCACTGCTTTGATCCCTAATTTTGACAGGTAGTGGAGCTGAGCTTTGATGGCCTCCATCTCCAGGAGGAGGAATCAGGAGAGGCACAGCAGAGATGGGAGATAGGCTAGAACGAATCGAACGGCTGTATTTCCTAGCTCGACGGCGGCAAAGAAACTTTGATGCAGCACATCGACAAGGATACGTTGTTTCGAGTAGTCTGTTTCAACTCACACAAGCCTTGAGACCTGTACGCGTGTGCCTCGAATCTCTAGACCAAGTGCGTGGCACGAAGGTAGTGGTCCTGCCGGCAACCGTGATGGTCGAAAGGGATGCTATGAGAGCTGCGCAGAAGGAGAGTCTTAAGGTCAACAAGGCCACAAACGTTTCATGTGTACAGCAAAAGACTGGGGTGCTCAAGGATGCTGGCCATGGCCACGTCGAAGGAATTGCCGCTTCGAGTTGTCATGGCCGAAATAAGTGGGCGATCCGCGCAGCCAATCAGAATGCGCAAACCACCTTCAGCAGTTTAGGCGGCTTGAACGGAGGGGAAAGCCGGTCCCTTTTTCCTGGTTGAAGCACATCATAGGCTGCATCATTGCGACACGCTACATGAAATCGAGTGTTTTCAGGGATCCTAGGTTCACAAAGCATCATAATGCGTGGCCGGGCTTCGAGGTAAAGTTGGGGGACCCCATGCCAGGCCAAGGCTGCCATCGTCGACACACATACGGAGTAGAGAAACAGCCTTGAAGATGACCCGCATGAGGCCCGTTGTGCGGCACAAGAACCAAGCACCAGAAAGTGGCCGGACCGCCGCTGGGAGATTGTGAGGCATAGGAGAAGGCGTGCATCCTGCTTCTGATTTACCTCAGACACCTCGGATCGCCTGCAGCCCTCTGCATGTTGTGCTGGAGATCTCTTTACTTTCAGATCTGAGCTGCAGTGACCCCTTCCGATGCATTGAACGAGCCAGTCATGACCAGCATACAAGTGTGCATGTCAGATCGTTGCAACTGAGGAAGAGTGAAAGGGCAAAAGTCGTTCATGTACCATTTATGCCCATGCCAAGCCTGTGGCACCAGAGGGATCGGACTTGGCTACCCCTCGCCCTCCGTCAAATGCAAAATTCTGCCATCTCGAATCTATCGAACGAGTTCGTGCATTGATAATTGAAGCCGCCATCACAAGCATGTCCCAGCAGCAATGACACGAGCCATATCTCCGTCCACGACCACCATTGCCCAAACCCACTCAGCATGTCCTTCCTCGCCCCTCTCGTCTCCTCTCTTGCGCCCATATTCCTCATCGTCTCCCCGGTAACATCCTACGCCGACCAAATCCTCTCCATAAATCGGTCCCGCACCTCCGCAGGCTTCTCGCTCGACATCCCCCTGATAATGCTGACAGCGTCAATACTCAAGATCTTCTACTGGCCTGGTGCCCGCTACGACGCAGCGCTGTTTCTCCAAGCCTTGATCATGGTCGGGGTCCAAGTCATCTTACTGAAAGTAGCTCTGGACAATCGCCCGGCCTGGAGGGGCGAGGGCCCATTCAAGGGACTGGGTGGGCAGAGACCATGGAACTTCTGGAGATGGAGGAGCGAGAGGCCGTATTGGGAGTATCTGGCATTGCTCACTTTGGGGCTCTTTACCCTACACTCGTTTGTGAGCCAAGGACCGGATGCGCTGTATACGAATGTGATTGGGTATTTAGGGCTAGCGATCGAAGCTGTCCTCCCAATTCCACAGCTCCTGACGAATCAGCAAGCGAGGTCGTGCAAGGGTTTTCGAGTCTCTGTTCTGGCAAATTGGCTGGTAGGCGATGCAATGAAGATGGGGTTCTTTTTTCTGGCCGAGGAAGGAAAGATCCCCTGGGCATTCAAAATTTGTGGCCTTTTTCAGGCTGCATGCGACGTAGGATTAGGAGCACAGCATTATATGTATGGTGAAGGGCCGCGGACAGGCATGAAAGAAGGCGAGCTTGGCAGATAGAACTTGCAGGCTTGCAGTATGTAGCTCTGTCACGTTTTTACCATCGCCATTCGATTGCCTAGATGTACTTGCCCTCGCGTACTCCTCATTTTAGCGTACATTCATGACCTGATAAGCCGTGGTATCGAGAGCGATTCCAGCAAAAGCAGTCCTTCCAAAGAGTATGCTCGCTAAGCCCATGCGGAAACAAAACGCTAAATCTCATGAACACCCCAGTGAAGATCTATAGTCACCGGATAAACATCGAGTCCCCTTTGCCTCCAAACGCTTTGCTTCTATTTACATGATCCAGGCCTATGCAATCGTCTGGAGGCCGCGCGACGTCGGAGACTATATTCTCTAACGAACGGTTAGTACTAAAAAGGACAGGCGAACATCAAGACAGAAAGCTCACCGTCATCGAGGTATATCGGCTTAGCGTAGATAGATCGTTGTATGACTGCAAATCTAATTTTTTCGAACTGTTTGCCTTTAAGACCTGTTCTTTTTGACAATCGCTCCTTCGTTTTAGAGAATACCTCACCCTACATATAATTAGCGGATAAGCACGAAGTCTGGTCAAGGGGACGATATTCAATACTCGGGAGTTGACTCACCGGTTTGATGACGAATTTGAAAGGGATACCATGTGCTTTGTTTGGCTCTTTGTCAAAGTGAAAGCAACAGATAGGAACGTCATCATCTTCAAGATTGCGCTCCTCCTCAGGTATGACCTCAGCAACCAGACTGCTATATTCCGTGATTGTGGTCAGGGGTGTGTCCATTCTGTATTCCCGATGGATTCTTCCGCTGCTAATTTCATATATTCGCAAGTTCTGCATCGTCTCTTTGTTAAGGGAGGCTTTCTTAGCCAACCCATCGACTAGGTCGGAAATGACGCCCATCTTTGGCACAAGGATATCATGGAGTTCTTCTCTAGATTGACCCTCTGTGAGGAATACTACCTTGAGGTTCTTCCTGGTGTCAAGTTCACTCAAACTCATTTCAAGGACCTCATAATATAGCGCGTCATCTCGTTGGTTGCTGTTGCCATACGTGCCAAAGGAAGGGCTCAAGACTTGGCTTAGACTTTGAGCTGCGTTGCGTCTGACAATTGCTTTTGGTTTCAGCGTGACCGAGTTGACAGTAGAAAAGCGTATATGTGTTGGGTCGACTTTCAATTTCTCTCCGACCTTGGCAGAATATTGCTCGTAAGACATTCTCCGGCTCAAGTCCAGCTTGAAGGTGGCTTCTGGGTCTTCTACCAAGCCTCTTGGCGAAAAGGTGACTTGCTTTCGATTCAGAAGGTAATCATAGAATTCTCTTGCATCCGTATAGCTTCCCGTAGCGGCTATCATAGAAGTCTGCTTCTCTGAAATCTGTTTCTGAAAGCAAACGATGTCACCGTCCTGAATTTCAGCATGTTGCAGTGTTGCTTTTGGCTTCATTGGCTCTATCATTGAGCTCTTGATCTCTTCGTACAAGGCGATAGTCGGTGTTGAGATGGCGCCATTCGTTAGCCCATTTGTGAGGTTGGTTGATTTAGGAGTCCAGCCCATTATTTGGGAAATCAGTGGGAACATGTCTGAAACTTTCGAGTGTTTTTTCAGGTAGACATGCCCTACCCCCATCAAGGTCTGCTGCTCTGCATCAAAGTGTTTCAAAAAAATTAAGATAGGGGGATCATTCTTATTCACAACCTGTAAGTCAGGCCATACAGGTTTGCCGTTGTCAAATACTGATGCTTGCTCAGCCCATAAGCGAAAGCTCCTATCTCTAGCTCCATGCTTGACGTAGGTGTTCTCAATCGTCATATTTGGATCTTCAAGAGGTTGATCTGGGCGAACTGTTTTGTTCTGCCGGTTGACCATGACCCACAATCTAATGTGGTCTGCCGCAATATTTTGGCTCTCGGCGACCTTCTGCGTCAGTTCAGCGACTGTGGAAGCTCTGAGAACTCGATGCAGGAGCGGTTTGGACGGCGTGTCGTTATCGGCATCCCAGCTCGTAAGATCAAAACCTTGATGGGCTCTAAAATTGTCCTCGGTGACCACCCAGATTGATAGGTACAGATGTTGCTCTTCCCTCTCCTTTCTCCGGCGTTCAACAGCCGCACGTTCTTCTTGGAGTTGTTGCGCTAAGTCACTTATCAGCCGTCATCAACATAATTTATGCGGATGGACACTCACCAAGATGTGGTGGAGGGTCTGTTTCAGAAACCTCATGGAGAACGTGCTTCCTTCGACTTTGTCGTATGTACACCAGCATATAAGCACTCATAGATCTTTTGGTTGATAAGGTCCTTGTATAAGGATTTCGCACTGGCACTCCATTAGGTTTATTTGTGTAGTCACCCCCAAAATTTTCCTCCATTGACTCCTTCAAGGTCGCCCGCGTCACACGGTCGTCGTCGAACTTGTAGAATTGATCCTCTGCACTTGGTCTCAGGAAGGCATAATAGTGACCCGCGTTGAAATCACCGCTATGGACTAGGACGCTGTGTAAATTATAGATGTAGGGCTCGGATTTGTCGGCTGTGTCTGATAGATATGGTGTTGCGTCGAAAGTCTCTGGGAACTCATAGCGGTCGTTGATTTTCATCGTTGCGTCTCGGTTCAGATCATATTCGAAACGCTTTAATTGCAGATGCAAAACCTGAGGAAAGCTGTCGAAAATGACACCCTTTCTAGCCTCTTGGAGACCGAACCCCTCGGCGTAGTATTTGTTCTCTCCATCCATAGTCTCGACTTGGATATAGTCCCTGAAACTGTCGTCTAGATTCTTATTCCCGCTCACATTCAGTTGTAGGTCCCAGAAGTCTTCTATCCTCGAGGATTCGTAATCTACGTTGATACAAGATATGTAAGTTTTCATTTTGCCACTGAACATCTTGGCCAAAGCATTTTCTGCCTCAGTGCCTTTCATTCTTTCTTCCATACGTTCCATGAGAATTCGCGTTAATTCCTGGACATCTTGTTGCTCAAAGATATGCCTTGTCTCCCAACCAAAGGATTGCGTTAATTCCTGAGTCGAGACTGCGTCTTCATTTGTCTGCACTTGATAGAAAAGTCGTTGAAGTGCCCAAGCACTCTTGGCCCGATCCGAATCTTGGTTCGTAGGTATTTGATAGACTGCCTACAGGTGCTTAAGATTCTGTCAAGCATGGCAATTGGGCCGTACTAACCTTCCGAAATGCGTTTGTGAAGTATAGGGATTGTAAGAGAGAGTTCAGATAGCACGTTGCACCTTGGTTTTTCAACCCTACCATCCCAGTCTCCTTCTTCGAGTTGTAGCTGCAGTCGTGTCAGTCATGGCACGAAGCAATTATCGCAACCTACACACTTCTGAAAGTTGTGCCACAAGACACCCGTAGGGTCTTTATAGGCGCGAACATAAGCTGTCACGTTTACAGACTCGTTTTCGACCATCGGTCGGCCCTTTCCTTCCCATTGAGGAGCGAACATTTTCCTCAGCTCTGCAAACCTCGTGAAGCCCCAATCACTCTCTTCTGTTGTAAATCTATGATTTGCCGCTAAAGCTCGGTCAGTCTCTCCACTTTTCACACCAAGGTGAGCCTGCATACTGTGGTGGGTGTAAATTGATGGGTCGTTTTTATTCCATAATACCAGGGTGAATTGCACGCAAGCTGTCATTTCTTCTCGCGGCTTGTCCTCTAGATTGCCCTCCTCCCTTCCTTGCTCTAGATATAGAGATGCGGCTTCCACGTTGTTCCCAGCTGGGAAAAGTAAAATTCTCCTGTCCACAGGTCAACTCTTTCACAGTCTGACAGCGGGGTGACTTCTATTCAGCGTCAATATACCATGAATGACCTTCACATTCGAAGGTTGGTCCTCTTTCTTTCTGCTGGAGATTCCTGTAGTTCTCGACGGTCCATGTGGACACTGCTTCGCCTTCTATCTCTAGATCTGGAAACGGGGCCAGAAACCGGGCCTTCATTGCTTCATCTGCGCACAACTCAGCCAAGGCAAAACATGAGTCCATGTGACATACAGTCGTTGGCAAGAGGTTCTGATTCCGGCTCCTCGGCAGCATCATCAGGATGTATGACAGCTGGTTCTGGCTTTTCATCGACGGCGTCATACTCCGCGATCAGCATATCGGGATCGGTGGTGCTCTAGGATCGCCAAGAATGGCGTGCAGGTCAGAGGGGAGTCCTCATCAAACGCGCCGCATTGCAAGTGAGAAAGATGGGGTAATTAGCTTACAGGGTCCATGATGCGGTCGATAGGGATGTGAGAACGGAAGGAGATGGAAGAGCTGATGTTACATCAGGCAAGGGTTGAGGTAAATATGAAGTGTGCAAGTCTGCACAGTGCACAGATATGGTGGCGCACTCGTCAAAGTGCGATTGCTGGTTCCAGCAAAAGCTGCCCTCTTTCATCACCAGGCAAGTTTCAAAACGCCAAGACCCTCTGACATTCCCTTCCCCCTCCCTTCAACCCACACGACAAGTTCTTCGCTACAACGCCGCTCTAGTCAACAATCAATGCATGAGCAAGCCTTTTCCCTTCCTTAATGGGCTAGGGAAAAGGGTCAGACCTTGAATGTACATGGTGGATGGGTCATGTTGCCTCTCAACCCCAGCGGTTGCCGGCAATGCCTCGGGGAAGTTGGACTCGACACAGCTCGCGCCGCTGCTTTGCGACCACAACATGGCGACAACCAATAGCACTGGATGATTGGGTTCGGAAAGAAGCCAGGCCCATCAGTCTACGACAGCTGACATTCTTTGGTCGGACTTTGACCGAAAGGAGGTTGCTAGAATCTGCCAATTATGTCCGCACGGAGCTGCCAACGCGGCTTGCACACCGTCTCAGAGACATGCAGACTTTACCCTACGCAGTAGTGACGAATAAAAACATGCTACACGTCTACGAGTTGTATTACGATGCCTTCGAGAAGCTGAGGAAAGTCCGTGAGGTTGTTACTACCGAGGACAACGAACAATATTGCAAGATCATCAGAGGTACTTTGAGAGAGCACCTAACTGTGCTTCCGAGGCTCACCATGGGCATTCTCGAATGTCGAGATTTGTTGCAGCCCACGGAGATTGATAAATTCATGCACACATTACTCAAATCTGTATATCTGACAATGCTGTTGCACGTTCAACTACTCACTGATTCTTAGCGCATTTCCCGTCGAGTCATCGCTGAGCAGCACCTAGCATTGACTGAGATGTTCAATGCGCCGTGGCATTTTCCAGATGCTAAAGCGGACATTGACTCCAATGCCGACTTCATTGGGGAGGTATTTCTCCGCTGCAACGCTCGGGAGGTCGTACAAAGCTGTTGGGACAGAGTTGTCGCCCTTGCTAAAATTGCCTACGGCGCTGAATGTGCTTTGCCAGATTTAATGCTTGAAGGGAATTTGGAAGCAACATTTCCTTACATCCTGACGCATCTTCAATATATCATCGCCGAATTATTGCGCAATGCTCTTCAGGCTGTGGTTGAGGTGCAACAAGCACCCCATTTGAAGCCCCCACCCATCCAAGTCCTTGTATGCGAGGCATCTCAACACGTGATCATCAGAATCTCGGATCAGGGTGGTGGAATCCCTACAGAGGTCATGCCCCGTTTGTGGTCCTTCAGCAAGGGCGCTCGGAGTCAGACGCATCTCGAAAATCTTTCTCAGGTGCCCAAAATGGCAGCAACAATGCAAGAAGTCAAGGAACCTTGTCTCGAACCGTTAGATGAAGTCCACGGTAAACCCAACGCAAATCAGGACGCGTCGCTAAGCTCTTTGACCACTAGGCCACCAAACCTGAGGCTTGGAATGGGTCTACCCACGAGCAGGGCGTATGCTGAGTACTGGGCTGGGAGTCTTGAGCTTCATAGTCTGGATGGCTACGGTGTAGATGCGTTTTTACAAATCTCCAAGTTGGGCAACAAAAATGAACAACTGACGACCAGAGCAAGTATGGACTCGGTTTAGAAGTTTACAAGAGAGTAAGCTGGCTTGTAAACCCCCCCATGCAGGACCAAGAATTCATCCGTATTTGGGTTTTCGCATGAAAGAGGTCAATCCATTGGCTAATATAGCTGCCCGTCGTATGCTCAAATGCACAAGGGTCAAATTGTCGTGTGGCCTCACGCAAACTCCCAAAAAAGGCTTGCCGAAGAGCACTCACTGAACTGTACGGTCGCTGCAAAATGAAATCTGCAAAGAGTACAATATGGATTGCCAGCACGTACGTACATTTTGTCATCTTACATTGTGGTAATCACGTCCAGTGACTCGTTGCGACTTCTGTCTTTTAAAAAATTTCAGATTGTGTGCAGAGCAACCCTTCTTTTTCTTAGTCAGGTCCTCGCCAACTGTTTCTTTCTACAACTCTGCATTGTTCCCAGACAGACTTGCATTCTGAGTCATATGCTTTCAGTCCATCGTGTTAGGTATACATAATTTCATGCACACTAAGAAGACCCCCGTGCGAGAGGAAATTGCAGTCATGGTCCTCATCGGACCTCCGCCGAAGCCTACCGGCAAATCCTCGTAGGACATGCATTACAAGCCATCAAAGTCGGAAAGATTCTGACGTTTCTACAGAGTCTTAAGGAAGCCAATGAGGAATATCTCTAACGGCCAAAGAGCTCACTTGCCGTCTTCCCCAGGTCCAGAAAGCACGTCAGCCAAGGAAACCCTTCTTCGTTCCTACAAGAGCGAACAGACAATGCCATCCAAAGAATTTGTAACAACGCCTCAAAAGCCGCTACGCCGTCGCGAGACAGTAGCAAATATGAGGCTACCGAACGCTCAGGCAGGCAAGACAAAAGCAAGAACTTTCGCTGATAGGGGGCTTCAGCTTTCCCTTCATCTACTAGACGCAATGACCATAAGCTCTCCTTAGGCGAAAGTCCTTCCTCGGAACCACGGCTTTGGGTCCACCATTTCCCTGCAGCATCTTCTAGAGTTGTTAGTGGGAATCTTTCTACACAGACACCTGTCAATTCGACTTTTCGTCTGGCCGAACGGGATTGGAAAGAAAAGTTGGAAGATCGCACCCCCTCCCATCTCAACTCGACGCCACTGCCGAAGGTGGTAAAAGCCAACCCAATGGCACACAGCCTCGAACATTCTGCACAACATACAACTAAACTCACCACCCGGTGGCAGAATTCCGCAATAGTACCTCCTGAGAACGTCGAAATGAAGAAACCAAAGGCACCAGAAACCGATCCTTTATCAGAATCTCAAATGGGCCCCCACTGTCTTCAGTCCATGGGACATCTCATCATCTCTGGAATGAGCTGTGACATCCAAAGAGCGGAAGACTTCTGTATGCCTATCACTCAGTGTTACACAAAAGAAAGAACGTTGGATTCCCATGTGGCCGCGACACCGATTGTCAGGCGTGGTCCGGTGCAGCACATTTCATCTACGACTATTTGGAGGGATCTAAATCCCTCTATGGTCGAGCGGCTATACTTCATCCACCAGTGTGTCATCGGCAGCCTAGAAACAGTCATCAAAACCCGAATGCAATACCTGAGCGATCTTGTGCACGAAGGTCCAACTCGATACGCAAGCAGCTTGGATGGGGCCCTTGCTCGCGTCAGCGAGCATCAGCTTATCATAGATTGCCAACAATTTACAGACACTGTTATACAAACGCTTCACGGACAATTTTCTAACCAGGATGTGAAAATGACACCCAGTGGCTTGCTCGCAGTATATCTTGCGTCGACCGATTTTTTCTATAGAACCTTGAATGAGGGTGAAATGGCCATAGACATCACGATCACATCCAACAAGGCCAATTATTCAGCCAAACCACGTATCCAGACTTCGTGGGTTGCCGATCATATTACGTTCAATGGGTTTAATACTAAGCCTGCCCCTGGTGAGGAACTCAGGATTATGCCTCAGTTTCAGTGCTACTCTCCGTTCTTGTCGAAAGATCGGCAAATGTGTATCAGGAGTACCCAGAATACATCTTGGCTTAGCTGGGATAGTAAATCGAAATGCTTCACGGGTCGGGTTCCTGCCCTAGAGAAATTGCAGGAAGAGCACGGAGAGCACAAAGGCTCGATTTCCGAACATAAGTCTTACCCGATGGAATTTGAAATTGAAACTGTAATGTTGGTGCGGGCTGGGGACGCTTCAAAGAATGAGAATTATCCAGGCTTTGAGAGAACAATCTACACTAGAATTCGACTTGATGTCACACAACCCAAAATAGGCAGCAATCTCACCCTTCACCGGCTCCCAGTGGAGGACTGGCCTACCATCAAAGCTGCCGCTGGCTTTGAAGTGGACAAGCTCTATCCAGCTACGATTGATAAATGCTTAGATATGCTTTACCCCCGACCATTCCAGTTTATCTACAACGCAGTCATTGACAAGTTTGCTCCACGACATCCATTAGGGCCGAAGCCTCGTTTCATCTTCGAGCAATTATCTGACAGGCATGAGAAATTGTCCGAAAAACTGACGCAAATGGCTCAGAAGCATACTGAATTGGCCGATGCTTTGCGCGCTGCTAAGTCAAGCCAGTGGCCATCGACATCAGGATGGCAATCCCAAGAGTCTCCTCGGTGGGAGCTGCAGATGCCGCGAACGCGCGACCTGAAGATTGATAATCCTCTTGGGGATTTTCTTTGTTGTCTAGATATTTCATTTAAAAATGAGCTGCTCTGGGGAGACGGTGCTCAATGCGAAGGAACCATCGGGAAACCAAAAGACGAAGACTCGACGATGAACTTTAAGACTTCCCCTCAATTTTTCGCGGGCTACCAAAGCGACGACATTGTCCCAGAATCAGAGGCTAGCGATCTGGATTCTATTGCTAGCTCCGACACCAGCACCCGAAAGCCTGCAAAATCAAGCCCATCACCTGTGAGGCAGCCAGCTCAAAGCGCGAGACTGCCAAAGAGTGTTACTGCTAGGGCATCTCATGTCAAGGGGCTGCTCACTCCGAGAGAATTGTCAGACGAGGACGCTAAAATTCTACATAGTAGATGTCAGAGCATAGTCCAGGCTTCTTACCAAGACATCTCCGATGATGACATGCTCAATCCCTGCTATTCAAGTGCATTCGCAAGTGATGCTCTGAAGCAAGAGGAGTGGCCACTCGAGCGCGGTACAAAATCAATGGTATCAGCCCTAAAAGTAGTCGCTCCGCCAATGGTTGACTATTCTGTAACCCTCAACGACCAAGTCTTCGAGTCTTATTCAGAACGTGAAGAGTCGGAACACGAGTCTGATGTTGAATCCGGAGAAGCCTATCGCGACGATCCGTATGGTAATGAATTGGCAAAAGAGTTCTCAAAGTATGCGGAGAGATTCCATCCTCATCTGCGCCAGCCAAAAATGGCATCTCTCCAGGAAGACCTTGCCTGTGGCGCTGGGCGTACCGGATTCTTAGTATTGTCGGATGACCCTCTTCAACGAAGCCAATTCGATTTGTATCGTCGTCAAGCAGAGTTAGGACATGGACAGCAAGGAGACGGTGTTGGTGCTTTCGATCATGAAGGTGAGTTCGACTGCAAGCATGGTTACGACAACGAAGAATGGGAAATTGAACAAGCCAAGAAGAAGAGTTTGCAAGAGGAACTCGAGAGAAAAATGACGAAATCCGGCATTCCGAGTACATACGACGATATCTTTCTAGATAACGGCAGTGACCCCACCAGCTTCGATGAAGCTTCTTCTACAACCGCTGATGAGCGTCCTTCCGTCACTTCAAGTATCCTAGGCGCTGTGAAGGAGCCGGCCGTGAAGACAGCTCAAGACGGATGGACCTGGCCGCATTCCGACGTCGAGAGGGTCGTGAAGATGACTCCAGCACAGGAGGTTGAGGCAAGAGCAGGCGGTCTCAGGGTAGGTAGATGAACGGCGTCAGGGAGGAAAGAGGGAAATTCAAAAGGTGTGGAGAAGGTGAATAGGGATAAGCTGGGACAACAAAATGAAAATGGAGACCGTCCACGGGAAAAGCTTGATTATCGTTCATTCAGTGTATATCAATTGCGTATACGTTCTTCAATCCGCTATGATTACTTTAAAGAGGGCTAGTAAAAACTGCGGTTAAGGGTCTACGAGTCAAATCACTTTTGTAACCAAATTAAATGCTATGATCTTTCCTCATAGTATAACTTCGTTGTTAACCGAAACTAGATGGGTTGGACAATTGAAATGCTCCAGTGGAAAGTCGTGACTGCTATTGAATCATCATAACTACCTACGCCTGCCTCGACTTATCTTGCTCTAGGTTTTACTCCTGCTACATGAGGCCCTGCCAACCATTTGGTTTGACGACCCCTTTCAAGCAAATCCACTTTACCAAGGGCAACCAGATCCATTGACAGCCCGTCAATAGTCAAGCAGACTTGCACTGATCAGACATAGTACTCATCAAAATGCAGATATCAAAAGGGAACCATAATTATCAGGCTGCTCCAAATATAATTTCTCAATGTTCACTTCGCCCTGGTCTATTTCCAGCATCGTTTAGTCAATGACATTCATGTTTGATATTAGAAGGTTATAGAACTGACGCTATCCACGCGGTATCCGCATTATTTGATGTTGAAATGATGCCGCCTTATACATTTTTGAAAGAAGATGGTGAAAGGTCACGGGCATCTATGTTCAAATACCGACAGACATCTTATGCGTTTGTGAGGCTCAGGATGATTTGTTCCTTTCTCTTGTTTGAAATATGTACAGTAATTTGCAAATCAACCATACAATGCAGACATGTCTTCCCACGGGGACCACAACATGATCACTACATCATTTACAGGGTTGCGTATCTCCTCCACGTATCATTTAGATCCGTTAGCACCGTGACTAGAGTCAGGCCGTTGCCTTTTAGGCTCCCTTTCTCTGTCAGCAGCCCCACCGCTTGCCCGTCTTTTGGCTCTCTCCCGCTCGTGCTCTTCATTTCGCGCTGCCCGTTTTGCTTCCTGATGCTTACGCTCGTTTTCTTTGCGGAGTGCTTTCGATTCAAACTCATGCCAATCACCTTGGAGGTCTTTGAGCCTAGAGGGTTTTGTCAGTCAAGGAATAGACTTGCTTGTAGATAAGAAGCTTACTCAAAAGCCTGCCTCGGTGCCGGCTCCTCCGCTGTGAAGTATGGATGCTCTAGTACATCGGCTGCTGCAGGCCTATTGTCTGGGTTGTAAGCGAACATCGCAGTGAGCAGCTCAAATGCGGCAGGCGTTAGTTTTTCTTGGTACTTGTTGGCAAATGTGGTGGGCCTCTTGTCCGTCGGACGTAGAAGCTCGAACCAGGCCATGTCAAGCAGACCAGGCCAATCAGAGCGCGATGGAGTCCCAAGAACGTTGTATATTTTGTCAAGCTGATTGATTTCGCCTCCATCGCCTGGAAAGATTGCGTGTCGAGTGAAGATTTCAACCATGACGCAAGCAGCACTCCAAATGTCAACAGCAGGACCGTACTGAGTTTCGCCAAGAAGCAATTCAGGCGACCGATACCAAATGGTGATCACACGGTTAGTGTAGTCAGGCTTTCCACGCTTCGAGTAGAATCGAGCAAGTCCAAAATCCGCTAGCTTAAGTTGGCCCTCGCTGCTTATGAGGATATTCGCAGCTTTTATATCCCTATGTAAGACACCTCGGCGATGCAGGCAGGAGAGTCCTTCAAACAGTTGCTTGGCTAAGTGTTTCTTGTGTGATGCTTCAAGCTTGAATGTTGGGTGGTTCAGAAGGCCTGTCAAATCGTGAGAAAGATACTCAAAGACCATATAGCAGTCGTTGTGCTCCACCATGACCTCCTGTAGAGAGACAACATTCTCGTGTCTTAAAGATTGGAGCAGTTTGATTTCCCGTACTGCAGTGACCGGAAAGCCATCTTTCTCTCCATCCATGCGGATCTTTTTTAGGGCTACCATGTTTTTGGTGTACACATGGACGGCTCGAAAAACTTTCCCATAGGTACCAGAGCCGATGACCGACTCGTTGCCAGGCTTGCGATAATAGACGGACGTAGACTCGGCAAGATCCGGGGAAAGCGTTCGCTTCGGCTTCGTTCTCCTGATCGTCTGTTTTTCTACTTTCAATTGTGGCGAACGCTCTCGGGCTCGATCGCGACCTCGATCCCGTTCGTGGCGAGTGTCAAGGCTATGTCGATCGTCTCTGGTGGGATACTTCTCGTGGATGTTTCGACCAGCCCGGTCATCTGTACCCTTCTTATCCGGTCGTTTCGTCCTGTTATCCGGAAGATTTGCTTTGCGAGCAGGGTCTTTGATCCTGGAGGCTAGATCTGGAGGAGGCTTGGTTGACCCTGCTGTTGAAGCCTTTGCCTTGAAGGCAAAGCTGATTTTAGAGCTTTCCTTTGATGGCTCACTCAGTAGGTCCTTTGACTTCACTTCCGTCTCGTCATCGACCCGAAGATCTTTTGATGGACGAAAAGGGTTATCGTCGTCGTCAAGAGGGGTGGTCTTCACTTCTTGGACGACTTCATCATCACGCAGACGGCTGTTCGCAGTCCATTGTAGATTGTAAAATCCAGGTCGGCCACGGCCACCACGTTGAGCTGTAGGTCCGGGGCCAGAGGAGCGACGATCAGATGGGTTGTTTGGAGCGTTCCCACGATAAGTGTTATGACCGCCTCTAAAGCCATTTGGGTGGAAGGTTTGTTGGTGATGATGGTGAGTTTGCTGTTGTTGTTGAGGTGGGCCATACGGACTTTGTTGACCACTTGGGTAGTACGAAGCCTGAGGGCTTTGCTGTGGAGGATAGCTGTTGTGTCGATGTGGTGGAGAGTAGGCATTCGTATTCCAGCCTCCTCGATTAGGTCCATAGGGGGAAGCGGAATGAGGGGATCCATGGTGTGATGATGTTGGAGTCCACTGAGGTGAGCTAGAATATTGGAGGCGTGTATCAACACGAGGCGGTCGCATTGGGCGATGTGAACCACGGCCTTCGTTCGCTCTCATTCCATGCAGTGGGTAATTGACTGAAGTAGAATGCTGGTTTGGTGGAACAAAATTGTGGGGGGATGAGGAGGGCGGATGCTGCATTTCAGTGTCACGAGAATTATCCCGCCTGCGTCTTTTACGAGATGGGGATGAAGAGGATTTTCCTCTTAATGGAGATTTATTAGCACGTGGCCTTGAAGGGGAACCCTTTCGAGATTCTCGCGATCGCTGTCTAGGTCGGTAGGTAGAGGCGCGGTCGACGTCTCTAATGGGACTGCGACCCGTGCGCCGATGTGATGAGCGACGTGGAAATGTTAGTGAAGCTTTTTGGTATTTGCTTGCCCTTTCCCGAGATCTTGAACGCCCTCGGACGGGGCTTCTTTCGCGATAGCGACGGTCTCTTGGCACAGGCGAACGAGAGTGGCGTCTTGTCGAGGGAATATATGAGTCGTTGAATCGGCTGTTAGATGGGTAGCGATTCCGGTGAGTGGCTCTGGGTGGCGAACGGATATGCTCTCGGCGTCTGCTACTTGGACGAGGGCCCCTCTCAAAGCGACTCAAGACTGGGCTAGGAGGCAGTCGTCTTGCGTCCCTATCACGGAAATCAAAGATACCAAGACGAGATCTACTATGGCTGCTGCGCCCGTGCCTTGTGTGGTCTTCCCCTGCTCTTCCTCTGCTCCTCCCCCTGATTCGGTCACTGCTTGTGCCTCGCGCAGGTAGGAATCGCTCGTCACCCCTCCGTTGCCGGGTAGCAGGGCTCTTGTCTCTTGCGGCCTCCTGCCCCGCTCTAGGCTCCCGATTCTTCTCCAATCTTGTATCTTCGGACAAAAGTGCTGATGGCTTGTCTGCTCTGCCTCTAATGCGGAGACCCTCGCTAGAGCGATCTCTCTTCTTTGAACCTGATGGAGATTTGGGTCGTTTTTCAATGACTCTGTCGTTGGGGCGAACACTGGAATCGTCGCTGGCCCTCCAATAGTCTCTCATCAATGGGCTCCGTCGCGACCCAGCCATGTATTGATCGCAGTCATTTGGTCAGAAAGCTGTGTGTGCCATCGCAAAATTTCATCCCGTTCAATTTGGGCGGGACTGCCAAGACTTTATGTATGTTTAGCCGTTCCGCATCACGGAAAGTGCGAGCTTCCAGTGAGCCTGAGGGAGAAGGGGGATATCGGCTTACCTTACTCCGTAGTCTGCTCCTCATGGATATATCGATGACCTCTCCAGATCTCGTCCGGATAGACGCTTGATTCTACGATGCGCGCACTTTTCACTCGGTCCCTTCCGCTTCTAACTTCCTTTCTCCCTGAGAGGTATCCTCCACTTTAAGTGGCTATCTACGAGACCAAAGTGATACTTCCTGGGTCAGTGTCACATTGGAAAACGGCTCAAGACATCCGCAAATCCTCGTTTGTAGAAACACTCTGTTTTCAGCCCAACAAAGCCCTACCCCTTCGAGAACTGACTCCTCTCGATCCATCCATCAAGCGAAAACCTCGCGAACAGGAAGTTTTTCATGAGAATGGATACTCCCTCGCTTCACGACCGGCTGTCACACCACGATATTTTAGTTTTGCCATCGTTCAGCCTAAAGGCGCTCGGTCGCTAGTCAACTGGCACTGCAGGCTCGTCTCGACGCTACAAAGTAACATTTGTCCTTCGATACGTTGCTTCCGTTGCGTAGTACTGTAGAATTGAACGAACTTCTCGTCCTTCGACCAGATCTTGGACAGCTTCCGTCGGTGAGCCTTGTTCGCTTGCCCTCCAATCCATAACATGGTGCGAAACATACTAGATGAACAGGCCCTCCAACAGGTTGGTTGAATTTCTGCTTGAAAATTGACGTGAGGTATTCCACGACTGGGCAAGCTTCTTATGCTCCAGAGCCATGTTGTCGCAATCGCTCAAACAAACACTATCAAGCCAAGATATCCAGAATGCTGGAGGCCAAAACTCCAATGCTAGCAGCAGGACAAAGCCTCACGAAATCACCGCCCAAAAAAGTTCTGCTAATTCCGAAGTCCCATGACCGTGATGTCAAGCCAACCTCATCCATCGAATCTCCATCGGTCAAGATGATATCAGCGGTAAGTCAGGTCTACGGATAACTATGTGGATTGATGTGTTAGAAGGCATGTTAGGCTTGCGAGGGGATTAGGTGGGGCGATCATAAATGATGGTAGGGAAGACGTTAGGACAAAGTGAAGTGGAGCGTCGAAATTACCGCGCTTGCAATGATACGCCTTAGTGGAACAATAGATAACATCCCTCACATTTTACCATACCCGTCTGCAATCAGGAAGCATGGCGCGAGCAAAAGGTCTTTTCTTTGTATTCTACTCGAAGGCCGTAAGGAGTCATGTATGCTCAGGGCTCTACAGATTTACATGCCACTTGTGTACCAAGGCCTCCCCCGGGGCCATATGCTACACATTATCGTGATAGTTTCAGCGTTCTCATGATGCCGTAAGTGGTGATTTTGAGCATAGAAACGCGAACCACTTTCTCCATATCTGTGAGCATGAGGTTCTCGTGTGTTCGCACACCTCGGACAGACACGCTTGAGCCAGGTATCTCTGGTCTTAAACCGGAATAGGGCGGGGGCCTCAGTTGTCGACGGTACCATATTGCGTCCGTCCACTTGCATGATTATCAGAATCGGCTTCGTTCAAATGGTAAAGGGCTGAGAGCTCTATACGTACCCTCTTTGAATGTCTTCTGAGTACACACCCGGTGCTGGCCGCTGTGAACTGCTGTCTCTCCTTTCGAAATAAACAAATTCAAGGTAAAAGCTAGAGGTGGAAATAAATGCTCGTCCATGTTGTCTAAAGAAAAGCTGGGTAATGTTACTCACGCATGTATGTGACCTGGCAGGTAGCTTTTACGGCTGATCAGCGGCAGTTCGTTGACACCAAAGGCGCTTCGTGAACACTGACCCAAGGATCGTCAAGCAAATATTAATGAATAGGTCAACAGACCAACCTGATATCATAAAGACGCCAACAGGAGGTACTAGTCGAAGCTTTAGCTTTTACGCCCCGTCAAGCAACAGAAAAATTACAGATGATAGTAATGAGGACAATGAGAAGAGCAGACACAGGGCTGCTTCCTGCCATCTTGCACGGTCGTAAATTTCAACGAGTTTTCGAATTCCTTCCAGTCTCCTGCAGAGTTCAGAATGAAAGATGGTAAGTGAAGTGTTCAAATAACATGAGAATCGAGCAGGCGGCAGAAAAAGCGCTCGAGTAACCGCCGAGCTATGACGTCATAGAACAAGCCTTTTGCCTCTATCAACTTTGTCCCCCGCTGTAATTTTGTTCGAATGCCAATTAATTGATTTCATTGCGCGACGTGATTGCCGCTACAGCAAGCTTCAAATGATTGGTTCAACTGCAATGTCTCCGCCAATGGAAGATATCGCAGCATGCAAGAGTGTGCTTTGGGCTCGAAGTCTCGAAGTCCTATGACTGTCTTTTCCGAGTTCTTTTTACTGTTTTAAGATGTCTTGAGAGTAATCACACAATGTTGACTTCTAAGACATGCTCCCGAAACATAGATATGCTCTATCTAACTACCTAAACAAGGTAATAGGACTCCGAAGAGCTAGTCCCATGGGCAAAAATCACATTCAAACCAGCATGCCGACGGTTAATGGCATACAGCTTGCAAAACCACTCTTTCAACGCTGCTCCTATACGACTTGCGAATGAGTCAAGAACTCTTTCCTAAAACGTTTGCCACTCTTCCGTACTTGTCATTTCTAATCGATGAAGAAGGTCCCTAGAGCTCAGGCTGGGTGGTAAGAGCACAACGCTTGCCCGCTGCCTCCTTCACCTCCAGGCGTGCTTTTCCATCTTTCATCGTCCGTAGAAAGGAAGCCTTTCAATAGCATTGAATTTGGCTGAAAATCTTGCACAAAGGCCATTTCAATGCCTTGTTTCAAGAATCCAACCAGAGCGTAGGACTCGAAGCCACCCATTGATATGAAGCCTTTGTTCCAAATATTCTCTTGTCGTACTGTCTATGGCCCTTTCAAATTCCCTCTTAGTATTATCGCAAATGAGACTCTTCCACAGTCATAATACCTCTATACGACATCGAAAACGTCCATCAGTAACAGCCAATTCTCAAATCATACCCGACTAGCACGTCGATTTCCGCAAACATATCTCAATAACCCAACTCAGTCAATCACCAAGATCCCGGCCCAACAGACGAACAAGCTTTCCAATTAATCACGATGGCCCTTAAGCCGCTCCTCCTCTTCCTTTCGACCATCCACTTCCTCGATGCCGCCGCTCTCCCTGGCTCAGCGGGAAAAACCGAGCAAGTAAATCCCGGCTTCGCCTTCGACCAAGTTATAGGCACCTTTAGCAACCCTAATTGCAGCGGTGACCCCGTGGGCGGGTGGGACGCAGGCACATACGCCCCAAACACGCTTAGTGCTGTCCCTACCTGCCTGGACGCCACCAAGTTTTCCGGCGAGTTTATTGGCATAAACTGGGGAAGCAAGAAGGGTGAAGATGGCGGGGCCCAACAGATGAGGAGTCTCGGCCTTTTCAAGGATAAGGATTGTAAGCAGGATGCGGGGTGGTATGCGCTGAGGCCTACGACGTGGCCATTGGGCGAATCCGAAGCCAGAGCATGTTTCGCCGTTGATGAGTTTGGTGGTCCATATGGGGGATTCTTGTTCTGGGGGGCGTTAGTGTTGAAAGATGGGGAAACGAACTCGTTTCCTAGTGTACCTGGAGCTGTCTCTTAGAACTTTGTATGGGTGTGGTAAAAATTTTGAAGGCATAGGTCTCCTAGTATTTTGGAATGCTTCGACTTTGGGTTGCAATGCTCTCGTTCTCCTTGTTGAAAGTTTATTAGTGTCAGATGACAAGACAGAGCTAACAGCCATGAAAGAACACTCCAAGGCGGGCACTTAAATCATTGCTTACTCAATTGATGACAGGTTTCATGCTTTGAGAATATCGCATTGGCAGGACGGGAGGCCGAGCAATTTAAATCAGTCAAGGGTAGCAGAGGTAGGGAGTACTCATAAAAGACGGAGAAAAGAGCACGAAACACATCAGGACGTTGTGACAAATTATTTCGATTGTCGACAAGCTTTCAATTATGAGCTAACATTATGATTATTGTTGGCACGAAGCCGAATGTTGTCATGGGCTTGCCATGGTTCAGAAGTAACAAATCCAACTACATTGTCCGTCCGTCTATAATGTCGTTCGCCGTGCTAAGTTTGCAAGCCAAGCCAAAGTTCTATGTCATTACCCTCTATTCCTTCACTCAGCCACTCGACGCTGACGATTTGCCCGCCTCAATATGGGAGCGTCCCTATATCGAAGATGGGGCAGGGTAGGCTGGGCGAAACCCGAAGAGGCTGTCCCAGATGGGTGAGGCGCTGTGCCTGTCCCACTGTTTGGGAAGGCACCGGTACCACTCGGGTGAGGAGCTCCAGAAACCGAAGAGGATTTGCCAGTTCCGGCGGGTGCGGTACCGGTGGCTGTGCCAGATGGCTTGGAAGAGACAGAGCCAGTTGCTGAATAAACTGGGTTGGTTCCACTGGGGCTGATGGGAGGTCTTCCAGTTCCCGAGCCACTAGGAGCTGCCGTACCTCGAGATGATGTACCGGTAGCGGAGTAGGTTGGCTTCGTGCCAGAAGGAGAGATAGGCTTGCCGGTCCCAGAGCCATTGGGAGCTGCCGTACCTCGAGATGATGTACCGGTAGCGGAGTAGGTTGGCTTCGTGCCTGAAGGAGAGATAGGCTTGCCGGTTCCAGAGCCACTGGGAGCTGCCGTACCTCGAGATGATGTACCGGTAGCGGAGTAGGTTGGCTTCGTGCCTGAAGGAGAGATAGGCTTGCCTGTTCCAGAGCCGTGGGGAGCTGACGTTCCTGTGCCTGAGCTATAGACAGGTTTCGTTCCAGATGGCAAAATGGGAGTGCCGGTGCCAGAACCATGTGGAGCGGACGTTCCTGAAGAACTGTAAACAGGCTTAGTTCCAGAGGGTGAGATTGGTGTCGCGGTTCCAGAGCTGTAGGTAGGTTTCGCACCGGAGGGCGAAATTGGTTTGCCAGTCCCTGAGCCAATTTGGACAGTAGTACCCTGGCCCCCTGATGGTGCACTACCGCTTGGGCCAGTCTGACCTGTTTGACCTGAAGCGGGAGCTGTCCCGGTACCTGTGCCTGCTGGGTAGCTTGAGCCGCCCGAGATGGGATAAGGCGCGGTCTTGTGAGATTGGCTGGGCGCAGGGCCAAGTCTACCTGTAGAACTAGCAGTGGCAGAGGCTCCACCGTGGGTAGCACCAGTCGATGGCTGGGCAGTTTGACCCCCTTGCCCTGGACCAGCACATTGTGTGCAGATTGTAATAGTCGCAGTACTTGTGACCGTTGAAACTGTAGTCGTTGTCTCAGCCTGTCCGGACGACGGGCCCGCGGTAAATGTATTGGTGACTGGGCATGTTGTGACTGTTGTGTAAACTATCTCCGTTGTCACAACACTCGTAGTCGTTATCGGTCCCGAGCTTGGGGAAGAGCCAGAGGAGCCGCCTTCGGTTGGTGAGGCACCTGACCCACCGTTGCCCCCATTCTGTCCACCTTGTTCGCCAGAGCCACTGCTTGAACCAGGACCTTGGGATCCGCTGCCCGAGTTACTTCCCGAGGATCCGCCTGGCGAGTTTTTCAGAGACTCGCAAGCATATTCAAGCACCGTTACGTAATTCGGGTGCTCGAAGCATGGGCTTGCGAATTCGGGGTAGGCGAAAGGAGTGGAGGGTGGGCAGACGCATTGAGAACCTGCTGATGGGCAAGAGCCAGCCGCAGATGACGACGATGGCTGCTGAGATTCCTCAAATTTGTGGCAGAGAGCTAAGGCTTGCTCTGGGTGTTGCGACAAAGCGTCAGAGCAAGTGTGAGCCGAGATAACGGTTGCAGAACCAAGGGCCAGAAGCCCAAATCTAGCCAACATCTTTGATTGATACCGAGTGTGATAGAGGTGATGTTGCGACACTCAGAGAGCGAAGTATTAGAATTATAGATTTATATGATTAAATATGTATTAATATTAAGAAAAGTCAGAAACGACAGACAATGGCATAGAGAGCCAAACGAGCGTGCTGCGGAAGAGGAAAACGACAAACAAGCAAGCGACTGAGATATAAAGAATACAAGAAACAAAGGAGAAGGGTGCGAGTAATAGGAGGATAGGTGGGGAACGACGCGTTCGATAACAGGAACGCCTTGTTTCCTGGCCAGGCTCTCTATGCCAATTTTGGCCGTAGCATCTTCCTCGTGGTAGAGACGCTAGTATGGCAGAATGCCATGGACCGACTAGACTAGCGGAAAGGGTGATGGTCATTGAATTCTCCGAATTCAGATACGACCTATACTACAAGAGGTAGCGTAATTTCCCAAGCACCCCCTTTGGGATGTTCGTTTGTATTCGGGCCAGGATCCGAAATGAATACAACCTTGACAGATGGCGCACGAGCCATGATTTTAAGATAGACGCCCTGTCGTGCTTTCAATTCATCTCATGAAAATGTGATAAGGCTGTAGTGGCTCCCTTGGCAGCGTTTGCCGGCCATCTTCTGTGGGGCTTTGCTGACAAGATAGACGTGTTCGCGACCCAGGTGACAAGGTCTAGGATGAAGGCTACAGTGACTCACTGCTCCTTTGCATAAGGCCTGATGATACCATCATTCAAAGCCACGACGAGCTAATAACTACGAGCAGCATCGCATGGCTTGTTGCATGTCCCATGGATTTCAACGTCTGTCAGCCCATGATGAGCAAGCGTGAGATATCATGATGAACAGCAAGCCTGGCGGGCCAAGGGGCCGCGTCGCACAAATCATAGATTGGAGTCGAATGAAAGGGGAAATGTCTGATGGCTGGTATACGAGGATTACAATCACATTTTGAGAGGTTGAGAGCATTGCCGAACCGCGCGTGCGGCTGAGGCGTCGGCGATGGTGCGGGAACAATTGGACGGTGCAAGACGGTCCCTGCTCCTTCCACAGGGGGCCGTCCTTTTCAGGCCTGATCAGGTAACCCTAACTACCCAAGATACCAGCTAACAGAATCCTTGCAAGTGGTGCCAATCATCTGCAAGTCCTGTTTGCATGATGGGGGCTGCAACTCCGAGCAAGCATGGCGTGATGTGAATCGCGATCCTGCTCACAGTGTGGTGACTCTGGTGAGTGTACACACTCGGCCTAGACTTTCTCTTCCTGTGCAGATTGGCTGTGATGACCTGATCATCTGTCAAAAAATGGCAGACCGTTGGTACCTGCATTAATAACAATGCACCGTTGGAGGTCCTGCAGGGCCTTTACGGCCACTGATTACTGCGCCGCTGGCTGGAGTGGGCCGGCCGGGCTGATCTGGATCTCCCGAGTAGATTTGCCTTCTCTTTACTCTACTCTAACTTCTTTCACTACTACTTCGAATGTACCGAGTAAAGGTAAGGTAGTAGTAGTGTAGCTTGGTGCAATCTCCACCTGCACCGTTCCCCCTCCTTCAAACCGCTGACCCTCGGCTTCTCGCCATTATTATGTTCTTTAAATTCTAACCAAAGCGGGAAAATACCAGGCATTCACCCAACCTGTATATATATTGACATACGGAGGCAAGAACCATGATTGTCCCTGATAGCCCACGCGCAGCGCATATATAAACTTCCCCTGAAAAGTCTTGGCTGGGAGCAATTAATAAATCAGCATCTTGGCTTCTCAGTTCCCTTGTTCTGCTTACAATCGCAATTTGCTTATGGGTTTAGGGTCTTGGTGCCCTCTGATGCTCAAGCCTGGACTCTGGGGACAAATCATTGCGAGTAGGGTGGCGCTCCGCCTGCCAGCGCATATGTAGGAACTCGTATTTCGCAAAGGGCCGTGTTCTCAATCGAAGTATCGGGAGGGAGTCCTCACGATATTGAGGGCGTCCCATTCAATAATTCGTCACAACGACCGGGCAGCTGTACCTTCCTCTCGTGGCTCGTTTGGACGCTCTTGCTGATCTCTAAATGCGAGAATCTGTGGCCTTGATAACATACTCAAGATGCATTCAGGATCCACCTATGGCTCACGCAGCCGGTCAAGATGTGGAGCACTGCGACTTTGGAAGCGAGGGAGTATTTCCTATTGCATTAAAGCTACGAAAATCTAATATCAGATGCGACTGCTGCTCGATAGTCGCTGGATTTATCCTGTCACTCACGATTCCAAACTCGGTCCAACATGACTGAACGCCTTCAACTGACTTCCCTCGTATCTTTCAACCCCTTACCTCTCCGTTGCCGCTCCTTTCTCCGTCATAATCCATGCTATCAACCACCTCTCTCTTCGCACTCATCTTCAAGCTCACTTTCACCATTGTACTCAGTCACCCGACCTTCTCCTTCCTTGTCACTAAGTGAGGTCTCTTCACTGCCTGACTCCATCTCGTCGTTGCCTAAAGCCCAGTCTTCAATGTCGCTTTCCTGACTCCCATACCCCTCGGAGTCATTCTCTTCAAAGTCTACCTCCGAGCCCATCCGCTCAAGCTCCTCCACCGATTTGACAACCTTCTCATAACCAAAAAACCCTTCAGGCGCCACTGCCGTCAAAATATCCTTCATCGTCTCCCTATCAATATACCCAAAAAGGCACATATCATAGTAATAATCCTGCAATCCAAGCCCTCTTCTGAATGCCTCCCTCTGCGCTAGATTATCTACCGGCACAAACGGCGTATGTCCAGCACCCCATCCTTCATACTTTAGCCTCCCAACTTCTCCCGGCGGAATGCCCATGATTGGGTTCAACGGCGGCCAGTAAGGATGCACATAAGCGTACCGCACAAACATTTCTAATACATGTTTCTGATGCAGCATGTGCTCCCGTTTCAATACTCCTCTCAAAACGCTTAAACTCCGCTGGTTCAATAACATCGTCCGAAAGCGTGTCTCTCCATAATTTCCCGTGCTCGGATTTGTGAGCCGCATGTCCAATTTCAGAATGAAGAGGTGCAGAACGAAGATATCATTCTCGGTCCAGAAACTTTCATTGTGAAAGAGGTAAATCCGACGCCTATTATCAGGGATATCCAGTGTAAACCACAGCTTCTTAATGACTAGGCTAGCACGGGGCGGCATCCTATGCCCTTTATAAGCCAAAGCATCAATGATATCATTAACAGCCTCCTCCCTGAAGAGCACCATTCTTAACCACCGAAAACTGGGAACCCAGCGCACCTCCCCTGGTACACTCTCATTCAAGCGCCCAGCTGGATCTCGCATACAAAGATTGCGGTAGCAGCGGTGGACAAAGATTCGAGAAGACTCCGGCGCTTTCGTGACGGACTGTCCCAGGATCAGAGCGGTTAAGCGCCCGTTGGCGAGGAAGTGGAAGTCGCGGCTGATGGAATAGAGGGAAACAAGGTCGTCGATCTCAAGTTGCTTGGTCATTTCGTAGAGGAGTTCTGGATGAGTGAGGAGGGCGTTGAAGATGCTGAAGTGGTTGAGGTTTGTTTGAGAAAGAGAACGTGATGATGAAGTGCCAATAGGTGATCGTTCCAATGAATTGATTGGGAGATATTCTCGATGGAATGTTCGATCCCCGTTGATACTGAACGGTAGGTCTTCTTGCGGCCGATAGGGTAGTGATGACGGTCGTTTCCTCCGCTTTCGAGGATCCCGCGTGGTAGCATCGTCGCAAGGCGCATGATCTGGCTCCAATCCCATACGTGATGGAATCCTTCTGCGCTTCCGGGGTACAATAGGAGCTTGTTGCCCATAGTCATCCCGTTCAGTCGCATTTGGAGCGATAGCAGGCTTTGTTCCTGCTAGTCGAGGTGAGCGATCCGTCGGATTTAGTACGCTATTCAGCGAGCAGGCCATGGCGGTCTTTACAGGCAAGACTAAAGGTTTCTATTGAACTGTGCATGTCAACAAAGCGTGAATAATCATTTCGATTGGACAACGTCGCAAGGGGATGATTGCGAAGAACGACACGTGAAGGCTGCAACCTAACCTAGTTCGGGAGTCAACAGCATCTGTGGCAATTTCATGTCGATAGTGTACAATTATGATGGTGGAGATTTTACCCGACTCTTTGCCAGGTGAAAAACGGCATTACATAGATTGCTCTTGATCCCCACTTTAGAATCCCAATTTAATGTGCCGTTCGCAGATGTACTCCAAACCTGACGACTGGAACTTCTCCAATTCAACGGAAATCAGACCCGTTTCATCTCCGGCTGATCAATGTCAAAAATTCATCCCTCGTTTTCGCACTCGACCGCATGCAACCCAGCATGCAGCTCGTCGTTGCTGTGGCGCCCGATTTCTGGACCCCTCTCATAACCATGCAAAGATGACTTGATTCCATGACAACGGCAACACCTTGCGGCTGCAGCACCTCTGTGATTGCGAGTGCTACTTGTTTTGTCAGTCTTTCCTGAACTTGTAACCTGCGAGCGAACATTTCTGCTAGTCGAGCAAGCTTGGAAAGACCCAGAACTCGCTCTATCCTTTGTCAGCCGTTGTAAGAGATCCAGTGGTATGGGAATTTACTATTAGGTATATAGCCAATGTGCATCTAAAAATCCAATTAGCCGTAGGCGAACCCAGCAGATGAAAAGCAACATTGCCCACCTTTCCCGTGAACGGCACCAGATGATGCTCACACAGCGAAAAGATCTCGATATCTCGCACTATCACCAACTCATTGTGATCTTCGTGGAATACAGCACCATTGACCAAGTCCTTTACATTTTCCTCGTAGCCTTTCGTGAAGAAAAGCATAGCTTTTGCATACCGTTCTGGCGTTCCTCGTAGACCTTCTCGGTCTGGATCTTCGCCAATGCACTCGAATATTGTCGTGATGGCACCCTGCAGCTTCTGTAGCCGCTGCAGGGATTGTGCCTCTGTAGCCTCTCGTCTTTCTCTCGTACCCAAGCCTGTACTTAGAGTCAGCTCACCCGCGCCCTCCAATAGACTGACTTGACGTACTCGGCCAACTCAGACCGTCGAAGTCGATTGGGGGGTTCTGTGTTATCGGACTTGCAGGTCTCGATGTACTTTCTTCGATATCTCGACCCAAGGCATGATTCACGAGACTTTTCGTTGTTCCATTTACTTCCCTAGCATGGTTCTGCCCGTCAGACAAATCGTCTTCGCCATCAAATACGACAGGCTGCCGCCGCGTTGTTGATAATTTGATGGACGCCGCGAGCTCCTCTCGTTCTTTGGTATTCACTGAGGCTCTGCGCAGAGGGGAGCTAATTTGGGCTTTATGAGATTTGCCGTTGAGGAGGGGAGCTGGCATCGTGGCCCAGGGTAATGGAGGGTCAGTTGCGTTATTCATGAATGCAATTACACGGGGAGTGGCGCCGTTTTACACATCGAGATTCAAGAGTAAGCTGGTCCACCAACCCGGGGATTGCAATCAAGGTCAGGTGAGGCAACGATCAGCCCAAAAATCCATGATGTTTAGAGATCCAAACTCGGACCCTGGGACGCTGGACGTCGCTGCACTTAGAGGATGTCATTTTGCTCCTTTGAGGACAAAATAGGAACCGGCCCGATGGCCAGAGTTTTGAATGCCTGAAAAAGGAGACCATTCTTGGAGGACCCGAGTATCTTATCAAATTTTGGATCCAATGATTACTTTCAGTCCATGCACACTATTGTCCTCTATGATCTACATTTTACTTCCGCTGATTGAACTATGTAAGAAGCCGGACGTAACGGCAGTGAGAAGCTGGTTCGCAATCGCTGTTTTGGGCGGCAACCTTAGACCACCTTCTTGGTAGCCGAGAGGTGCATCTTCTCCAAGGCCACTTGTTCCAACGACCAACGCATCCTCGACCTCCTTGAGGTTGACCCATTTCGCGTCCTCCAACTCCGGATCGTGTTCTAAAACAATCTTCTCTTTGTTGGGGACGCACTGTGCAATAGCCCCAATCATTAACTGACGGGCTCAGATGTCAGCAGTGACTCTCATGAAGCAGGAAACCCGAAACTCAAAGGTAATGCTCAAAATGAAGAGGCTCAGTCAATGGGAGATGTGAAGGAATCCCATGGCTATCAAGTCCGGCGCAAGAACGAAGAAGTGGTAAGTTAATGTTGAACACGTCGAGGAAGCCTGCACGGATCAATTCTGAACCGACTCACATTTGCGGGATATGGCCAAGGTTGGGTGCTATGAATCACCACTCGTCCCAGGGTGACCCCACTCTCCTCCCAAACTTCTCGTCTGACAGCTTCTTCGACGGATTCGGCGGGCTCAACAAAACCGGCGAGGGTACTGTACCAGTAGGGTGGCCACCTCTTCTGGCGACCTGAGAAGATTTAGTGAAAGAAACAGGCACATAGCTTGGATCACTACCGAGAAGGACTCGCTCGCCGTCTGCAGAAACCACCGCCATTATCACCTAAGGAAAATTATCAGACTTTTTCTTGGGCAATTTTGCCCCCACCTCGGTTCCCTCTAGAGGACAATGCGAGGGAACAAAGAAGTGTCAGAGCCGTAGAGGCCAATACATGAATCGACGGCGAGTGTTTCATAAAAGTTTAAGAGCCAGAAACAGAAACACACACCGTAGGGTCGGTCTATTGTCAATCAGCACCATAGAGGCAAAGGACTCATTGAGGCTTACCCGGGGAAAGGAGAGGTTGCTAATGCCTTTTCGCGTAGCACAGCTGGGACGATCTACTAGCTTGCGGTCCACCATTGACCCTGTTGCTGAGCTGCCTATAAAAAGGGCCTTGTCTTTAGGTGGACAAGTCCTTTTGGTCCCCGCATTGATCCTAATTTGAGCGTCAGAAACAAGTCTTGCACGGAAGCTGTTCGCTTCAATAAGTGCATCAAAGCAGTCGTTGATGGACGACAAAACAGTACTTACGATAGTGTTGGCTGGCCGCATTGCCCACAATATGGATTTCGCGCATTCCAATCGACCAGCGCTCTTGCTTGGGCATAAATTGCAGCCTGGGTTGCGGGCAGTGACATATGCATACGGCCCTGGACGAATTGTAGACCCTTCGACTTCATGGAGTTGATAAGCGCTTCTGCGGTAGAAGCAGTACTACCTTTTCTATACAAAATCGCAAATGAATATCAATCTTCTATGCAGAGAAGCAACAAGTGGTCTGCATTTGAACCTACGGCGTGATATCAAGTGCAAAGTACGGAGATCCACGGTACATATGCCATTCGAAATCTGAATTTTGCTGCTCGTAAAGTCCGAGAAAGACCAGTTGAGGTATTGCGGTAGAGGAGTTATAATCCGCCACCAGCTCCTCTTCTGTCTTCTTATAAGGATTGTCTCCAGTGAGCGAAACCACATCTTCATGCGAGGCATATTCAAGGCAAGTAGGATCTTTTGCAAGAGGCGCCAGGTTATCAAGAAGCAGGAACCTCGTCGACGGGTGATTTAGAGCTGCGGAAAGGAATGAATGATTGGTACGTAGGAATGATACTCGATTGAGAGGGAGCCTTTCCAGATCAATAATCATATTCATTGTAAGGTCAGACGTTTCATTTACCGCTGAAATAGTTGGCGACTTCTCTTCCAAATTTGCTCGACAGCATGGAGTCAATTTCAGCATAAGCAGGCTCTGGTACTTTCGGTTGCGGCATACTCAAGGTAAAAATGCGCAACCACCTGTCTCCACGAAGGGAATTGACGGCGTCTACAGTGCATTGTTCGAACAAAGGATGACTAGAGGCCCTCCAATGACATCTTAGCCGAGCGAGGCTAAAGCTGATTTGTCAGCCCCTGCCAGAGTAAGACGTGCAGTTTCCAGGTGGGCAACTTGTCATTGGGCCTCAATTGATCTTTGCAGTTGATCTATACCACTGGAGATGCTGTTGCAGCCTGAGGAGTCCCCCCCGACCCAATGACTGTCTCGGAGGAAGCTGACTTTCCTTTTAAAGCCGGCATGTCAAAGCTCTTGCTCATTCCACCCTGTACGCCTTTCCATTTCCAGAGCACCTGACCATCTTCCATAGTCCAGAGTAGTGCTCCAACCCAGGGTTGAACGTTCCATCCTATCTCAAGCGTGACATTCTGGCGTTCTGAGATGATGCCGCTAATATCTGTAATCTGGTACTTGGGTTTGGAATTCTTCAGTCTGATGATGCCCGTGTCCAATCTCGGCTCCTCCTTTCTGATGCCCTTTTGAGACTTGCTTTTCCTCGATTTTAGAGGCTGCTTCTTGAGGTATGTCAAGGGGTTGAAAGGCTGCAATTGGCTTTGCGACTTAATGATAGTATCCCAAATAACTGCTTGCGAGAAGGGTGCTTCATATAGCTTCCCCGCCACAGGGTACGTAGCTGTGATCCATACAAAGATTTGCTTAGTATTCCAATTGAACAGCGATGTGAAGTCTGCAACTTTTAGGTAAGCTAAACACGTCTTTCACAAAAGGTTCCATCGTACCAGCATCCAGGTCAAATTTTATGTGCGCATACTCCTCTCTCTTTGGGGAATAATAATTTGGTCGTCCCTTAACACTGTCTCTCGTGAGCACTGCGCCCAAGGAAGCCTCTTATCTGACAGCTCACACTTGAAGATTTCGAAGTACTGGCTCAAGCTTAGCTGAAGGGGTCTGCGGGATAAAAAGGACAGAGACTGCTGCAGAGAGTGCTGTAAAGAACGCGACTGTAGTGAAGAATCCAAAGGAGTTTTGTATCCTGACAACCGTGGAGTGCATCTTGTCACCGGATTGACGTTCAAATTAACAATAAAGCGAAGTCACGATCCTCGACTAGGTGGACACATCTCCCGAGGACTTGGCGCTACTCAGGGCTTTCTAGATGAATCATATTTCTAACTTTTTTAGGAGAGGCTTGAAATAGGTTTATTAGTTCAATCCTTAAACAATACTTAAGTAGAAACTTTATTTATCTTATATTCTTAATATAATAAATAAGTTTTAAAAAATATATTTTATATATAAGTACTTTACTTGATAATTTTATTTTAATAAAGATAAAGATTTTTAATATATAAATTTATTAGAAATATAATTTATTTTAAAAAGCTTTAAGAAAAAGGATTTACTTCTATAATAAGTTAAATATCTTAGTTTATAGAGATATAAAGAGAAGTATTATTATAAATAATTTAAATAATTTAAAAACTTATATATTTAATATTCTTAATATAAATAATAAATAATTTTTAAATATTTAAGAGATTCTATATATATTTGATTACTATACTATAATATTAAAAAAAGATTCTTAAATGTTTAGATTTATTGGAAATATAACTTATCTAAAGAGGCTCTTAGTAGAAGGGTTCATAGTCCTATGGGCCACACCGTTCTAGAACGGATCACCGCTAGCTCGGATTGTCTGACTGACGAGGGTGATGTCCTACAAATTACGCCCTCTAGACCCGAGCTGGCGGTAACCGCTTCTAGGACCGTGTAACCCTCTACTCGCTGCTGTATACTACGGGCGCCCTTAAGCTCTTATGGTCATGAGTCTACGTAGATAGTTATGTACAAACCCTCGCTATGCGTGATTATTCGTAAAACCGTCACTGTTGTTGAACGACGACAGCGATCGCTCTGCTCTGTGGTCCACTGCTCCCTCTTGGTGCAATCCCACGCGAGGGACTTCCTCTACCACCACGGTTTCCTCTGCCACGAGATTCGAGCATTGCGGGGGGTGGAACATTCGAGTATGATTTGGGCCTGAAGCTCGGGTTGTTCTGCGGCCTCCAATCCAATAAACCGTCATCAATTCGGTGGTATCCTCCTCGTGTCAGGGCCGAGTTTCCGCGACCTCGTGAAGACATCACGTTCAACTGCTGCGCTCCTCTTCCCCGCGGCAGTACTCCCTCGGTCTGTGATGTACTTTGGCCTTGTACGTCTGTCCCCTGAAGCCCGCTTCGAATGGGAAGGCTATGATGTGCAGATTGACTGTTTGCGTGACCAAAGTCGCCTCTCACTCCAGCCTGAGACATGCCTCTGGTACCAGCCACCGCCCTTCGGAACGAACCGCGGAGGGGTAGAGGGGCGGCCGCAGGCTTCAATTGACCTTGACCGTGCATCCCCGCCGGAGCAGGAAATCCAGAAGTACTCAGAGGCTGACTCTGGGGTTGACGCCGATGGCTGTCCTCTGCTTTAGATCCGGCAGTCAGTTGGCGGTCAGTGAGATTTAAGACAGTGTGCAACGGAACCGTAGATCCACGGAAAGGGGAGCATCGATCATCAAGTGAAGTTCCACTCATGAACGTGACGTCAAAAACTACATCCAAGAGTGTTGTCCGTGTTGTGCGTGTTTTACCAATCACGGTTCCCCTTGTTGCAATCGGCACTCGACCGGAGTCCTGCACGTACACAACACGATCTCCCAGCGAGAACCTTTGGTGATTGAGCCGCTGTTCTGCGTCAGAAGGCCTCATGAGAGCGTTGCGAGGTGCTCCTTTGATCTTCTTGTTTACGCCTTTGCCCGGTGGATCCAATTGGAAGGCTTTGTCAGCTTCTTCCTCAAGCCTGTGGACTACAACCGAATCAAGTTGCTCGGCATCCAATGGCACTTTTTCGAAATTTTTGGATGAGATCTCTTTCAACCAGGTTTGGATTTGTTTAATCTTTAAATAGGCTTCTGAAGCTGGATAAAAGTCGGTGGGTTCGAACAAGTCGCCTTGGGGCTTTCGCTGAATACCGGCAATGAATTCGGGAAACTTCATCATGTAGAGTCTCACGAGTTCGATTGCTTTCTCACTGAACTCCCAGCCTGATGTGTTCCGCCGCGAGTAGCCCAGCACCTTCAATTTCTTTGCCTCAAATTTCAAATTCAGACCGAGGTTCACCCGGTCCTTTTCGACCACCACGGAGAAGGATGAAGTGATCTTACTTAGCACTAAAGGATTTAGGCCAAGAACTCTTGCGACTGCATATGATGGCGTGTATGGCGAGTGATTATCGGCATCTGCTGCGACTTTGCGACCAAATTCTGGTACTTTAGCGGCCGCAGTCGATACCCATATATCAATCTTGTCACCAGTATGACCTACAACCTCTAACGGTCGCCCATAATTGTAATCACCCAAGAAGAAAGCCCTAGAGCCGATCGGAAACTCTTCTTCTACAGGCAATGCAGCCTTTTCGATGAAACGTTGGTCTTCATGAGGGACATTTTCAACAACAGCTTGGGCAGCGTAGTCCGTCTCAATTCCTGGGATTTGTGCATATTCCTTGATAGTGGCTCCGTCGTCGGTCTTTTTCAAACCTTTCAGAGTATCGACGTGCACCAGTGATTGCACGTCGCCAATGATTGTGCCCAATCTCTTGCTATAGGTGTTTTCAATCCTTGTGGCCTTCTTATGCCACATTTGAAGCTCCTGCGGACCATGTGGAGCAGCGATTGGTGGACCTTGTCCGTTTGGTGGCAGGCTATAGTTAAACATTTCGTCAGATACACTCATGACCTTAGCTTCGGACAGATACGGGTAGCCGACATGCACTTTTCGACCTAGGAGCCTCTTGGCACATGTGATTGTTGTGCGGGCCTCTGTTTCCAGTAGGGTGATTATCATACTCTCATTGCGGCTGTCCTGTTGGAAGACACTCACGCCGTGGAAATCCAAACTCCCAAAGAAAGGGAGAGAATTCAGACTTGGGAACCCATAAAGCGCAGACTCGCCAAGCATGACTCCTCGCATTAGGCCAACATGATAATCAAGCCCTTCCATGGTCGGCAAATCGAAGATGTTCTCGACACAATGCGAGCGCGGGATGTCTGGAAAAATGCCGACCAAAGAAGAGCCATACACATACTCTACGTCAGGCCCGTATGTAAACTTAAGAGAGACCCCAAAATCATTTCGCTCATTCTCGTCCTCGGACAGCATATGATGTTTGCTGCTCATTGCGCGAAGCAAGCGGGTTTCATCAATGAAAGGGATTTTCACAACCGCTTCCCAATCCATTTTCTTGCCGTTCATGTCGAGCTCAAAGTCACGTGGATAGAAATCGTAAATAGGGGAATCGGAGCTTGTCATCAGTTCATGGTAAGGCGTTGGGACAATCTTTTTGCTCCGATCTGGCAGAACACCCATCAGTTGTTGAAAGGGTCGAAATGGCTGGCCAAGTTCAAAATTCATATCAGCTCTGAGGCCTTGCTTTACGTCTGCAGCACATCAGTGTTTTGTCTACCGTCAGACCTGGTGATATACTTACCGGAGATCATAGGCGAGTAATGATAACCATAAAACCAGGGCCAAGATGCGACACCGCGGTAGTAATAGTACAGCACCCATTGCAGACCCTGTACGTAGTTCTCCGTCAACTTGCGCATTTCTTCCTCGTTGTCGAGACCCCACTCAAACTTGCTTTTGTAATAGACATCCTTCCACTTCGAAAATTTCTCCTCGTACTTCTTTTCCAACTGAAATTTGGTGTCTTGGGCTGATACATCAGTTATTGTCGCATTGTCGTAGTGCTTCAGAACTCTCCTCAAAGCGATGGATGCTTCTTCATCCTCTCCTTCTTCCTCGTCATCGCCTTCGAGTCTCGCTGGAAACCAAAGCTTCAGGCGCCGATCACCGTCTTCATTTATCTCGGTTTTCCATTCAAGATGCAGAGCGCCAACAAGATCTTGAGTAAATTTGCGATCTGCTGCATTCATATTTGGAGAGAGATCTAGCGAATCCCTGGCAGCGGATGGGTCATGAGAATGGGATTTGATATACTGCTTTACCTTCCTGTAAATGTCCCTTTGAGCCGTGGAGAAAGTAAGAGGTCCACTCTTGTTCTTAACTTCTTTTTCCATCACATCGGCCTTGCCAATCTGCTTTCCTTTGAACCAGCTAGCGTCCGCATTTTCCGCCTCGAAAAAGCGATATTCAACGCGGGAAAGTTCATCTAGGAGAATGCCCAGGCGCTCTAAATTGATAACGCCACGTTCATTAATGTAGCCACCAGCTTTTGGCAGTACAGTCTGGTAGATCTTGAACATGAGCGCTAGAGCGCCTTCATTTATATGCAGGTGAGGGAGATTAGGCAGGAAGTCGTTTCCGACGAAGAACGCCATAAGTATGAAATCATCAATAATGCGTTCCATGTCAAATGTGCATTTCATTATGCCAGGCGCTTTAAGCCCTTGGAATTCCAACTCCAAGTACTCTCGGACGATGCAAAGGTGCAGAAGATAGAAGTTCTGATGCTCCAACTCTTTCGATTTCTTTTCCTTGTTCCGGTTGCCAAAGCTGACTTCTTCCCGAAGGAGACAGAAATGAGGATCATGGCTCAACAGACCAAGCATGATAAGGTCGGCATCGAGCCCGTACAGGCAGTGACGGATATTAGCGTCATAGTCAGGCTGAGCTTTGGCTAGTCTGATGTATTCCATGATCTTGTGCTCCCCTTCGCCTGGTACTTCGTGGCCAGACAGCACAATGTCAACACCTTGCCAATCCGCATCTTCTGAGATCTTTTTGTTAATAAAATATTTCAATTGCTTGGTCAGCTTTGCCATGAACTCAGTCCCTAGCTTCATAAGCAATCTCATCCGGCTGTCGACGTGCAGCCTCATTTACCGGGGGTAATGCAATTGCTGTCAAATGCGTCTTCCGAAGGCATCTCGACACCTTCACGGACTGCCTTCTCTCTTGCTCTTTCTGCGTCCAGTGCAGTCCTGAACCGTCGTGCTCGTTGTTGATTCATCTTTGCTCGTGGTGCCACTCCGTCGATCGCCATGAAAAAAAGTTTCTTTGGCCTTATCTTGCCGTACAAATGCTCAATGTAATTGAAAATGTTGATGAACATTTTCTCCTCAGTCATTCGAAAAGTGGGCGAATCGGAGTCCTTGTGGGTGCAATTATGTATGATACCATCTGCAAGGCGAGGTTAGTCTTGCCATTCACATACAGGTGCTGCTTCCCCACTCATATCCAAGTATAGACAGTCAAATTCCGGTATGCGATTTTCAGCTATCAGTTGAGAGATTGCTGGATATCTCTCGCTCAGCCAGCGAAAGAATTTGGGAACACCCATCTTGACGGAGAGAAATCAAAATGAACGTTTCCAGCTCGAATAAAGGCCTCGTAGTGTGAATCAAACTCGGTCTCCTGAGCCAAGACCTTACATAAGCTTCACTTAAAGTTTACTTCAGTGTGATTTCACCTGCGACAAAAATGTTCCGGATCAAGTCCCAAGTCGACGAGTGGTAGATGTCTTCGAGCTTGAAAGACAGAAGGTGTGGACAGGAGCTAAAAAGCTTGGCGGACAAGGGATATTTTAGCCGTAGTAGCAGTTAGACAAAACATTATCCTTCGTCCAATCAAGTTATCTTGCTTTTCTGGTGAACCTGCACGGGATCCCAGGCGTTATAATCGTTAGTTGTTGTTTGCTTATTCCAGTTCTCTATACCCCGTCAAATTCCATCCTTATCGCCCTTAGACGCCCGATTTTCTGTACTTTACTACTAAAGACTAACCTTTCCGTCTAAACCTACTCAACTATAAATTTATTTGTTGTCTAAGTATTTGGACATACCTATTCTAGATTTTTTATTATTAAAGCTGTTTCCTTTTTCAAATATACTGTTTGTTCCGGAATAAAAGTCCCCTACTTGAAGTCTTTAATTCCCCTACTTAAGCACTTTCAGCTTTAATATTAAAAAAGCATAAAGTTAAAAGCTATAAAGTATTACTATACTCGGAAATCTAAGTTAATTTAAAAGTCTTTTACTAGAATATAAAAAATTAAAAACTAATACTATATTAAAAAAATATTATATTTAAAACTATATAGTAGTTAGCTAAAAACCGCTACTAGCTAGCTAGAAACTTAGGTTAGGTTTTACTTAAACTTATACTTATTTTAAAAGCTAGTTTACTATAATCTAAACTTTTCTATAAAAAACTAGTTATTATTTTTTTTATTATATTTAAAAGTTCTATTGCTACTTTTTACTAAACCCCCTTTTAGGACAAAAAAAAGCAACTTTTAGCTATAGAAAAAATACTTAGCTTACTAGCATTTTTTACCTTAGTAACTAATAGCCTAGTAACGCTTTTTAACTTTATTTTTATATTATTATTTATTTTATAATTTAGTGCTTTTTTACTATTATAATTACTATTTCAATATTTACCTTTTTTTAGTAAATTTTAGTATTTATTATTTTCTACTAATTTTAATAGTTTTTTATTTTTTTTAACGAAACACTATTACCTATAATACTAATATATAGTCTATTATTATTTATTATATCTAAGCCTAAATATAAATAAACTAGACCTATATTTATTTTTTATAGTACTTTTATAGGTAATAAGAAAGAACTAGCTATTAGATAGTTTAGGAAATTTAAATATAAAATAAAAAAATACTATAATATATATAAATAAATTCTAGTTTATTTATATTTAGAAGACTTATAAATGCTATTAATTAAAAAAGCTAGAGATTAGTATAATAATAATTTAAATATTATATAGCTTTTAATTTTATTAGAACTAACTTAAAACTTAGTTAAAAGTTTTAAAAGCTTATTTATTAATTAGTTTCTATTAAAAGTTATTGACTTTTTATTAGTATTTTTTAATATAGACTTAGCCGCTTTTTATTAAAGGAAAAATAAGCTTTTATTAACTTTTTACTAAAAAGTTATAACTATTATATAACGCTATAGCGGTCGAAATTAGTTTTTAGTTCCTAGAACTTTACTTCTAAGTTTATTAGAATTAGCTATTCTAGATACTACTATCTATAGCTTTATTAAAGGTTTTGTTAATCCTAATTTTAAAAAAGAAGCTATATACAGTTCTATTGCCGCTAAAAAATTACTTAAAGGAATTTATATTTTTATTTAAATAGCTTACTTTACTAATATTAAGTTAAAAAAGCTAGTTAATAAAGAATAATATTACTACTAGTTTAAGTTTTTTTAAAACTTTTCTAATTAGTCTTTACTAAAATATAAAGTTAAAGTACTATTAGCTAACTATTAATTTTTAAAGTTTAGATTTGCCCTATAGACTAATTTTCGTTAGCTAATCTATATTAATATAAATAACTATATATTAAAGTAAAATTAGTCTATTTTTTTTCGCTATACTAGATATATTAAAGCTCCGCTACTTTAAGCTATAGAATTATTATATAGTTTATTGTTTTCGAATCTAAATTTCAGAAATATTTATCCTTTTTATAACTTATATTAAAAGCTTATTCCTCTAATTAAAAAGATTCTAGAAAAGTTAGCTTTTAAAAAAATTTTATTAATAGCTTAAAAATCTAGAATATTATTATAAAAGCTTTATATATTAAATATAATAAACTTAGTTATATATTAAAAAATTACTTTAAACTTATTTTACTAATATAAGAGTATATTACTTAAGGGAAATTATTTTTAATAACAACTTTAAAGTAGTTTTTATCGAAACTTTATATAGTTTTTATAATAGTACTTTAAAGCTATATAGTAATAAGTTAGAAACCGCTTTATTTAATATCTAATTTATTTTTTTTAGAGTTGCTAGTTTAGGCTTAAATCTATTAATAGATAATATATTGCTTGTAGTTTTTTATACTAAAATAAAGGAAATTTTCTATAAAAACGGATTTATAGCTAGGAAACGCCTTTATATAAATAAAAAAGAATGTTTTGCAATACTATTTATTTTTCTAGTAAAGTTTTTATTATTTCTACCTTTATTTAAAGCCGATAACCGCAAGAAAAAAAAAAGCTAGAAGCACTATAAAAAGAAAGCTAAACTATAACCTTTAATTAAAATATATAATTCTATATTTTTATTATATAATAAAGCTTTAAATGTCTATAAAATACTAGAAAAATATAATATAACTACTATAAATCTTTTTACTTAGTCTCTAGCGGCTTATATTAAAGTAAAGCGTTTTTTAACTTAAATAGTTAAAAAATACAATAAATCTAAGGCAAAGAAAAAAAAAAATTTATTTTAAATTAAAAATTTTAAGTTTTATTTAATCCTATTATCTAGCTTCTAATAACTTATTTACTTTTATAAATAGTTCCTATTCTACTGCAATAAATTCCTTTTTAATTTTAATTAATTCTAGTTTAATTTTAGCAAAATATTCTATAAATAAATCTATTTTAGAATATTATAATACTATTATACCCTGTTGCCGTCGACTAGCTTATTTAGTTAAAAGAGGTTAGCTAAGTTAATATACTATATATTTTAAGATTAAAACCTACTTAGGTTTTTATTAAACGTTATACTTAATTCTTTAGTTATATTCTAAAAAAAGGAAAAGCTTTTTAAATTCCTTATATTATTAAGAAAGCAAATAGAATTATAACTTTATTAAATAGGTCTATAGTTTAAACTAATTAAAGCAATAATATAAATATTTTTTCTGCTAGTTTAGCTCGCTAGCTAAGCTTTTATTTTAGCTTATTATTTAATATTAGTTTTTTTAAACTATTTATATAGGTTGTAGACTATAAAAAAAATTTATTTTAGTATTATATATAGCTTATAATAGAAGTTAAAAAAATTCGGCGTAATATCTGCTGCCTAGTTACTCTAGAACTTACTACTATAAACTAAGAAAATAGGGTTAAGTATATTTCTTTCCTATTAAGTATTCTATAACTTTATTCTATTAATACTTTTTTATCTATTAAAGAATCTTTTATTTTAATTAATAATAAATTTTTAAAAAAAAAACTTTATAAGGTAAAAAAACTAAAAATAGTTTTTTATTATAACTATAATTTACTTATATACTTTAAATTTATATTAGCTATACTTAGTAGCTTAGTAGGTTTTATTCTAATAATAAAAAAATTAAATTCTAGTAGTACTAATAGTAATATTAAATTTAAAAGTAATAAAAGCAATAATATAAATAATATCCCTAATTTAGTTTTTTACTAAGTTCTTAATAGGACTTAAAACTAACTAGCCTAGTTAAATTTTTACTTAACTATAATTATACTAGCGCTAGTACTAGAAATATATTATTTATTCTAACTTTATTATATATTAAAGTAGTTTTATTTAAATTAAAATTAGTTTTTAAACCTAGATAGTTAATAGCTTATTTAAATATATTAAGAACTTTTTAGCTATAAACTAGTTTTACTAAGTTATTTCTTTTTAAAAAAATTTTCTGCCTAAAAAAAGTAAAATAAAATCTTACCCTAGTATAGCTTAAAAAGTAGGCAATTATTAAAGGCCTTAATAAAGTTATTAGTTTTTTTATCTTTACTTATAAAAATCGGATATAAATTTTATAATTTTTATATTAATATTAATACTTAAATAAAAAAAACTTAATTAATTTTCTATATACTAATTTTATTATATATTATATTAAAATTATTCCTAAAATAAAACCTTTTACTATAAGGCGTTAACGCTATTAGCTATTTTATATTTAGAACTAGATATACTATTTTATACTTTAAAACTTATATAGTAATATTTATAAACTAATAGAACCTATAATTAGCTAGCTTTTAGAGTAGAATATTTAACTTTAAATAATAGATAAAATTAAAAATCCTATTCCTAAGAATAAGCTTTAAATAATAATAAACTATTTTAAAATAAATAAGTTACTTTTTAGCTACTATTTCGAACTTAGCTTAAAAGTCTATAATTACCTATTTAATCCTTAGTATAAAAGTTTATTTTTAGCTAATTTAAAGTATATTTATTTTACTATTCCCCTTTATATAGATAATAAATACTTTTTCGCTTTTTTAGTTCTAGGAATTAGTTAATACTAGTTTACTTAAGTTTAATAAAGTTTTTAATTAGTTAGTTTTACTATAACTAAATATATTTATAGAGCTTTTAGTTTTATTCTGCCTCTTTGCTTTAAGCTATCTTTATTATACTCTAGTTTTGATGCGCTGCCGCTTTTAACCTTTTATATAAATAATTTCTTTACTAGTTTTAAATCTTTTAAAAATTAATTCTATTTTCTTAAGTACTATTTTTTACTAAAAGTAAAGTAAGTAAAGTTGTTTTTATTATTTAAAAAGCTATAGCTTTTTATAAATACTATTAATATACTTAATATTACCTATTTTATTAAAAGAAAAATTAAAATTCTAAAATATAAAATTAAAAAAATTACGTAATAACTTATATTAAAGGATTATACTATAGTTAAAGCTTTTCTAAAAACAATTAAAATTACTTATCGCTAGGTTAAAAACTTTATAGAAATTACTAAACTATTATTTAAATTTATAAGTAAAAACGCTAAATAGAAATAGTTACTAGCAGAAAAGCTTTTATTTAATATCTTAAAAATCAAATATATAACTAGAATATCTATATATAAAATTAATATTAGCCTTTAAATATTTATATATACTAATACATTTTATTATAATACTAGTTTTACAATTACTTAAGCAGTACTTAACTAAGTAATAGATTATCTATTAGTAAAAAGTAAAAATATTTATAAAAAAAAGCCTAAAAAATTTCTAATCCTTTATAATTTTTTCGTTTTCAACGCTACTTAAATTAAGTATCTAACTTATAAGAAAAAGCTTTATACTATAATAAAATACACTAAAAAGTATAATTACTTATATAAGTATTTATATATCTTTATAATTGTCTAGACTAATTATTGTTTTCTTACCTATTTTCTTAAGTCTAATTTTTATAAAAGTATTTATAGTTACTAAGTAGATTCGCTTAGAAAATTAAATATTTAGATTAAATATATACTTAGCCTTTAGAATAAAGTTGCTAATAGTTTTTTAAAGACTATTTTTAATTAAAATTATACAATTATACTAGTTGTAGAACTTTTAAAAAAAAAATCGAAAATTATAGTCCTTAATAAGTATAGAAAAATAATGCTAGCGGCTTTAACTAGTTTTTAAAATCTTTTTTATTTAAGCAATAAAATAAAGTAATTAACTAAAATAGCTTAAGTAGTATATTAGTTTTCAACTTCTAAGCTATTTTTATATTTAGTTCTTACTAAAGTAATTTTTTTTTCTTTTCTAACAATTTTTAGTTTTAGGTAAATACTTATTAGATTTTAGCTTAGTTTAAAAATATTTATACTCTTCTAATAATAGATAATTTATTACTTTTTTCCTTTAACTTTTTATACTAGTTTTTTAAGTACTATATTTAAAGTAAAGTTTTTTAATATTATTACAAAAGTATTTATCTCTTTTATATACCTAAAGTAAAACTCTAGAGTATTTTTATTAAGGTTTATAATAAAAGCGGCTATTAGGCTAAAGTAGGAACTATAACTTGCTTCCGCGGTTAGTATTATTAGTTTAAATAAACTTATAATATAGAATAGTATATTCTAAGCTATTTTAAATGCATAAAATATAACCCTGCAACCCGCTCGCAACCTTTTTACCCGATTTAAGTTATTTATTCTTTTTAGCTTATAAATATAAACTTTATTAGTTTTTTAGAAACTATAATTTCTAGGAACTACTATATTTTAAATATAGTTTACTATTTAATATAGTTTCTTAAAGCTTACGCTACTAAAGACTATATAGTTAATAATATTATTCTTTATTTAATAGATTTTTTTATTAGTTACTGAAAATTGCAAGCTTTTTACTTTAATCTAGGCTAGCACTTTAATAATTTCAATTTTAAAAAATTCTTTAAAGCTTATAAAATCGTTTAAAAGTACTTACTATTTAAAGCAAAATATATTATTAAAATAATAGAAATTTATAATCGAATACTAGAAAAAGTTTTATAGAAGTAAGCTCTAACTAAAGTTGTTAGCGGCTTTATAATTAATATAAATAAGTAAAATAAAAAATTACCTAGTTTTATATTTTATATTAATAAATAATCTATTGCTTATCTTAATACTTCCTTATATAATATTATATTTAGTAATATATACCCTATATTAGTAGTAACTTTAATACTTTTTATTCTACTAGGATAGTTTATTATCTAATAGATTAGTCTTTTACTTTATTTTAATATTTATTGTTTAGTAATATAGTAATATTATATTTATTAGGCCTAACTCTATAATTTAGTTATTTAAAAGTTAAATAAAAAAAAGCTAAAACAAATATATTAGTATAATAAAAAAGTTAAATATATTTACTATTAAATAGGAGGTTTAGTTATACTATAGCAATACTAGAAAAACGTTAAAAAGCTAAAACCTACTTAAAAAGGACCTTTTTAGATTGCAAAATATAAAAGAAAAAAAGGAATTTCCTTTACTTTAGTCTAAATAAATAGGAAAAAAATTTATAAATATTTTTATAAAGATTTCTTTAAGCTTTTTAAGCTTAAAATAGGATATTTAAAAAACAACTTTTTACTATTATTAAAATAGACTATCCGACTAATAAAACTGCCTAAACTATAACCTTTTCTATTATTTACTTTAATATATATTCTATTTAGTTTTTAAAATATAGTTAACTATTTCCTTTTTTTAATAGCTAGTTTTACTTTTACTTTATAGATAGTTCTTAATACTTTTCCAACCTTACTATATATAGAACCTTTATTATAATTAAAGAAATTAAAGTACTTAGTTTTTTCTTTTTTTAACCCTTTCTAAGGAGGTCTATATATAGAAAACCGTAAACCGCTTTCCGACTTATTAGCATATTGTCTAGAACTTCTATATAGCGGAAAATCTCTTATCTAAGCTTTTTTATTTCTATAATAATATATATTATTAGTTTTTACTTTCGTTGGTATTTTCTTTTAGTATTTTTCGCTATTATTTAGACTTTTTATATAGTTATAGGAATATATAATCGGTTTTAAACGTAGTAGAAATAGTCGGCGGGAAAAAGCTTTTTTAGATAGTCTTCTATATTTAGTCTATATAATACCCTAGGGCGGTTTTTGCTCTTATCTGTAGTATAAAGGGCGTTGGGGCTCCTGTTGTTTCTTTATGGTCGTGTAGATAGGAGCTAAAAAGCTTAACGGACAAGGGATATTTTAGCCGTAGTAGCAGTTAGACAAAACACCATCCTTCGTCCAATCAAGTTGTCTTGCTTTTCTGAAGGCAGAACGGAATTGTGCCGAAGCGGCGGCGACGCGACCCGCGTTTGCTTTGAGCGGTTTTTAATGAAACGATAAAGTGACACCGCTATTCAATTCATTTCCCTTTACTCGACCAGCAAGGCAGACTTGTTGGTCATATAGATCTTTGAAACAAAATTGGTCGGTCAGAAAGCTCACACTATGGAAAATGGAGGGGACCACGAATTGGGTGGTGAGTTGGAGACCTTGCATAGCACATGATTGTGTCCTAAATAGCTGCTGGTGCAGTGACCGTTGATGATGAACGCGAAGATGAAATTATGGACGAGAAAATCATCAACGAGGAATACAAAACATGGAAGAAAAATGCGCCCTTTCTTTACGATTTGATGCTCAGTACGGCACTAGAATGGCCGACATTGACAACACAATGGTTTCCGGACAAACAGGAGTGTGTTGAAGCCTCGTTCAAGCTTGATATTTGCTGAGAATGTTGTCCTGCAGTATGCCAGACAAAGACTACTCTACACATCGACTTTTATTGGGCACACACACCTCGAATGAAGCCCAAAACTATCTACAGATAGCGCACGTTCAGCTCCCAAAACCAGTCACACCAGAAACAGCAGATTATGACGAAGAGCGGGAAGAGATTGGTGGTTATGGTGGTGGAGGACCCAAAAAATTACCACCGGCGGAGGTGAAGTTTGAGATTATGCAAAAGATAGATCACCCTGGGGAAGTCAATAAGGCGCGATACCAACCGCAAAATCCCAATTTAGTAGCGACAATGTGCACAGACGGTCGAGTGTTGATTTTTGACAGAACAAAACACCCAAGCGCTCCGACTGGATCAATCAACCCTCAGATGGAGCTCCTTGGGCACGAAGGGGAGGGTTATGGGCTGAGCTGGAGCCCGCATCATTTTGGACATCTGGCGACTGGAAGTGAGGATATGACAGTCAGAATCTGGTGAGTGGATCTCCGAAATCTTCACTGTAGCTGCAGATGCTGACCACCTAGGGATATAACCCAATTCACCAATAACAACAAAGCTATCCATCCCAATCGAACGTATACACATCACGCAGCCATCGTCAACGATGTACAATATCATCCATTACACGCTTCTTTAATTGGCACTGTATCAGACGATCTCACGCTTCAAGTGCTAGATCTCAGGTCTTCTTCCACTACTAAAGCGGCTGTGTCATCATTTCATGGTCACAGCGACGCAATTAATGCCCTTTCTTTCAACCCCGCATCAGAGTATGTCCTCGCGACAGGATCAGCAGATAAGACGATAGGAGTCTGGGATTTACGAAACCTCAACGTCAAATTACATGCCCTTATTGGACACAACGATGCCGTTACATCTCTTTCATGGCACCCTTTCGAAGAAGCAGTTCTTGGCAGCTCAAGTTACGACCGGCGAGTCTGCTTCTGGGACTTAAGTCGTGTTGGTGAGGAACAAACACCAGATGATGCAGAAGACGGACCACCGGAACTGTAAGCGGTGACGATGTTTTCTTCTATCGATCTAGTGCTTACGGTCGTGACAGACTCTTTATGCACGGCGGGCATACCAACCGAATTTCGGATTTCTCGTGGAATATGAATGATCCATGGGTGCTGTGTAGCGCAGCCGAAGATAACTTGATTCAGGTATGGAAGGTCGCGAACGCTATCGTGGGAAAGGACGTGGAGGATGTACCCATAGAGGAACTGGAAGAACGCTGATACATACTCATTGACTCTGCCTTGAATGACTACAGGCACACTTCATAATCACTGAGCTTTGCTAACCCTAACGATGGTACAAGAGGACTTTGATAAGCTGTAGCAAGCCATCTAAAGACACCTCAAAAGCTGATTGCAAGGTTCGCGCTGCAAATTTTTAGCTGGGTCAATAGTTGACGAAGACACGTAAGATCACCGGAAATGATGGCACAGCTGCAATTCGCTAAGTGTGATAACAGACCCGAGCTGGAAAATCAAGATCGAAAGGCTTTTGTCCGTAGAGAGAATACATTGAATGAATCAACGGCCAGAGCTTGAGTCTTGTTGATCAATTGGAAAATACACGCGTACTCCATAGAAAAAATAAAGTCAAGTTGCGAAAGTCAACAGAATTCCAGATAATTCATGACTCTTTTTCTCAGTCCAGGCGAGATGGTGGCCGTTTCTAGCCTACTTCAACGCCGTTGTAAGCGGCTTTTGCACTGGAGCCCTCCCAATACCCCCCTGTTAAGACTTGGACGCGTATGTTGAGACCACGATAACTAACCAGTTTGAGACTGCTAGTACAAGCTCGGAAGCAGTGCTAAATAAGTAGGAACAACTAATTAAGGAAATCTCGACATTCTCGAATATTGAAACTAGTAAAAGAATTTCTTAATAATTTTAAAAATTAAAACTAATAAGACTAGTAAAGCTAGTAAAACTATTATATATTAACTTTTTTAATTTTATTTTTTAAATAAATTTTTTTATATTTAATATAAATTTTAATTCTTATTATAAAATTTAAAATATTTATAATTTTATTATATTATTATTATTATATTTATTTTTATTATAATTTAAAAAAACTAATTTATATAGTTTATAAATTAAATTAATTAATAAAAATTATTAATTTAAATACTAAAGTTATAATATATTAAATATTTTATTAAAATTATAAAAAAAGAATTAACTTTTATTATAAAAAAGTAAAAAATTTTATTATTTAATATAAATTTCTTTATTTTTAATAATTAGTTTTTAAAATATTTTCTTACTTTTTAATAAATTAAATTACTAATCTATACTTTTATATATATAATAAATTATAATATAATAGTTATTTCTTTTTTAAAAAATATTATTTTTAATATTTTATTAAAGTTCTATTATTCTTTTAATAATAAATATTAGGGTCTTAAAATAGTAGTTTAAAAGATTAATAGAATTCTAACTATAAGTAGAAGTCTATTTAAGAATTAAATAAAAGTACAGATAAGTATATATACTAAGCCTAATTAGGTTTAGCGCCTACTTTAAGCGAATACCTATACTAAGCTAGGCTTATAGCTATTATATAACCCTCTTTTTAAAAGTAAGCTTTATTAAGCTATTATTACTATTTATAACTTAGTATACTAACTATAGCGTATAAAATACTTCTTTAAGCAAGTAAATTTAGTAATATAGCTTATAAATTAAAACTTATAACTATTATAGTTAGCTAATAATTTAGTAAATATAGGGCTCTAATTATTTAAAGCTTTAAATAACTTATATAGTTTAGTTTTCTTTAAATATTTATAATAAAAGTTAACTATAAACTATAAATAGTTAGTAGTATCTATTTATACCTACTATTCTAGGTTTATATTTTATTCTAAATATTTATAATAATAAATATAATACTATAAACAATTTTTTCTTTTAATAATAAAGTTATTTATATATTAATTAATATAAAAGTTAACTATTTTTAGCACTTTATTATCTTTAAACCTTTTACTTATAAAGACTAGTAGTAGAAGCAGTATAACTTAATTAGGTAGGGGATTATAGCAATTTAAGTAGAGCAACTATAAGTAGAATATTAAGAAAATATTTTTTATTAATTATAGAAGCTCTAATTTATATACTATATTATTAATAACTTAGATAATTTTAAATAAATTTAAGTTTTTATAGTTTAGTAATAGTAATAGCCTTATTATTTTAATATTCTAGATATTTAATATTATTTTATTATTAACTTTAAACTCTAAGTATAGTTAATAGTAATAATTAGTATATTTTTCTTATATTACTTAAGCCTATTTTAGCTCTTTTTATAAATATTTATATATTTTATCTAGTTTATATATTAGCTAGTCTACTGCTCTAACTTTATTTCTTTATAAATATAATATACTATTAAGTATCTCTTTTAAAGCTTTTAAGCTTAAATAAAGTAAATAACTTTTAATAGCTAAGAATAATAATAGTTTTATTAAATAGTTAATATCTAAATTAGCTTTAAACTTAGTAATAACTAGAAAGTTTATTTAGTTATTCTAGTTATAGCTAATATAAGCTTTTAAATATTATTTTAAATCTATATTTATATTTTTAATTTATTTATTTATTTCAAAGTAAAATACTAATAATAATTTTAATTATATATTAATTCTTTTATATAAATACTTCTAAAAATATAATATAAATTATATCCCTTTATTAGATAAGATATTTAATAAATAATTTTCTTTACATTAAATTTATTTATATAATATTTATATAATAGCTTTAACTTTAATTAAATTAAAAGAAATAAACTTATATTTTTTAAATAGCTAGTTTATAACTACTATAATATATTTAAAAAAGTGTCTATAATAGATATATATTAAGAATAAAATAATAAAATTAATAAATATATTTATTTAATAGTATTTAAGTATAGGTAATAGCTTAAGTAAGTTTTACTTTCCTTTATAATAACTTTTAAACTTATTATATATATAATAACTTCTTATAAACCTTATAATAGTATCTATTATTCTAAGCTAATAGTACTCTTTATTTATATAATTATATATTAATATTATATAAAATAACTTTTTATTAATAAGTTATAAGCTTATTTTGTAATATAAATATAAAAATACTTTTTATTATTTAGTAAAAAAAATTAACTATTAATATATAATAAATAGTTTTTAATTTTATAGGATTTTAAATTAAGTTTTAATAACTTAGTTTTTTTTAAATCTAAAGGTATTTAATAAGTATTAGTTTATTTTATATATATAATTACTTAAATTACCCTATTTAATATATATATATTATAAATCCTATATATTAATTCTTCCTTAAATAAAGTAGGTTTTTTATTTAGTAATTCTTCTTAAAACTCCTTATTAAGTGCCTTACTTTTAGCTTTAAGTAATAATTCTTTTTCTAACTTTTTATTACCTATAGCTAGTTTAGATTTATTAAGTTATAAATTTTCTAATAATTCTTTGCCCCTTTTTAATTCTTTTTTATTTAAATAGTATATTAGTATAGCTAGATCTATAATTATTTCTTTTAATTTATTTAATAGGAAATATATTAAGTTAATTTTTAGCTTAAAGTCTACTTATTTATACTTAATAATAATTTAATTTTAATACTAATACTTTTAATTAGTATTATTTATTAATATATTGTTAAAGCAGTATATTAAGTTATTAAGCTTTATACTTTATTTACTTAGTTTATAAATAATTTAAAAATTAAATTTAGAAAGAAATTTAGCTTATTATATCTATTTATAATTTAGTTACTTTATTATTATAAAGTATTTTAAATTTTTATAATTAATATACTAGCTAACTCTAGATATTATTTATTAAATACTTTTATAATAATTAAGAATTCTTTATTATAAATTTTATAGTTATATTCTTATAAAGTTATTTTTTTTAATAAGAATATAACTAGTTATAAGACTCTAGTACTATTTTTTTTATAATAAAACTACTATTACTATATAATTAAAAGTATTTATTTTAAGCTATAACTTTTTATTAAAATTAAAATATATAAAAATAAATATTATAATAAAAGTATACTTTAAGTCTTTAAAAGTTTTTTATTTTAACTTATTTAAAAATTATAAATATTTAAAATCCTTTTATTATAATAATTTAATTAAGACTATTAAAAGTATTATAACTTTAGAGTAGCTAAATATCAAGTAATAATAAAAGTTTATAAAACTTAAAAACACTTATATATTTTTTATATATCTTAGAGTTTTTTATCTTAAAATTACTTCTATTTTCTTAAAATTTATATATAGTTTTTTAATTATAATAATTAAGCTTAAATACTTAACTTCTATTATATAAAATTTATATTTATTTATATTTAAAAACAAATAAATAGTATACAACTTTATAAGAATTACTTTAATATATTTAATATACTTTTATTTATTATTATTATAAATTAAAATACTATTTAAATATACTATATAAAACTTATTAAAATATTTTAAAAAATATTATTAATTAGAGCTTAGAATATATTTAGAGTATTATATAAGTTAAATAGTATAATATTATATTTATAAAAACTATATTTTATAAAGAAAATAGTTTTTTCCTTATAGCCCTTTTTAATTTAAATCTTATTAAATATAATAATAATATTAAACTTTATAAAGACTTTTATTTAATATAGTTTTATAAAAGTTTCCTTAATTAATAGTAAAGTATTTTAATTTTTTATTATTAAGATATTTAATACTTAATAATTAATATATATATATATAGGCTATTATTAGGTTTTTTTATAATTAATATTAATATAGTATATAAAAAGGTACTTAGGTAGATATAGCCTTTCCCTAATATATTATTTATATACTTCTTTATAATTAGTATTTATTTATAAAATATATTATATACTTTTTTAAAAAAAGTATTACTTTTTTTTTTAAATTAATATAATAATTTATTAATTACTATAAAAGTAACTTATTAATTTTTTTTAGATTCTAAACTTTTAACTAGTTATAATACTTAGCTAGAATCCTACTTTATAATTTTTCTTTAATTAAAATTTTTTTTTAATTTTATTAAAAAACTTTTTATAGTTTTTAATAGTAATAGCTATTATATTAATAATAAATATAGTATATATTTTCTTATTAATATTTAATTATTTAAAGTACTTAGGTTATATAGCTATAACTTTATTTTTAAAATTTA